TCATTTCTACAGGGCATCGTCTTCTTTCCTCTGAGCATTTCCTAGTTCGTCTTGTTCCCGTCCAAATACCCTTCCTTTCAGTCTTCATCAGGTACGTACGTTCATCACTATCCCCGCCAATGCAATCGTTCCCTTGTGGCGTATACGTCACGTTCCTTCGGCCTGCGATACATAAGCTGTGAAGCATTGCGCATTTACACAACCCATACGAGCTTGATTTTTGTTTTATTCACCCACAACCCTGCTGTACGTTAGCTGAGACGCCTCGGATGTGTCATCTCAACTAAACTGATACACTGAAGTGAAGACAGCTGGAAGCAAGCTTATCGGCGATTCGCGCGCTGAGCTACATCATCGATATCTGTCCAGCTTGCATCGCAATCCCCATATGCTCATTATCCTCTTCTTTTCTTCATCCGTTGATGCTTGGCAACACAGAGTCAAGTTTAGATCTAAGTTCTCTAACTCTTCCAGGCCATCCTTGCGCCAACGAATCATAGACGCCAAGCTGGTTTCGACCAGCACCCCGCCCCCTACGTTTTCCACAACGATACACTTTCCAACTGCTACCGCAACGGCTCACGTGTAGTCACCATACACAACTTAAGACTCCCAAGGACGACACAAACACATCCGATATTCAACGGCATTAATCGTGCTGGTAAATTCATCCGTCTGTGCCACTCCACCTAGCTTTACTTTGATCCTACCACAAGCTGGCGAGCAACAAGCGTCGCAGTCTCTCCTCGACTGGAGGAAGTCTGCTGAATAGAATGTTTGGTGGCAGTTCCAACAACTCAGCGGGCAACAAATCCGAGAGCGATTCGAAATCCGACAAATCTCCTTCTCCTGAGCCCGGCTCAGGCCTTAGTGCCCCTGCTCCCATCAAGACAACTGACCAGGCTGCGAGCGGTGAAAAACGTAGCGGAAATGGCAGCCCACCAACTCGCCAGGACGTCAGCGGACCGAGCGACAAGAAGCGCAGAAGTAGTAGCGTCAGTAGCCGGGCCAGTAGTCTTCTGGCCTCTGCAAAGAACTCGCTCAACTTCTCTTCCCAGAGCAGTCGCAGCGGAGGCTCTGAAGTGAGCTCGCAGACATCTCTTCAGAAACTCGGCAAGCAGGATCCTGCTCTTGCAGTTCCTCAGGGCCAACATAATAATTCTGCCGGAGACTCCATGCCCGGACCCAAATCTACATTTCGTGTTGGCGTTTGGGAAGATAGGAACAAGAAATGCCGCCGAACTATGGAAGATACTCATGCTTTCCTGTACAATTTTGTGCAGACCCCAGCTTTGAACGATGCGTCAGCAAAGGATAAGTTGGAAGGTGATGACTTGGTCACCTCTGATATGGTTGAGTCGGACAATGGCTACTTTGCTATCTTTGATGGACATGCTGGTACGTTCGCTGCTGATTGGTGTGGCAAAAAACTACATATTATCCTCGAGGATATCATACGCAAGAATCCCAATGCTTTGATTCCTGAAGTTTTAGACCAGGCCTTTACAGCTGCCGATGCGCAGCTTGAAAAACTTCCGCTGAAGAACAGCGGCTGCACTGCGGCTGTCGCAGTGTTGCGCTGGGAGGATCGGGCCTCAAATGATCGATCCGCCATCAAATCCGCCAAACCAGAAGAGCCTATCGAAATGGATAAGGCCAATGATGGAGCATCCAACGACGAGGCGACTAAGGCTACAAATTCAAAGGGCAAGGGTAGCGGACGGCAGCGCGTACTATACACCGCGAACGTTGGCGATGCCCGCATCATTCTCTGCCGAGGTGGAAAGGCTCTACGACTCTCTTACGATCACAAAGGTAGCGACGAGGTCGAAGGCAAACGCATTGCCGCTGCCGGCGGGTTGATCCTCAATAATCGTGTCAATGGCGTACTGGCTGTGACCCGTGCCCTTGGCGACGCTTACATGAAGAAGCTCGTTACGGGCCATCCTTATACCACTGAGACGGTCATTCAGCCCGATAGTGACGAGTTTATTATTATTGCTTGTGACGGAGTAAGTTGTGCCCCAGATTACAAGGATCAACAAGCTAACTATTATAGATCTGGGATGTATGTAGCGACCAGGAAGCCGTTGACCTTGTCCGCAACGTGGAAGACCCCATCTCAGCCTCAAAACAGCTTGTCGACTATGCACTGAACCGCTTCAGCACTGATAACTTGTCTTGTATGGTCGTTCGGCTTGACCAGAACAAGGAAGCTGTGGTAGAAGTGGAAGGCGCAGCGTCACAGGTCAGCGAGGCAGACAAGATTGTCAGCGAGACTAAACAAAAAATTGCGGACGGTACAACGCCCGCCGTCGGCGTATCAGCATCTAATAGCGCGCCTCAATCTGAACCTCCTATAGCTGTTCAGGAGGGCAATTTTGTGCCGACTTCTCTGGATGACATAGTGACTGAAGAGCCGCCCCATGTCGCAGATCCCAAGTCGGACGACGTACCTATACTGAATAAGGCAGCTGTTTTGGAGGCTCGGAAAGACAAGCCAGCAGAAGAGAAGCAGGTTGAGGAAAAGGAGAAACCTCCTGGGCAGGAATAATTCATGGATAAGAAATCAAACACAAGGCATGATAAACACAAGCCAAATTAGTTTTTTATGGTCTCAGAGCAAAAAGACTATTGAGCATTGTGAGGATGGAATATGGATGCAGTGGTTTACCGCGTGTACTTTGACATGACGCTGCCTCCTTTACTCCTTACACCACGAGCTGCAAGATGAGGATTAACATGATATGCGAGCGAGGATGCTCTTGGGGGTTTGGTCTCACGGCTCGCATACAAAGCTGAAAGAGCCTGAATAGTATTGTAGTTTCTGTCAGTTAGTTGAGCAACGCCGTACATGCACGATGAGAAGCATGGCATATTCTCGAGTGTGAAAGTGCGTTGCTGTATGGAAAACGAATATGATTACGCCTCGAAAGAACATTGACGGTATTAGATACACTTGGCACTCGCGCTAAGCTGGTGAAGTTCTTTATAAAACCCGGCATCTCTGAAGATCTGCGGACAATGTATCTATCGAAAGAAGACAGAACTAAGGTTTGTACCAGGATCTTGGTAGGCTTACCACGTTATTGTTTCTTGCAGCTTCGCCAGGAGCTTCCATGCTTCTAGCCGGGCAGTAGCAGAAATTAAGACTGAATCGCTAGTCTACCCTCAGGCCCCATAACGATGATTGCAAATTACAACATCATCCACTACACTGCAGAGCGAACATTTGAACTGTAATTGAGACCGGCCAGGCAATTTCCTTGGATTAACTGTCGTACAATCGAGATGAGATTTGGGGGAAATGGCGTGCAGCCAGACTCAAGTTTATTTAGGCAGTGTATCGGTATCGGTATCGGTATCGCCGTTTTAGACTGATGCCTTATTTTACTTGTTTCTTTCTGTTAGCCATTACCCCTGGTTAGCCAAATGATGCCTTATTACTTGGGCTCAAACACTTCCGGGTCGCCAATGCAGGAACGAGAATGAATCAACGTCAAAAGCTATTTTGCTAGTCCACAGTGGAGAAGTCGGAGCGGGAGAGGAGCTTGGGTTCTAGGAGGTGCTCGGTTACTCGAGTGGCTGGAACTGGAACTCTAACTTACATAGATAGTAGCTTATGTTGGTGCTATATCTTGCAAGGTGGGACGAGAATGATTTTGGATTGTGCGAGTCATCTAATAGGCAGTAAATGGTATCTCTTCACCTAAAAAGCTGAAAACGCATGCATGTTTTGCTTGTCTGAAGCAAGGGGGAGAAAGGCCGCCTTGGCCGGATAGTCATTTCGTCTAGCATTTCTCTTGCCATCTACTTTAAAGCTTCAATTTTCTATCTCCTTACATACCTAGACCTATTTACCCTTGTGATTATGCGCGACATACGTATGATAGACAGAAACACAGACACTTCACCTGTCGTACTGTAGCTTGACGGCTTCGCCTGTGCCTGTGTGCTGGTTCGTTCTAGATGTCTTGAAATTGGCCCAACCCCAAAATGGGACAAGACGCTATCCATCCTTCATTCCAGCACAAAACCACCTGTCTGGTTGGCGTGTGATTTACACTTTAACAAGACATCATTATCGAGTAGTTGGTATTTTAGTCACGTCAGTGACGACTTATGAACAGAGACTAGCCAGCTTTTGTCGTTTGCTGTTGTGATTCTTTCGACTATAGACTTGCTCTTCTTGTTTGTGTCTCGAGCCCATGCTGCCATAGTAGGAATAGGCTAATACAAGCAATTATTGGCCATTCCCGATCTGGTTTTGTTACCACCAGGTTTCATCAATTTGATCAGTGACTATTGATCGGCATAAACGGGGTCGACAACGACAGGCCTGCTCCATTCTTCAGACAAACATTCCTTCTTTCTTCTTCCTGAAGACTAACGCATAAACTTCCCCAGAGGCCGATTGATATCTGATTCACTGCCGCTTGATTGCACGACCTGACGAATTGGCCGGTACTTGTTCAAGAGCAAACGAAACAAATCTTGCCATCCTAGTTAATCTTGTCATCAATCCATGGTTACGATATTAACCCATGTAGGTTGGCAGTTCTGCCCCTGAAATCTGGTGCTGCCGCCCCTTGACCCGCATTGGAAAACCCACCAGGCAATCCATCCCACCCGTTAGTTACGCTTCCTCTCGACTGGAAGAGAAAGACCCCGAAATATATTGGACCGGTCCAGCTCTACTACTCTACTCGACTGATTTGGTAGATTCCCCCGTCTTTCGGGAGAGCTTCATTCCTCTTTCTTTTGCGTTTGGTTTCGTCTTCGGTCTCTGGCTCTGTCTCGATCGATATCGACTCTTGATTTTGTCGGCCGATCCGCAGCTTACCTGCTTATCACTTCCTTTCACTCATTGTTTATTTAATTAGTATTTCTTCTTTTGTTTCCATATGCCTGTGGTGCAAACCTAGGCTTTCAACTCCTACTTTCTTAATTTTCCACCCCCTCACTTCTTTACTTTTTGACCTGGTGGCGATAGAGACATCATGTCGTTGAATGGCTTGGACGACCCGAAGGTCCAGGAAGCCTACGAGGCCGCTGTCGCTGAAGCTGGAGGATGGTATGACAAAAACCCTGGGCTGATTAGGAATCAATCGTGATCTAACTTTCGTCTTCAGGTTCCTGCTCAAGTACGCGAGTCGCGATGAAGTCGAATTGCTGGGTCGTGGCTCAGGCGGCGTCGTCGAGGTGCGCAACAACGTCACCGAATACGAAGATACCAGCCCTCTGTACGGATTCTTGAGATACAGAAGGAGGAACGTATTGATCAAGTACCTGCCCGAGGACTGCTCCCGTCTTATTCAAGGTCCGTACTGGCACCCCTCCTTCCCTGCATGTCCTTCTTTGTTCCCAGTGTGTGAGTTCGTGGGGAGTGTACTGACTTGTTGTCGAAATGTAGCCAGGGTAGCCGTTCATTTCAATGCCGTTTGCGATCGATTTTCCCCCTACGATACCATCTTTGAAATCACCGATGCCAAGGAGCTCAGAGATACTAGGCTGTCGGCAGCTTGTTCTTTACATGCTGCTTCGGGTTCCACTTCATCGTCTACAAGCTCACTGCGCCGAAGGCGATTGATGGAGATTGCGGAGGAGGAAGAGGACGAGCAACAGCAGCGCGCCACCAAACGCCAGTCAGTTGCTGAGAATGACGATGACGGCGAGGTTCGGCCAAAAACAGCCAAGACAAGCCACGACCCTGCTCCCCATACAGAACCAGTTACCTTGAACTCAGAGCTTGCTGAATCTCCAGAGGAAAGTAAATTCACTGACGCGTCAACGTCGGAAGTACCCAACTTTGTCGGCGCTGACGAGAGGCCTGATTCATCTGGTGACCCGGAAGCTCTTCCACGATTGTCATCACAATCAGGTCGACCAGATCTGTATCCGTATTCCTCATACAATTACGGTAAGCCAAAGGTCAAGCTTGGCCCCCGCCCATCGCTTGAAACAAACGGCCGACCTCGTACTGCGGGTTCATATCGTCCTGTGTCGCAGATGCCTTCTGGCTTTAAGTTGTTTGGCAAGGGCTCCAAAAAGGAGAAGAACAAGGACGACACCGCAACTACCGAGGATACTCCTGCCGAGGACAAGGACAAGGATACACCGCCTGTGCAGGACGAACTGCAAATCACCGATACAGAACTCAACCGACCCACGACAAGTTCTGGAGTTTCGATTTCTGGTTCCGCCATCTTACCCGCACCACCGCCTGCGAAACCCACAATTTCACCCGAGAAGGCAAGATTAATGAAGGCCATGAAGCTCCGAGAAAAGAAGAAGAAGGATATGGCGGTCGAGGCTGACGTCTCGTCACCGCCTGTCGAATTTCCCGGACCCAGTGAAGGTGGATCGTCTACGGATCGTGCTGAAGACAGCGAAAACCAACACGACCCTGAATTGAATCAGTCGTCGATGTCGAACGTCGACTCAGGAATTGGTCTTGATGGTTCTTCGGTCTCTATGAATGCTGACCAGGCGTCTGATCTTGCGCAAAGTGATTCTCACCCCGACAGCCCCATCATTGCATCGTCCGAACCCGAGATGTCCACGAAGGCCTCTTCTCTTTCTGAATCGACCGATGACACTCTGCACCCTAAAGACGAGGATGCACACAATCGGGATCAAGATAAGAAGGTTGACACCAAGGAAACCTCGGCACAGAGTACAAATGACGAGAAAGCTGCTGTTGCAGCAGTTGCGCCGGCCAGCGATGATTTACCGCCTAAGAATGAGAAGCAGCCCGAGGACGCGCCCCTCGATCAAGTACCCGACGCTGATACCAGTATTCCGGAAAACCCAGAAAATCCAGAAAATCCAGAAAACGCGCCCGAGACTACCGAGGCTTCGGCCAATGTCGACAAAGCTGACGAGCCTCTATCCCCTACGACTTCTGCCTTGAAGATCCCCAAATCTAAGTTCTCGACACAGGATTTGCGGTCAGCAGCGAACGCGGCTCCGTCATCGGCCTCCAACTCTCCCCATCGCGAAATTGAAGAGAACAAGCCAACCATTGTCACTCAAGAAGTTGTGGAGACGAAGGAGGACGACAACAAAGACGAGGCTGAGGGGTCAGAAACAAAGCAACAAAAACGCAAAGCAAACATCGACCCGATCAAAACACATCTTACGGAAGATAAAGACCCTCTGTCTGACGAGGAGGAGGACCTGATGGACGAGCTACACGACGCGACTCTTCACGAGGCGAAGCCTATGACTGTTGCTAAGAGTCCAGTCACCCCTGTGTTCCCTAGTCCAACCAAGAGTGAACGATCTGCTGTCATTTCCCGAACTGTCTCGAATCCTGTGCACGGCAAGCTTCTCGCCCCCGGCGATGTCACTACAAGCTCGGCACGATCTGTCAGCTCGGGAGGAGCTGCTTATTTGCACAAGATTGCTCAGCAACCGGGTGGCCCTACTCTGAGTAGAAAGGGTACGGTGGGATCGAGTATTTCACAGCGCATCAAAGCACTCGAAAAGCTCTCAGCCAGCACTGGCGAGACTCTTAGCCCCGCCCCTACTGCTTCCGCTCGGGAGAGACCATCTTCGGCATTTTTCTCCGTGCGTAAAAGTCGAGAGCCGTCTCGATCTCCGTCCGTGGTAGACCGCACCAGCTCCATTAACCGTTCAAACCTTCGAACACCCCCGTCGCGATCTGGCGAACGCGACGAGTCGCCCGATAGATCCAGACAGACACGCAGAGGACGCTCAACATCAGTGGCTAGTCGCTTGTCCGTATTTGAAGCGAACCCTTGCGAAAACGATGGCTCCCCTGGTTCAGAGTCGATCTCGGTTACTGCCAGAATAGTCCGCGATCCCAGCCAGAACGCAGCCAAATCGTTCGAGCCTGCTAAAGATCCGTCTGAGTTTAACCCCGTGGAACTTCAGGAGTCACCTTTGTTGGTAGATCACCAAAAGGCATCGCCAGTCTGGTCCCCTCCTACCTTTCAACCGCCAACGGAGACCATAGTTGAACGCAGGATGTCAAAGGACGACAACGGAGACAAGGAGGATCAATCGAGGCGGTCTTCACTCAGTGTGGTTAGAGACTTTATCCACGACCGTCGCAAATCCCTCACATCTCCTTCATCTGATGTCCTTCCCAAGGGCTCTCAATCTCCAACTCGCCCACCATCGACACACCAGGGCAAGCGGCTGTCAATTAGCAGCCGCCGATCATCATTCAGTCGTGAGAGAGAAAACGTGCTTTCTCCTTCTGCAACCACCGAGAGCTCCATATCCGGTGATGAGACTAAGTCCAGTGGCGAGAAGATGAAGTCCCGAGCTGGTCGATTTATGCGCCGCCTCTCATCTCTTTCTAGCTCTCGTGGCAAGACTACACCACCGACTGTTCTCTCACCAACCGTGCAAGAGGAGCAAATCCGCCCTGCAACAAGTGGACCCCCATCCATCGTCTCATTCATGGGAGACGTCAACGTGCAATTTCCTGACAACTTGCTCTGGAAACGTCGTAATATGTGCCTAGACTCTCAGGGCTTCCTTATTTTGAGTGCACTCCCATCTCAGAGCAGTCGCACTGCTCAGGGCACCAAACGCTACCACTTGAGTGACTTCCGAGCACCATACATTCCCGATGTTGAAGTTCAAGAGCTCCCCAACAGTGTGGTATTGGACCTTGTCGATGGCAGCAGTGTACAGCTTGCATGCATGGACCGTACGGGACAGGTCGGTATCCTTCATAGTAAGTTCTCCTAATACAAATACCCAAGTAATATACTGACAGCAAATGCAGCTCTCCAAGAAGCCCACGCCAAACACGCGACACCATTCGCGTTATAGAGGGTGGTTCGGAGCCCTGCTCAAACGACTGGGTTGAGCCCAAGACGTCGTTAAAAGCAACCCAATGCTCTTCGATTCGTTGATTCCACCATTTCCTATATACGGCATCATCGTTTGCTCTAGCCATAAACCGTCCCACGTCTCGCTATACGTTAACGGCCTTACGACATCTTACTTATCAACACCTTCGTCTGATAGTATATACTACTGGCTTAGGTGTCTAATACACCATCGGATGCCCGGTTCTTTAACCACTTCACCGATCACAACCGGCCTTACATATTCCCTTTTAAACACATCACCCACAAGGCTTCATATAATTTTCTACTTGTCTTCTACTCACATGTAAATTATGTACGCATGATACCACAACCCCTTCCTCTCATCTGTGCAGCCCCGACGGCTTTCTTCTTTTTCTTCTTCATTTTGTACTTTCTTCATTTTTACTTTCTACATACAAGCCCCGTTTGTTTGTTCTTCCTTCTTCTATCTATAGCTAGCCTTATTTCGTTGTTAATCCCACACCGAACTGTCAATTCCTATCATAGGACGCATATCAATGTTAAGGGGGAGAACACAGTTGGATAGGCAGTGTACGATATTTCACTATTTATTGGGGATGGCGAAAAGGAAGCTGGTTGAAAACGGACCAGATCGAGGTAGAAAGAAAAACTATTGATCCTAGACCTATCGTCTGATACTCCGTGACATGCATAACATGACAATGCAGCAAACTGTTTACAGGTACTGAATGTCAAAATAAAAAAGCCTTGTAACAAGAATGTTCTTAGAGTTTTTATATTTTTATAGTACTTTTCTAATCTTTCGTATCATCATAATGATTCTGCCATTGTCGATCCTGCAGACTATGCAACTGAACTTCAAACCCAAATCCGAACTTGTGATGATGTTTCCATGTCGCCCTCCAAATAGAAGCTAGATAGTATGTAACCAACGCCCTGAATATGTTCTGTTATTTTTGCCGTGGCTTTTTGCCATTCGACAAACTCCTCACTGCTACCGCTGCAACAAGTGTATGGTCGTTCTTTCACTATGCCCCCATTTCTGTTTCCAAAAACGGTGCATTGACGCTCAGATAATCCCCCTCCTGTTGTAGTCATTGTCTTCATGGGTTTCTGACAGTGGTTTCCAACCGTAGATCACCCTGTAAAACGAAGAAAAACATAAACAGATAGCCGTCACCTGAGGTCAGCATATCTGTCGTGTATGTTGATAATTATGTGCAACCGAAGACTTTGAACCAAATCGATGATGAAAGGACCAAGACAGCTTAATTAAGCGTGGCTTGTCGGAGGGCCAGAAGAGGGATCTAATCCAGGGAACTGAGAAGGATCCATGGCCATGTACTCGAGGAGATCGAGGCCGCCGACATTAACGCCCTCGGGACCCATTGCAACGGAGGGATTCTCAACATTCTGGAAGAAGGCCGGCCCAGGAGGAAGATACCACATCTCGTTGCCTTGATGGTTCCAGTCTTCGAAGAGGCTGACATCCATATTGGCGACAGCGTTGTCTACGACTGTGGGCGTTGATGGACCCAAAGGGCCCTGACCGGGATAAGGGAAGTTTTGCGCTGAAAGATCGAACGGTGTCGCTGAGATGTTGTTGGCCTCATGGGTAGCGGCTTGAACTGGGGCTAATACGATTCTGTTAGTATTTGCATAGGTTTTCCTATGTGAGAGTTGCTTACCGTTACCATTTAGCCCATCCCTAAGTCTCTGCGCGTGGCCTCCAACCCAGTTGGGGTTATCTTCTCCGTTTGGAGCCAGGTTTTCACCGTTATGCGTATGCCCATCTGGGGCAGGGCTTTGCCCTCGGCCTGAAGCCTGTTGCATAGTGGGAGCCTGGATGAAACGGTTGCGGAGGCGGCTCGTGAGAGACTCGAGAAGGTCTGCAAAACGGATTCCCAGGTGAACGTCATCTACAACGCAGTTTCGAAGTGCTTCGACGGTTGCATCCATCAACTCAATGCTCATCCTCACATCTGACCGCGGAGCACCAAGAGCAAAGGTCTTGAGCAAGAACATAGCACCACTGATAATGCGGAAATATGTTCGTACAGGAGCATGCTTCAAGTAATCGCCTGGCAACAGACCTTCGACTACTGTACGAAGCAGGTTCCGACTTCCTTCCACCACTTCGCGGATGTATTCCTGATCGTGCGCAGTAAAACCTCCGAGTTGACCGAGGGGAAGCTTCCCATAGTTTATCATTGTCTGAGGTGACAACTGCGGATGCCCCCCATTGACAGCTGCTGCTCCATGATGCCCAGAGTGAGCCGTTGCTCCAGCTTGGGCCTGGTTGGTACATCGCTCGACGACTGCTTGCAGTGAAAGGGAGTTGATATAGATACGCACGTATTGATACTCGATCGTCAGAATATGTCGAATGAACTCAGGAAGTCGGAATAGTTCAAATTCCCTCCACCAGTCGCGTAAAATAGGCTCGAACTCTTTAAGAATGCTGATATACTTGCCGTTTTGAATGATTTGTGTCGTATGCTTCCGGGAACGGAAGATCTTTTCGTTGCCCATTTCCATGGCGTTACTGATGCCGGCCCAACAGTGAATGATTTGATCATCCAGTTCCAGGTCAGGCACATAGTTGAAGTTGTTTCCAACTGACGAGGGATTCGTGCCTGGGGTAGTCCCGTCGCCAGTGTTGGGTCGGAATCGAGCAAGGGCAGGATCGCTTCTCCTGAGGTGAGCTGGAGCCATGTTGGTCCAACCGAGACGACCCGCGAGCTGAGTGGTATAGATGAGTAACAATCGCTTGATTCGGAAGGCTCTTTGGCGATACGATTCCTCCTGATATTCAGGCCGAGTAATAGCATCGTCTCGAAGCAACTCATCAATGTCATCAAAAACACCCAGTTCATATGCGAGACCGTTTGCAGTACTCAGCAGCATCCAACACATGCGGTCACTTCTCCATGCCGGCTCGAGCCAGCTCTCGATCCTCTTGCCTCCAAAACCGGGACCCAAAGTTTTACTCGGATCCTCATCAGCGGCGGTGATGGCCTGGAAGGCGGCTTCCATAGGCAAAACTAATTCATCGGTTGCCTCAGTAGGTGGGAAGTGCAATGCACGAGGGTGCCATTCGGTCAGAATCATCAACGACTCGATAGTTCCAAGAGTTCGTAAGCTGCCCTTGCGCAATCCCCGCCAGGGCGCTGTGCTGCTTGTCTGAGACTCGTCGAAAATGGCACTGGTGCTAGGTGGGACACAAAAGCCACCACCAAAGGCTTCTTGTCCCCATAAGCATCGTTCGATCATGCCACGGAGGTACATCCATAGTTGTTCATGAATTGCATGGGATCGGCAATGGCCGCCAGTACCAGGCATTTGACGATATCGTGAGGCAATCGTCAGAAGAGTAACTGTTAGGATAGGCTCCTCATAGAGCAACGTAACATGCGACGAGGGGTTGCTAAATGTCGGCGGTGATATAGGCGTCAAGGGGGACAGATATTTGTAGTAACTATGAAGGTTAGAAAGGCGATTTTATAGCTGAGGACAATGCCAGTCTTACTAGTCAATATACTCGATAGCCTCGAGGGCTGTGAACCAACCGGCGCGAACGAATCGAAAGCGTTGCCATGCCTTGATGGCTTCAGTATATCCAGGCTGAGAACTGAGTTCGGGTCGTGAGAGCTCGGGATCGATAGGCTGTTCTGGTTTGGGCGGTCTGGAGGTTGATCTGGGAACATAACCGTAAGGACCAGTATCCACGGGTGGGGGCCGAGGAGCCGCTGGACGAGCAGATGAAGTGCTCTCTCTGCGCTCGCGTTCAACGGCAGGACTATTGAGTATAAAATTAGCTTCTGGACTAGCAAAAACCGAAAGTCTAGTCTGAAGACATACCTGTCTGTGGCTGCTTTGTAGAGTAGATCTAGTGCATCCTGCGGACCAAACACGCCGCGCCGCATAACAGTTTGAGCCTCAATGTTTTCCAGTGTCTGGTTGGCATCGCCTTCAACTCCCCATTCGCTGTTCCGTCCGCGACCTAGTCTGCTGCCGTCAGGACGACGTAGCGGTTGGGCTTGGCCATGCGAGCCTCCGGGAGTCAAGGGTGCATTGCTGTAAGATCGGCGTTCGATGAGCGGTGGAGGGCTGTCGTTGGCATTGACCCTTTTGCGACCGTTCCTGATGATGTACTCGTCCTGGTCGCTGCCATCATCATCCGTCTTGCGCTTGCGACGAGTAGCACTGAAGAAGCATTCTTTACTCTCTCTGCGACAGCGCACACAAGGAGGGTCGTGAGGGTTGTCGACACTACCAAGATCGCATCGCACTTTGCGCCGACGGCAGGGAATGCAAGCCTGGTAAACACGCTTGTGCTGAGGACCTTGGTTTGCGTTCCCGGTCGACTGCCCGGGGGTTTGTTGTGCAGAACCTTGCGCAGCGTTGTTAATTGAGGCTGCAGGACTCGAGTCGGAGGCCCCGGAGGTCGGATGGTTAGCACCGTACGGGGCCATTGCCAATGTCTGACAAGATTCGGAGGGAAGAATCGTTAACGGAGTCGGCGATCGAAATTGAACGGCGCGGGGGGAGGTTTGGAACGGCTCGGCGTCGACGTCAAAACGTCGCCGTTGCCGTGTTCGTAAACGGCCGAGCTCAGCTAAGAGCTAACGAGGCTCAAATCTGACGCGACGGAGATAAAAAAAAAAAAAGATCTATAAGGCTGATAGGATATGATGTCGCGTTTCGGTTTGCGGCGGTTCGGGGAGGGAATGTGAAGAGAGCGCGGGCCGAAGAGAAGCGGACTGGGGGGATAAAGGACCTTTTTGGAGTTCTCCTCTAGGTGCAATGAACCAAGAGACCGGGCGCAAGGGTTTTGACTCGAAGTGCCCTGTGCGTGATTGTTATAAACTAGTACGTACCCTGGTTGATATGATAAAGAATGAGTGGAAGAATATGAATGGATCCGCCATCGAGGTTGGTACTCGATGCGGGGGGAGGGATCACCTACTAACACGACCTAGTAGCATTAACTCAGTCTTAGCTCGAGGACAAGACTCGACCACAAGTGGCCAGTGCAGGGTCAATTCAATGGGAATCTGTTGGTCTGGGCGATCTTCAAAACGGTAAATTGTCAAATGAGAGGTGAGAACTGACAAGAATCATGGGGTAAAGAGTCTTTCTTTCTTGTCTTTTCCTGGGGGAGAGCTACAGCACGGCCATGTCTATTCTGGGGGTGAAACATGCAGCAAATGTACATCAGTAAACATGATAGGTTGGATGGTTTTGGAGCAAGGTCACGAGTCTCGTTGCTCTTTTTTTCTGTTCCCCCTTTGTCCAACAACTTCAACACGTTGTTGCGAACAAATCAATGTGAACTTGGGAGGCGTAGTACACACCAACATGTATCAGGTGACGACGTGTCAATGTGATACTTTACGTATTAAATAACAAACCTTACAGGTGTCATCTCTATGAACTTCGTTAGCTTATACGCCAAGAGACTTCTGATGGGAATGTATACCTAGCTCTGAATACTCACCGTCTTCACTTAATTCGTGACCTTCCTAATCAACAGGTATTCCCCAGTTCCATTGATCTAAAAGACAGAGCTTTCAGAGTTTTCAATGGCACGATGGAAGGTCTAGAAGGATAGAACAAAAGAACCCAGTAAGCCAAAAGTTCGCGTTATCCCGAGACGGGCAACTCGATAATCAACGTCGAGCCTCATTGGTTCGCCCAGAGTTTGCTATCGTTTCGCTGCAAAACCGCTGCAAGCGATCGAGAAACCAGGGGCCAGGTTTCAATCTCATGCAGCCATCAGAGACTCAAGGATACAGACTACATACGTCTCTGATATGATGTGCTGAAAGAAATACTCCGAACCATGTTGACTAGATGGGTGTTTATACTTGAGAGCAAGACTAATCATCTTTCCTGCGTATAGGTAGTGAGAATCCATTGACAACAAAGACTTCTTTATCAACATCTACACCGCATTAATCCAAAATGACCTTGATCATCAAATTCGCTTTGCGATAATATGCATCAGCTCCGCCCCTCCCGTACTTATCGCACAACCAACCAATCGCCAAGTTGAGGCGCATGTCACGTTGACGACGCCTCCATCTTCTCAGTGTTTGACCTACGTGTCGGCCCATCAGAATTTTCCAATATCTACTTGCGCATCTCGTAAAATGTATCTTGAACAAGAAGGACGTGAAGAAAATGCAGTCTCAAGTTATCCCTGCTGTGCATTGGCATGCATGCTCTGCTATATCCTTTACGTCTTGGCTCTTCGAAATCCCCCGACACTCCGCAATGTATAGGGGTATCCTTGCTTTCCTTTTATTCGTCAATGGTAACTTGTCATCGTGTCGATGCCATACACACTCCTTTCTCAATGTAGCTGTTAGATCGATCTTTGTTCGGTGACATATAAATCTCTGCCCTCCAAGATGTCCAGCTCAGAAAACATCCAGAGGAATGTTCCGGGGCAACCAACTCGACGGTTGAATTTCTGGGTGCTTACAAATGATAAAATCACCCGCAGCTCTTGCAAACGACGCCCTATTGAACGTCATAATGTGACTTACATGTAAACATCCAAACCACTGGGAGAATCCTTGCAACACTACCAGCCATGCGTACGTAACAACAACGCAGTCCAGCGGAGAGTAGCTCCTCGCTTCCTTATCTTCAGCCTCCACTATACCCATCTGCCGAGCATCCCGTGCTCAGACCAAGCAGGTAGTCAGGTCCCCGCTCACCTTCAAACACAAGGTGATACCTTGGATACTATCATTGCATCTCACAAGTGACGGTATTAACAAACAGTACAGTGCCCTCGGTAGTGTTATGACTGAAAAGCTTGATGACAGGGAAACCGGTTTCCATTGTTTGTAGCTTCTAGCCCAGTATTGGGCTCAAGAGATCAAGTTCCAAATACAAAGCTCATCATCAGTTTCTTGCTTTTTAAGCCAGCTTTCCATGAGATATTCAAACGTGCATGAATGACATAGCAGCGACTTAAGGGCCATGGGTAGATCCAACGCATAAAAGTCCATCGACCAAACTCATATGGAGAAAGCAGCCGGCATCCGAGAGCAGCAGGCCTGGTGCTCCCGTTTGAACTACATGACTACTTAAGCAAGACACTCGGTCACACGCCAGGGAAAACGGTAGTCTTTCAACTCCCGATCCGACATCTGATCGATCCGGCCCGTCAAACTGATCGGCCGAGGCCGGGCCAAGGCCTGATGTTATTGGCTGATCTCTTTTACATGCCCGTCTTCCGGCGTCGAGATTCAACTCCCTTAAACTCTGGTAAGGAACTCGTTTACAGTTTTATGCCAACACAACAAATACAGAATTGCAACCAACCTCTTACACAAAATGATTTAACACGAGAGGGTGATCTATAATTTAAAACTTCCCGAGCGATAAGCGAGAACAAAGTTCTTTATAGAATTGTGACCAAAACCTCGTCTTGTTTCAAGGCTCCTTCCTTACCCCTTTCTGTCGTCCTCTTTCGTGCTCATTAACTCGTCATTTTCCTAAATCCCATGGTTACAGCAACTCCCAAGCGCAGACTATAGGCCCTATCGTCGATGGAATAACATTAGGGGTGGTGACATTAAGATATGGTAGCAAACATCTAGCTGACAAGACCCTTCTTAGCCTGTTACCGGAGCGCGTGGTCAATAATTGGTCTTTGTATCATATCCTCGGCCATCAAGGAGAACTTACAAGGTGATCCCAAAGCTTTGAGGTGAGACTGTCGGGCATGGTGTAGAGATCAATGGAGAATTCTCCGGCTTTAACCAAGTCATCCACTATTAGCCACCATACACATCAACTACAATGCAAAGATAAGGGAGAGGGTATGCAGGGAACATATGTTGGGTGTTTGTGCATTCGTGACGCGGGATTGGGAACTTACCTTCAACATCACTTCTTATGTATGTGTCTGGCCCCTTGTTCTCGTTGATGATCTGGATGACACGGAGCAGATCCTCCTCCTCAAGCTTTTCCAGCGATTCAGCGATCTTCTCATAGTCGTATTTTTGAGCGCTCTTCTTGGTCGCGAGCCCCTTCTTCTTGGGACGGTGGTCGTCGTCGGTAGGGAGGGGGCCAGTTTCGCGCAGGCGCTCCTGCAAGCTCTGAGAGGGGTTCTTGAAAACCACAGTGTGTGTTTGCTCATACTTGGTCTGCTGGAAGTTGAGATCCTGAATGATGGGCGCTAGCTTCGTTTTCTCCGTGGTGTAGCAATCGATCGAGATCTCGAACTCGCCCCAACCCTCGTTCTTGCACGTAAATGGGGCTTTGGTAAAGCCTGTTGAATAGCGCAAACTAATCAGCGTCTCTGGAAATCCTCATCGCTAAAACAAATATCGAACATACTCTGGACGGGATTCTCAAATGTGGGGTGCAGGTTGTAGACAACTTTGGTGAAAACATCGGCTGAGCGCTCGTTGCCATCCTCATCGACCATGAAAACCTTCATGCTCCATTCTCGCATGGGGAACTGTTCGACTGGCGAGGGCTTGTCACTAATGATGTACTTGTCAGCAAAGATCGGCCGTTTTCTCCCCCAGCAAATCGGGCTGTCTTCATGGACGGTACGCGACCCTCACGATCCAAAAAGCGTCGCAAGCTGGGAGGGAGGCGCAAACTTACATGACATTCTGCTCGGTAACGACCTTGACTTTGCGCTGAAGCGAGACGTTAGCTTTAGTTTTAGAAGTTGACAATAACAATTTTCGGCTTGATGATGCTGGGCGAGTGCGTGGGGCCATGATGATGAGTTCTGGGGTGCTCAGTCGTTGCGCGATGCGGACAAGATGCACAGTATAGCTGCGCGGTAACACAAGCTATTGTGTAAATGAAAAACGAACGAAAATGCGCTGGTACTGGCCAGACAGGAACGTGACAGCAGCAGGTGGTAGTAAACACGAATGTGAGCAAACGAGGGTGATGATGAAATAGTAGCCCGAGTAACAAATAGTCGCGAAGAGAGAGCAAAAGGGCGAGGCCAGGCCGGCCGTCGGTGGAGGGTTGAGAACCTTAACAGGCAGTGCGTGAATCGCTATTGCAGCTGTTAGATAGAAGCCATCATGGGCATCTCATCTGTGGCTGCCTGCTTCTGGCTGTCCAACCCAAGCGCGCAACGGCTGTCACTGACATCGGCACTGCGCTGGCACTTGCAGTTGCAGATGCAGATGAATTTATGTATGGAGGCAAACATCAACAGACCGCGACCAATCTTTGCAGAGTCTCTCTCACCGCGCGACACACGTCAATGTTGAAACAGTGCAGAGGAAAGCAAAGCAAAGCACCACACACCGCAACCATCAACCATCAACCATCAACCAAAAAGCTGCTCAGCCAAAGAGACTGCAACAGGCGGGAAAGAACTCAAGCAAACAGACAATATGAACGAACATGTGCAAAAGGGCGGCCAGCACTTGGAATATACATCGAATCGACAGAGAGTAATCCGATGCGAAAGGCTGGGATTTTCAACTTACCTCAACCAACATCTTTTCTGTTGTTCAGAAACAGCAATTGAGAGAGTCGAATAGTCAGAGATGGGGGAGATGATGAACGGCCAAGATGATTGACGCGGATACACAAGAGACGCACAATGTCAATGAAGAAGTATGGATTGGGTTACAAGGGGACAAATTCCTACAACGAGATGGATGGGAGACGTCGGAAAACGGAGAAGCGCCAGCAACTGGACAGAGCTGAGGCCAGTCCCACGGCGGTTGGTTGGACGGGGGGCCAGAAGCAGAAGGGAAAGGAAGGCTGGAGTGCAGGGCAGGCGCGATTGATGGATGGGGTACCTGCCCAGAGACAACTAATGCTGAAGCGTGAACCTGAGAGAACAACACGACACGGCATCCAAATTCGACGCTTTTTCGACAGAAATTTTGGGAATAAAGACGTGGCAGAAAATTCAATTAGGAGATGGAAAGAGTTCAAGAGTTAGCCCATCATACAGCCAGACTTTGGGTTATATTAACAAAGACATACTTTGTCCCTGTACTGGTTGGGGGCCAGCTTCCAAAACACGACACGCTGAATCACTGCCCTCTCCACTACAATGCTCCAAGCACCATAACCGCGTCGGGCTGGTCTGAACTGGGCTCCGTGCTTTTCCTTGGTTCAACTGCATCATGACATGGCCCATTTTGTCTTTTAGACTATCGCGATGACGTGAATGTCTTGCTATCAACCGTGGTTTTAGTATAAAGTTTCGATCCGTATCATCTTTACAGCTCTTCGTCAGAGCTAGCAATACTTCTCATTTCACTGGGAGGATCACAACATTGCCTTCATCCATTCTTTAACAGTTGTACGTACAAGAAACTGATTTGGCTAGAATGGCATATCAGGTAAGTAATAGTTCACACTATCTACAAAGCATCACATACACGCCGTACAACGAGCAGTGACATAGTCAGATCCATTAAAGAGACTTGTCAGCCACATCTGATCTTAATCCATGAGCCACAGACACCTCCAGCAACTTTGAAGCTTGGCAAATAACCAGTCGTAGACAACAACAGTTCACACGATAAAAGGAATCATAACATCTATGGAATTTTTTTCTTTTACTTCTTTAACAGAGGGTGCTATGTGATCTGATGTTCCTATGATGCTAACTAACCATCCGTCCATCCATCCACTGATCCGCCTCGAGGCTAAACTCGAACAGTTCACCTCAAGAAACCTCTGTCCTTAGGAATCTCTATCTATCCATCTTAAAAACCGTACTGGGGGGAATATAGTGTTGTGGCGGGGTTGTGGTGTGTTGCGTGTTTGTGTGATGGGTCAAGCATCGCAGCAATGTGAGATGCCTGCGTGATGCCGTGGCATGCGTTTTGGGAGTGTTGGAGTAAGACTTTTCAAGATATCGCAGGACTACGAGCGATCGTGAGTCGTTGAAAATATCGAGATCGAACTCCGAAAGGGCAGGGGAATCGGGGAGGGTTCTAAGTGCGAGCTGTTTAGGAAGGAGGAGCCTCGGCGTCCTGAGCCTTGTTGAAGATCTCCTCGTTCTCCTTCTGAGCCTTCATGAAAGAATCCTTGAAGTTGTTGGCGTCTGAACACAAGTTAGTAATGGGTCCTGTCGCGCGTTTCATCCAGAAAACCTACTCTCAGCGTTGGCGAATCGAATGGCCAGGGTAACAGCCTCGGGCTCACCCTCGCTGACATCGGCAGCGGCGTTCCAGACCCAGCTGCGGTCGGAGCCAACGTTGGGGGAAAGCTTCATCTCGGGGACGATGTAGTGGTTGGCGCAGACCTTGAGGGTCTTGTCGCGTCGCATCACCAGTCGGGTCTTGCCGTTCTCCTTGTGCTTGAGCAGGCGAACGTCACCAGTACCACGCTCCTTCCACTCGCTGCTCTCCTTGACGAACTTGAAAAGCTTGGCGCGCATCTTGAAAGTCTGCTCCTCAGCCTCCTCGTTGGTCTTGGTGTCAACCTTCTCGGTCAGCTTGATGACGGGCTCGAAGTGAACGTCCTCGGACTCGGGAGCATCCTCCTATATAAGCGAGGCTGGTTAGCATGGAACGTTTCGAGGGGAACGACTACAGCATGCCATGCTGAGACATGTCAACATACCTCATCGCCCTTGGCGGCCTCAGCAGCCTCTCGCTGAGCCTTAGCGCTGCCAGAGTTATCGCCGCGCTCCTCGTCTTCCTTCTTCTCCTTCTTGGCACCGCCGCCGAACATGGAGAAGACGGAGGAGGATGTAACAGGCTTCTCAGCAGCAACCTCAGCCTCGACAGGCTTGGTCTCCTCAGGCTTGGTCTCCTCGACCTTGGGCTCGGTGGGCTCGGAAGCAGACATTTTGGCGGTTGATATGATCGGTTGTGAATATGGTTTGAGTCTACTGCCCCTCAGACGTCAGCAACTTTTTCATAACCCAGGATCCTAGTCCCGCAGTCATGGCTTTTACCCCTCCTCAAGGAGGGGCTCAGAGCCATGATTGCCCACCAGGGTGTCAAAATGCAGACAAAAAAACAGCACGAGTCAAGAACCAGCAGAGGCGCACTATACTTACCAAGATAAGCGAAATGTGGTTATGAATATGCTTCGAGAAAGCAAGGGGTGGTTGGGAATTTATGTGATGATGGTAGATGGTGGAAGTGGGTTGCGGTCAAGGTCTGGTGATTTGTTTTCGTCCTTGTTAGGCTGCCGTCCCGCCTAAAAAAACTGAGCAGTAAGTTGCCCCTCAATTTCCCCTGTTGTGCCCTGTTGATTCTTAGGCATGGCGAAAGTCCATAATACTGGCTTTTGATTGGGAGTGAACTTTATCTGTGGCTAAGTACCTCGTGGGCCAACGATCGCCCTGTCGGTACATGCTTGTAATGATTCAAGATTGGTTGTGGGGTTACTCATCATATGGAACTGCAACAGACTGGATTCAACATTAATTAATGCGTACACTATGACTAGTTTCATCATAAGGGTATCAACTGCAATTACTCGTAATTTTGGTGACAAGAGAAGGGCGGAAGCTGTTACAAGTGCTGAGACTTTGTGATCCCGAATGTCCACATCAAATAACGTTGGGAGAGTCATCTTAATCCTCCAAATAAGTAGCTCCTTTGGGCACTTCACGATGGACTCATTTCATCACTATGGAACTGGCCTCGAATGTCATAACCACTAACAAGCACTCAAATACCACGCACGATTCAGGAGATGGGATGGATTCAATTACTATTCTCTTACAGTAACCCCTTTTCCGTTTCCTATACATGCCGTTCGCCACTCAGCAACGGCCCAGCCCAGATAGAACACTCTCAAAGCTGCAGAAGAGGCATCAACCACATCGACTACCTATTGTGGAAATAAAAGGGAGTAAAGCCAATAAAAGCAAGTCAAACACGTCTACAAATGGTATGAGACCCCATAAACTCCAGTCCACCAACCCCATACCTCAGTAATGAACCCAAAATATTCCTTGAGACGACACTGCCACGCCTGATGCGAGCGACGAAAAGGCCAAAAAGAAAAGATCCTCCACGCCGTAAGCAACTTTATGATGCAGCTTTGGCACCACTATTTCTTCTGTCCTCCTGAATCGTCTCGAGACTTCATAAACAAAGCGCGGAAGGGTTTCGAACCAGCTGATGCCTTCCTGGCGGGCTTTTGAACAGGCTTGTTCTTCAGTAGCTTACCATTCATGAACTGTTTGGCCGCATGTTGGTAACGATCATGTTCTTCGTCACCCGCAGTCACCTTGAGCCACCAAAGCTTTGCTCTAATTTGTGCCTGAAGCAATTCGAGCTCGGCTTGGTTTTGCACAACTTCAGTGTTTGGGATGTATTGTTTGATATTAGCCGCAACAGTGCCCAGCTTCTTTGAGATGTCTTGCTTTGCCATTTGAACGCGGCATTTGATATCCCTCTTGGCCCAACTCAAAGACTGGTGAGCATCGTGGAGTTTGGTGCCAAGATCTTTGCACAATGTGTCAGACGTGGTCATGAAGTTTCCGGAAGCAGTCTCCAATGAGCGTCTGGCGTCCTCGAGGCGCCGCTCTGCCTCTTGAGCAGCAGCGGGAACAAGCTCTGGAACACGTTGAGCTAGAGACAAGGTCAGGTTCAACGCCTCCGAAAACATGCCCTTCCCGAATTCAACCTGGAGGACTTTGTGGATCTTGGGGCGGCAAGTAGTGTAAATGTCAAACTTGACGGTTCCATGGGCTTCCTCTCTAGGGATCTTGAGTAGAATGCCTTCATCAACCGATGAGGTGCCAAATCGGACATGTTCTTCGTCCCGCTTGGCATTGAAGTTGAGACAATCTCTATCAAGCCATGATTTCTTGATGCCTCGAGGCATATGAATCAAAAGGTTGCCTTGATGTCTCTTGACAGTCACATCAATCCTCTGGCTGCCCCAAAGCCATTCATTGGTGCGGGCATCCTGAAGGGGAATAAGTGCTGAGTTTATAGATGTGGAAAGGGACTGCGAAGTTGGCTGCGAGCTTCGACTTGACGATAAAAGTGTGGGGTGGGTTGTGACAGCGGAAGTGGCTGCGGGGATGTGGGGAGTTGTATCTCTCGAGAGTGGAGAGAGGAAGAAGCTGATCAACGAGACCAGGATAAGCAGAAGGAGAGCAGGTAGGGACGACATGGCGACTCTTTTGATTGCCTCTCTGTTCGTAAATTCAGGGTGTTGGGTTTCCTTCAACCATTTGTGAAGTGTCGCCCGTTGGGTCTCTTCGTCATTCTCGACCCCGGTAGGCAGAGGCAACCGATCAAGCTTATCCATATTACCAGCGTCTGGGCTAGGAATCGATGGGGTCTTGAGGCTTTGCTGGGTATACTCGAGAGAACTCCTAGATCGAGCCTCGTCTTCCGACTCGGGCTCCTGTTCGGCAGGCTGTAACTCAGGCTCGGGCTCTTCGTCAGGTTCAATATCAGCCTCAACCTCAGGGAGTGGACCGTTGTTGACTACTGAAGCCCAGCTTTGTTGTGTTTGTGGAGTTTTGTTGACATCCATAGATTCAGAGATGTCATCAGACTCTTCTTGGGTTTGTTGAGCAGGGGCTTCAGCTTCATCGGTAATGGATTCGTCGTCGCAGGTCTGCTCAGTACCGGCGCAACTTTGGACGTCGTCGGGGCGTGCGAGGTCGAAAGAGTCGATAGACTCGCTCATGGACTCGTTGTAGTTTCCATCCTGAGACTCGGTGTCGATGTTAGAGATTATTTCATAGGAGGACTCGGCCATAAGCCCCCCATCCTCCAGAGTGGTGGTGAAACGCATGATGTCTGGATTACTAGAGGAAATCCAGTTGGCAAGATGTCGATTGCCTAGTGGGCGAGGAAATCGAAGAGTAGGTTCAGAGGTCGACAAATGACTTCTGTTCGGCGTTGTTGGCCGAGAAGAGAAACTCGTGGCGTGGCGCCCGGGAGCTGGTGTAAGCGGCGAGGTCGAGGGTGATGACGATGAAGACTGGCGAGTTGATCGGTGTTCAGTATCACGGGGCACGGTAGAATGAGGGCGGAAAGTTTGAGGATCTTGCTGTTCCATAACGAGGTGATAATAGAACAGGAAGAGATTCTATTCCATCACAGGCTTCGTAGCAAGAAGCAGCCTATGCAGGATAATAGATGAGGTGTCAGGTGAAGTCGGACTGCGAGGGGCAAGAGAGACTGAGGTATGAAAGGATAAGGTGAGGGGTGAGCGGAAGGCCGGATAATGGGGAAGGGGCGTCTGTGTAATGGTGCGATGACGGGGGGGGAATTGCTGTATAAAATAGGTGGTCAAGAAGGTTGAAAAGAAAAAAGTGTCAAAGTGTATTTGGTATTGGGTTTGTATGTAGATGATGGTTGGGAGGAAGCAAAGACTACTAACCAGAGGATAAAAGATAAAGATCAAAAAGGCGACCTTTATGCACTAGAAGACGGGTGATTGTTTCAAGGTCCGTTCCTTGTCCTGAAGGCGTCTTGACTTGGGCTGTCGAGCTTGGTTGCCTTAGTAGGGCTGTAATGGCGGAAGGAAGTGGCAAGCCGAATAGCTGGGGTTTTATTTTGGATGCACTTTTGGTAGAAGGAAAACAAAGTCTCGTCGAATAGCAGAAATATTACTTTGAGGATGAAAAAGTCAAACTCAAAGCCTCATATTACGTTGAGATTGATGGGCTGATGGTAGGCAGTTGGTTGCCTATGATGGCGCACAGTTTCGTGCCGTGAGGATTAAGCTTGGGTCTCCACGTTGCTTGATAAGATGCCTCCCTTGTCTTGTTGTACCTTAGCTTCGGCTTAGGTAGATAAAGAAGGGAACATCTCAGGGATAGATTATTTCGGCTTTGAGGCGGCGATGGCGAGGAGAAGGAGAAGAAAGAGGAGAGAGGAAACGTGCATTGGAGAAAAGTAACGAAATCAGGCAGTCAGAAAGATGGACGAAGTGCACATTCACATTCACATTCACTCATACACTACCAAGGGTGGATCGCTTTGAGCTTCAGCTGCATAGGTATGTTTCTTTGGAACGCCACTACCACTGCCCTGAACTTAAACTATGGTATATGCCCGTTGAATGGTCATCAGGGTATCAAGGTTCTTTAGGGGAATTGTTCTTTGTTTCCATGATGGATGTGTGTATGAGGCAAATTAGAATTAGATCCCCAGGCATTCACGACCTCTCAAGGTCGTTGTGATCCGATATGTTTGATGTTGTACCTTTCAAGCGCCTGCTGTCGTCACTTAAACCAGGGTCCCTGCTAGCACTAAAGGGGATCTGGTCCATACAGTTCACGCCCCGTCAGATAGGACAAAACCCCCGAGAAGTCAAGATGTGACTCTTCATTCATTTACAATATTTCAAAGGTTAAAATACATGTCATGATAACTCTGATATGTCAAGTGCATGGTCCCATTCATCTATCTAGTTTCTATAGAAATACTTCATTACGGTCACATCATGTACTCGAATAGCTCTTTAATGTCTATACGTCGTCTTATCGCTTTGCATGCCGCTATCGCACCCTGCACCCCCACCATAAGCCCGTCGTGACCTCTTAGCGTAACTGCGGGGTAGAAATGAGACTGCTCCAGGGCTGTTTCGGGCTGAAATAAACCCACTCTCGAGACCCCGTGAGCAACCTCTTCCGATATATGTATTCAACTTGTCAAGTCCAACTTGTGTCGCCAATACTAATTAACCGCTCAAAATGACTCTATAGCTTCAAAGGATTAGGCATTCTCTCTAAAGCTAGAACACATATTTGACTCATACAAGAGTTCTCTTCACCGCCATGGTTTAAGTGAAACGACATTGTCAATCCTAAAATCCAATGACAATGGACGAGCACCATTCGATGCAGCCCCGTGTCTCAATGCCACTTTATTAACAAGAGCAACTGCAGTGGCTTACATGACGTAAGAATACAGTGCCCCATACCAATGTACCTATCCGTAGGTACCCTGCATATGAGGTCAAAGTCGAAGACAAGAGTAGACTTTCATGGCTGTGCCAGTATCACATTGAGTACCAAGCGGGTAGCAGAAACGTTGGGATATCGTCGGTAAGTAGCCAAGCTCATGGTTCAGAGAATAAACAAGCGGTGACCTAGTCTAAGCCATAATGAATTGTATTGGTGATCTTGTCTAATGCATCAGGCATCTTGGAGTTCCCGTCATGACATTCGCCTGGTCTAAGTGATGAATGCTTCAGTATCATCATCTAATGCCTATTTCCTTCTTCAATCCAATGCTTTTACAGGAGTCGTAGACAGTATATATATACACTTGCAGAACACACAAACCCGCAAAGGTACTTAGGTAGGTAACCATCCCTACGACAAAAGTACCAAGATACAATCACAGCATGGTGTCCTGGTTTCATAGTCAACTCAAAGACGGGACACTGCATCGTTCTCATAACATAGGTATATATCATCATAATCCGAAAGTAATAATGTAGAGTACTGTTGTAAATTTATTTGGTTTCTAATCCCACAAGGATTATTATGTCCAGCCCAAATATCCCCATGTCGACATGTCCACAAAAGGTAGTAAGGGTATCTCTATCCGTAAATCCAAAGTCTATAAACAGGCACCGCCATCATTGTAATGTACTCATGCAGTCTTCCCTTCGCGTAAATGTAATAAACCAAATGATTTAACAGTCCTTTTACCGCCCTCTAACTCCGCCAATAAAACATAGGAAAATGAATAGCACGTGTATCCCTCCCGGAGGGTTACTTGGTGCCATGTATGGGTATCGTAATCAAAGGCTTCGATGTGAACCGGTGCCAATCAGAAATAATTCAAGTATTCTTTGTCGTAGACGTGGCCGCATTAATGTAGTGTGATGTGTGATGCAAATGATGTGATCCAGTGCACTATAGGATAGTGTGCTTTTGGAAGAGTTGTCTCAACGATGAGGTACCGAAGGTCTCATCGTCGGGGATCATCTCAATCAGACCCGTTAGATTGGCGAAAAGATCACCCTGGTTTCGGTACCCCAGGATTGCGGGTACAGCAGCGTTGTCAAACTCGATCTCCTCATAGTGGACCTTGACAAAGTGAACCTCGGGGTTGGCCTTGACGATAGGCATGAGTGCTTGCTCGATAGTGGCGGAGACCTCACACTGGACGAGATAGTTAGTATCAGGTTATTGAAAGGACATATAGATCAAAACATACCTCGTGGTCATACACAAAGACAACGACAGTTGTTTCCCTTCCAACCTTCTCAATGGCGTCGAGGTATCCGAGGGCATCCACCTCATCTAGGCGGCCATAGATGCGAACACTAGGGCTTGTCCTTCGGTTGTTCCTGATAGATCGGCTGGCCTCGCTCTCGAGCTCGCGTCGACGGCTCTCTCTCCACTCTGCGAGGAAAGCTTCCTCGTCGGCGTCGCTCTTGGCATCATCCTCGCTGCTGTCGGTGTCGCTCTTGGCGGGAGCGGGAGCAGACTCAATGCCGAAGATGCTGTTGCGGGCAGTACGGACACGGTGTCGCCACTTGTTCTTGCGGGCAGCCTCATAGTTCCGTGCGTCGGCAATGACACCCTTAACGCCAGTAGCACGACCGCTGTCGAAGGAGACAGGAGGAAGCTTGATCTCGGAGGCGCCAGCGCCAGTGAGGCGATCAACAGTAGGCATGCGCATTGCGTTGTCGATTTGTGCGTTGCGGAAAAGGTCTTCTTCGGAGAGATCTTGAATATCTTTGAAGTCGGGGTCGTCACGATCCTCTGGATGGAGGGTTTCACGGTGTGTATTCTTGGCGACCAGGTCGTTAAATTCTTCTTGAGCGGCAGTTGACATGATGGGCAAACTGGGGGGAGGGGAGTGATTTAATATGTATGTGATTGTCTGGTAAGAAAGAGTGTGATGAAATGTCGGAGATGGTCAATGCCTGGGACAGGTAGATTCGGAAACACAAGTGCTGTATCGTTCTGGAAGGTGTGGAGAAGGACAGGAAGGGGTCGTAGGGAGGACAGGGCACACAAAGGCGAAATCCGAGTTAGAGAAAGGCAGTACTGAGCAATCAGGAGTGGTTAATGCAGGGACAGGGCGGTGAGATTGGGGGGAAAGCTTGGATCCAAGGGTAAGAAGAGGTGACGAAACAGCGGAAGTGGAAGGGGCAAGAATCCTCTTTTGAGACTTGAGATGTTTCAGGGCTTGACATTAGACCTTAATCGACAAGAAACATTGGAGAGAATGCGAACGAGCCACTTGATGATCTGTCCTGTAAACGGGCAGTGGGCGCAAGACTCGGGCGGAGCAAGGTTTGAGCGCTTGTTACAGGGCGTCGACGATTTTGAATCTGAAGAGGTTGACTGGAAATAGAAATAACAATTGGGTCTGCTGGCACAAAGTAAGCCAATCACAAAGTTATACAGTCTGCTTATTGTTGGTGTTTACCTACCTTAGTACCTAGGTAGGTACTAGCTATTGATGTCTTGGATGTTTCTGTGTTTATCTGAAAAGGCTGCATCATACCTCGTCGCAGATCCCAAGACTAATATCTCATCCTTCCTTGCGATAAAAAGCACATAGTCGATTCACGATGCGACACATACACCGACTTTCTTTTCTTTTGTTCAAACCTTAGACGCGTGTTTAGTTACTATCTCTATCAAGTCAAGTCAGGGGTGGAGAGCTCCCAAATTAAGCAGGGATCCAGGTTTCCAACGGCTTTTTCTTCACCCAAATACAACAGAAGCTAACAAATGCTACTGCTATTAATCGGCATTCCCGGATATGGGCATACAGTCCGCATCGAGTCACTTGGGCCGAAGAATACAACATATACTAGTACATCAAAGGAAAGACAATTGGAACTGGTGAAATGAGGTTTGATGCAACAGAGTCGCACCACTGAGGGATCGGCTGTTAAGGGGAAATGTCATGTTCACCATTGACAGACAAGTAATGATATCAGAGTTAAACAATAATTAATTAATTGATTACCCCTCTTTGGTAAACATCACAAGATCAACATTTGTCACATCAAACTGAACCTGATCATCGATTTGTGTTGAATAAATTGTCTGGCGTAGACTAATGGTGCCTCGTGGCTCGAGGCTCCAACATCCAACCACCAACACATTCTGCGACAGCCCGGAAACAAACTCGGCAACGCCACGCGGGTTCCTGGCATGCAGTAGTACTGTACCTGGCTATCAATAGACAGGCATCTTGAGCGAATCAATTAACGGTCCCAAATATCCACTCTTCCATATTCGATCACCAGGCTGAGAAAGTGTCTATCTCATCACTGCCTTGTCTGCCAACGTATCGGGGAATTTTGTGAATGCCACGCAATCTCAAAACATGGCATCATTCGCAACACGTAGCAAGTTCAAGTAACGCTCGCGTCCACTTAAGATCTCAAGCCATCACGAGTCCCGTGCCCTGCCTGTGCTTCGCCTATGCTTATTGTTGGTCGCTTGCTGCCCAAGTCCACGGCCAACAGGGGGCGGTCTAGGACCACTAACACAACCCGCACTCGTTTCACGACTCAGTTCCATCCTTCTACCTTCATGCCATGAACAATACGGCCAAGGAATTACCAGAGGCCGAGAGTAGCGGCACATGATCTCGCAAGGCACACTCTTGTTACAGACTATCAGGCGGTCTACCAAGGAAACATCAAGGAGGATGACGATGATCGCATCAGCCTTTTGACAGTCGAGACAAGCGGCGTCTGAGCTCAGGCATCATGACGGCACAATCAAGCTTTGTCTTGCTTCTTTTCAACATGGATCGCGACCTGAGGATGAAAGGACGCATTAGCAAAACAAGTGAGGCATCGCAACAGTCGGCTTCGCCGTTCGTGTTGAACAAATTGTCTTTACGATGCGCGCGGACATGTCGTGATGGGGCGTTCGTCTGCCCTACGAGGCTGCATTCATCATGCGATCCTTAGACCTCCAGGTTTGACAGTTCAGATCGGCCAACGATGGCGACAATAGCGGTAAACGCGACATCAGCGCCATCAAGCAGCCAAGCAAGTCTTCGGGCAACGGCCGGTCATGTTAAACGCCATTGAGTGTCATTCTAGCGTGTTTTCAATCCTTCTAATGCACATCATTTCAAGCCATGACCAACTCATTCTTATTTCCCCAGCATTGTAACTATTCTCGAAGCCAAGGCTAACAAACGAAGGGTCCAACGTGTCACTTTACAATACAACATTGCTATTCATAGGCTGTTACCATACTAATCTGTCATGAAGCCCAAATACTTTAGATTGCCAGGTGATGCCAGCGGGTCCATCATGGTCAAAGCTGTTTGCTAAGTTCCCCATGCTTCGGCATCGCCGAAGTCTTCTAGAAGCATTCTGGCATTGTACTACGTATTAGGTATAATCTGGGTCTTAACAGCTCTTAGCACTACTTGTCAAGAGTCAGTCTCTCACGATACGAGTGTATGCGTACCCACGCCTGTTATTCATTGATGCATCGAAGCCGACTAGCAGAGTGTTGTTATCTTGGTTGGTGATCTCCATTTCATCTTCGTCCCATGGTCAAATTCATTGGCGCTGTTGGCTTGGGTGCACAGCTCAGATTTCGACAAACGAACAAGAACAATGTGCAACGATGGACGTGAGAAACCTCAGGCGGGTGTAGGCCACGGACATTGTGAAGCATCGGTTGACAGCGCATCTTGTCTCAGTCCCGTGATGCATTGTTCCACAGACAGTGTCCATCTTGTCAATGCATTGTCTTCTTTGTTCTCCATAAACGGTTTGAGGCATTGAGTTCTCTTGTCTGCCTTTGAGCTGTCTGGCAATCGGCATGTTAGACTACGTCGGTAGCATTATGCGGCTTGCACAAAGAACAGGTTACAAAGCTTTAATAGTTGCGTTCCCGCCACTTCCGTTTGTCAAAGAGACATGACACCTGAGAGTGATAAGTATTGGGTGTTGGCTTCACTGTTTACAACAGACTTGCAGACCCTAACTAAGCCGCTGCCCAATGCAGTGGCCTTCCACTCGTAAGGCTCTCAGAAGTGTATACATATAATGAGTTTACGAATACTTGGTCAACGAAACACTATGCAATATTTCAAACGAGAATTATTCAGTACTCGATTTCTAAGCTCCCGCGAACGGGTTACACAACAACCGGGATGTTCGTCCGTAGTTTGCTTTTGCAACTCGTCCCTTGCCGTGCATGAGCACATATTGGATTCCCCCGAGACGGCTCCCTACATATGTTACTTCTCGGGAAGGATAGTAACTCGTTGACTTCATATATTAATTAAGTTAAGGTTCCGGCCCGTTTTGTTGTGAAAGTTGGCTCTTCTCATTGGGTTTCGGACGTATCTGTTGGTACCAACAGAGCTCTATGCGCCATCAATGGGAATACGATCAACATGTCTTGATACCCCATGAATTTAAATCGTATTTGTGTTCAGTGCCAATGATCGGGCGCACCGTGCTTTAGCGGCTTGTCAAATACGTTGGGGTTTGTGGATGAATGTAGCTGCAGAGTAATACATCATTTTAATGTTAATTGAGCTCTCCTATAGTATTTAAGTAGTCTTCGTCTCTTTATCTGTTTTCATTATTCCTTTGTTTCCCTTCATAGACTGAACACCTGCTGGTTGCCAACGGCTCAAGCTGTCTGGATCCGATCATCAATAGCATACTTCAAGATCAACAATCTCAGTGATGATTCCCCATATATCAAACTGATACGTAGCTGATCTCGCAGGCAAATGGCTTCAGCTGAGAGCGGCGACCTCAAAGTAACACAGGCAAATTGTTGGATGGGCTCGAGTATGTAGTTCGCACAGTTTCGAGATAGATCAACAGTCGATTGCAAGTCAGGTCGAGAATGGAAGAAAAGTCGTGTAGTTTTGAAACATCATGATGTATTATCTCGAGGACTGAAATTTTGCTCGGTATAGCCGTCAACTCCCGTGGATTCCCCTCATATAAAAATCGTCCCCCTACAGCCTTGCAAACCTTGGTTCCGTAATTATTCGTTCTGCGATAGAAACAGCCTGGGACCGAAAGACGTGAGCCGCTGAGGGTCGATACACATACAGAGGGCAACTGAACAACAGAGGAAACCCATCCAATAATACAACCACCCATTACTAACAGCCCGGGTTGTGTCAGAAAAGGGGAAACTATGGTGCATAGAATTTTGCAAGCGCGAAAAAAAAACAGGAAATGGGAAAAAACAATGAAAATAGTAATGAAAAAGAGGTATCGCATCAGCCAGTGTATTTTCTCCCCAGATCCACCACGAGTCAGCAGCCCGTATTGGAGTGCTCGCGTCCGGCTGAAGAAAGTCGTTGGTAGGGGTATGTGGTAAAGGTAAGGTGCGGTTCGTCACGTCGTCCTGCATTCGCTAATAGTCGAACTCAAGATGGGCGTCTTTAGCTCTCGAATTCGATGGGCAATATAGTCGTTCGAACGCAGATGGTATAGAGGCCGCGAGCACGTACTGGCATTCATATATCCAGACAAATAGTTTCATGGTCGCGAACGACAATTAGTAAGCCCAGATTTTAAGCTGGGAAATGTTAGCAAGTCTTCATTCACTCCTCGTGTTGTCCAAAATACTCACCAAAGAATCCCATGATCCTGTGCACAGGCTTGTACCGTCATTGCTCACTCCCAAGCAGCTGACACGGTTCTCGTGGCCAACCAGAGAGCCAACCTTTTCACCTCGGGTGATATCCCAGACCTAGATTCTCAATGTTAGCACTGCATCATCCTAGAAAGCATTGCTTGTGACACCACAAACAGAGCCATGCTTACCTTGCACTCAAAGTCATCATAACCGGCGAAAAGGAGACGGCCCGACACAGAAGTAGCGACGGAAGTGATACCGCAAAGAATGGACTCGGACTGCCAATTGCGTTAGCCTACACAGAGCCAGTTTGACAAGGCCCGTACTTACCCCGTAGAGGTTGAGCTCGCGATCCGCACGGATATCAAAAAGTCGACAAGTAGCATCGTCGGAGCCGGTAACGAAAGAGTGGCCATCAGGGAAGAACTGGATGGCATTGATATCAGACTCGTGACCAGCGAAGGTCTGAACGGCCTTTCCGGCACGGATATCCCACAGCTTGGCGAAAGCATCGCAAGCACCAGAGATGAAGGTGTTTTGGTTGGTGGGGTTAAGGCTGATGCTCATGACGTCGCCGAGATGGTCGGCAAACTCGGTAACCTTCTGGCCCGTCTCAATATCCCACTTCATGCAAGTCATGTCACCAGACGATGTTAGAATGCTACGGTCGTTGATGAATCGACAGCAAGAAAGGTAACCGGCATGACCAGAAAGTTCACGGGCAACACGAGTAGGACCGTCGCGTTGCTGGTTCAAGTTGTAAATGGAGCAAATGTTGTCGAGACCACCGCAAGCAACAAAGTTACCGCTAGGGGCGTAGGCGCAGGTCATGACCCAGGAGGATCGCAGGGGAATGGCGTGCACTTTGTTGGTGGTATAAGCGTCCCAAATAATGAGCTTGCCATCTTGCGAAGCAGAAACTAGGTGTCTCCTGTCGGTTGACCAGTGCATAGCGTAAATCTTGGCCAAGTGACCCTTCAGCGTTCGCTTAGCCTTCATGAGCTGGTTCTTGGGAATAGGCTCATGTGCCTGTTGCGCGACTGCGCGAACTAAAGAATTGAAAAGATCGTGTCAGCGTTGATTTCTCTGGAGTGTGCATCATGTTGATAAGACGCGTGTTAATAGAATGAGAGCATTGTTGGATGGCTGCGGCTATTTCTTTCGCCAGCGGTGTTGGAAGTTGGCTAGGTAATCGGGAGGCACATACGAGTTGTGTCGGCAAGGTCATCCTTCTTCCTCTTAATTCGGTCCTTCAGAGTTTCGGCTTCGCGACGAGCCTGCTGAATTCGCGATTGCATAGCCTCGGGGGAGACATCGTTGTTGCCTTGAGAATTCATCGTGATCGGCCGGGTGAGTGGTGTCGGGTGGTTGACGCGCGACAGGAGAGATTAAACGAGATTCCGGGGACCAAGAGGCGGTGTCGAGATGAGAATCGTGAAGAGGAACGACGATGCTTAGGTCCAAGTCGGGCTCAAGGGAACAGAGCAGAAAAGAGCGACTTTCGAGAAGAGAAATTGACGATGGACGAAAACAGGAGCTCGGCCGGCTGAGGATGGTAGATGGATTGAAATGGGCGAAATGCAAAGCAAGTGGAGAGGGAAAGGCCGGAGAGAGAGAGAGCTGGAGGAGAGAGGAGCGAGAAGGATTGTGAGTGGTAGGGGCCCTTTAGGGGGGAAGGGAATGCGAGCTACAGACTGCAGTTTACAGGGGGGGCGTGTGCGTTGAGTGGATAATCTAAGAGTGGACGACAAGTGGGCGCTGGCTCGACTTGGCCAGTGGCATCGGGAGCGGCAACGACAGGATGATGCCCGCGGACAGATTAATGAGGTAAGGTACGGATACAGACAACCTACTAATCACGGGATAATACCTATCACTGCTACAGTTACAGTTGCAATCCATACTGAGAGTTTTATAGGATAGAACAATGGAAGGAATGAGCGTGTTACAGGTATAGGTGGTAGAACAACGGGCTCATGGGTCCTGACCACGGACACTGTTATGACTATCTATTTCTTTAACATTAAAAATAATAATTTCTCAGCAATCGTACAGTACAGAGTTTACATCGAGTACCTGGACGATAGGCCGCAACAGCTTTGTCATATCTCGGAGAATCATTCTAGTATCATTCCATATCATATTTCGCACGGTTAGAAATGCAAATGGCTGGCCTTGGATGTACTTTATCTTCAATGATTCAGTCATCAAATACAAAGTACCTGCCATTCACTTATTTCGCATCTACAAAAAAAGCCCCTCCATCCATTTACAGTGGGTGCTACTGCTGCACGAACCTGCAGCTAGGGGAACCCTGCGGTCGCCGCCGTCGCTCCGACCCTTTTTGTTCACTTCAGCCAACCTTGCCCGGTTTCTCTCCATCCATCCTTTCCTTTCCCGAACCCAGCTGCAACCATCAAATCAAACATCATTAGCTTCATGTACCTACCAGTGGAATCATCATCATCAATAAACACCACCAAAAAGAAAAGAAACCTGCAAAATAATGGGAGCCCTCAATATCGTCCAATCTGGGCTTGTTGATCCGAAAAAACCTGACTACCAACTCATTGCGAACAGCCGATTGGTTCTTCCACGATGGCAAGCAGCTATGTACAAGCATCAGATGCAATTCAAGATAACCCAGCCCCTGACCTCGTCTGGCATCATCAACTGAGCCCACCCAGGCTTCCATTAGAAGCTCGTCCCGTCCACTGAGCGACCGATCCAGGTCGTCCTGACAGCGAACACGGCTAGAGCCTCGCCCCAGAGCGGAGAGCCTTAACCCGAGCTGGGTAGGTGGAAGACTCGAAGGCGCACCACCCCCAAGCCAGATTGCTACTCAGATTGCGCCTACACCTACCCACCAGAGTCACTGAGGTGATCTCCCGCCAAATTTGACCAAGCTCCAATACCCCAAGGACCAAGAGCAACAATCAATTACTCTTCATCCGGTCAGTACGTACCTAACTAGAGATCCATAACTATCTGGATCACCTCGTTTCCAACATCTTTTGTATCACTGAAATAACAGCAGTCATCTTTATTCGGCTCCTCCACAACACATTTCAGGGGAAATACTCAGTGTCTGCTTTCATCGATTATTAGCAAATCACACGTCACATAATTTTGACTAGTTGCTAGTAGTCCCGGCCAAGACAAATCCAGAGTCCGCGCTACTTGTTGCCATCCAGGAGATGATCTTTCGCTTCGATACACATTAGGAGAAGCTAGTCCCAGAGAGCTCCAAACCCGCTGTGAGCTGTTTTTGACCCACGACCTTTGTACCTTGTCAGCTCCACTTGTATAATTAAATCTTCGCTGTCTTTTCGGCTATTATGTCGCAAAGACTCCCCCAGAAAGGAGTTTCGAGAGTCAAGGCCTGGCATAGCTTAACTATCGGAGGTTACAGGACTGCACTACATACACGAAGACAGTCAGTTGCCTATCTCAATTCTTCGATCGCTCTAAGCATCTGGAAGGGAAGAAACAAACACATTTTCATCAGCCTTGGCTTAAGTGGTCACTACTTTACAAGAAACATCCCCATGTTTTCGAATTGGCTTCCTTGCCATACAAGGTTCTCCGGCATCTCGACCCAGCAATTTGGGCCGGCTTGATTGCACAGCTGCTGAAGATTCCTATAGCAGTTGTTATGAGACAACATTGAACAGAGACAATACAAACCATCCAAACAACTCAGTGTCTTGTCGGCAGGTCTGGACAGCGTCTGGAGTTGCAAACGTTCTATCGCCATAAGTCCTAACCAATACTGATTGTTCTGTCTACCTATAGCTTTTAGATGCATCGAATTTGGAGATGTTTTCGTTCGAGAAGCCTTGTCGATTCGAGACATTAGGACGGGTAGGTGGATGGATCCGGAGAATGCTGTGGACTCAGACTTTAGAGCCCCGATGAACCCTAGTTTCAACAGGGCTGTTTTGACCACTGATGCAATATCAAACCAGGTCGTGTCCGTAGCAGAAATTGCTGCTACATTCTGTAACATGTTGTTTTCGTCGCCTAGGTCACGACCCGGCTGCCGATCAGTCTCCAACACAAACCCTCTAACTAACCGTCCGAACCAGTAACTTTTATGTTTGTCCCTGGCTCTAACCCTGACCAAGGAAAGCCGCTCGTTGATACAAAAACTCATCGATTCTGTGCAACTAATCCCACCTGTTCCCTATCCGTCGACAGCTTGTATAACTGCCTGCCACTCCACGGCTCAACCTAAACAAAGGTAACCACCCAGTGTTTGTCAGACGCTCAAGCTCAACGGTGTCTGCAGTGCACACATGCCGATGTTGACAATGTGGATGTGGAGGGAGTCGGTACCTGCAGCAAAGTGCAACCTTCAAAAGTGCGTTAAGCATACTGTAACCCCTCCAAACCCAGCATATATAAGTAAATGCTAGGTAATATTCTAGTTTCTTACTTAACTACTAACTTAGTTATTATGTAGCTTCATCTTCATCAAGAAGATATCTAGCCATGGAGTTTCGTGATTTGCGTACTGTGAGGTTTCATTGATGCAAATTTTGGTGTGTTTACTTCCCGCCCTCGTACTTCGAAATAACAAGCCTGCTATTTAAGCTCCGTTAGTTCAAAGGACTTGCATATTACTTTTTAGTGTAAGATCACAGGGCCCCAACGCAATTTGCCATCTCCCCAATATATCCACCTTCTTGACAGGCCCCTGCATCTTAAAGTGAGCGATGTCAACCCCTGTCCTTAGTCTATTCCTAGTCCGGACGAGTGTGCCATGATGTAAGTACGTACCGTTCTAGACAACGGCTCTGCCCCTGATCAACTTTGTTCAGGGAGTTGTTGACAGTTGTGAGTTACCAATACATTGTTCTCTATCTCTGAGTTCCCTCCAGCAAATGTGTCTTAGCATGGGCTATTACCCGGCTGGGGCATTATTCCAGAACATAATGCTAACTCTGTTAACCGATCAAGTCATTACGGCGTTACGCTATATCTCGCGGTTGACAATCTCCGTCTTTGAGCCTGTCCAGGCTACAAGGGTCTCCCGGTATAGTTAAAATGTTGCTGTACTACGTAGTATGTTACGTCAAGAGACACCACAAGACAAGCAACGTTGATGGTTGGACGTGTTATACACTGTCTCCCATCCATCATCTTTTATGTCTTTTTTTTTTTCTCGTCTGATTCTCAGCCACTATCGTAATCAAGCCAAAGCTGAACTATCGTACCTGGTTTTCATGTCCACGTCCATGAGTCGGGTAAAGGACATTAGTATCTGGAACCAGCCGGCTTGGCACCCCTTGCCTACAGTCTGCACTTGTCTGTAGAAAAGCATATTCCAATGACTAGTTAGTTCCAGAGCTCCTGCAGCGGGTTGTCTAACCTCCCCGGTGTACGACTCATGGCATGGTTGTATTTGTTTTCTTGATTCCCAGCCCAATCCCGCCATTGTCAACTCTACGTGTTTTCCTCTCCATAAGACACGACGCTGAAAACTTGCTCTACATTTATACAACGTTAGTCGGACGTATTGATACCAAAGTACTCATAATATCTCCGGGTGACGCTTGTATCTTCTGAACTGCCATGTTCCGAGTTGGTGATGTTGTGACCATGACTCGGGAACCATGAACCCTGTAGCCTGATTTGGCCGAGGATGTGCTTTGACACAGAAACGATGCAGTGTAGAACCAACGATGATGTTTTCGGGTCGAGTTGATTAGCACTGGATAATTGATGAACTCCAATGTCCTTTTGCTTGCAACGTAGCCTGCAGGACGGCATAGTACAAGACGTTGTCAACTGCTCTGAGGAGGATGGGTAGGTAGGTAGTCACTGAACCGATATGCCCGATCTACCCTACAGTGAGTACTTTTTGACAGCGATTTGATGTGAACTCAATACCACCTGGTGGTTAATTGAATATACTTGGTCAAATAATGATAACGTTATATGCTGTATTAATTTCTATCGGTAGATGTATTGAAAGAGTAAAATATAATGCATTGCCTGTCCAGAATATATTTGAAACTTGACACAGGACCTGCTACCACAATTGCATATATCACAAATGACAACTTACGTATTAGTCGAAGGTAATCCCTTCAACATATAAGTGAGTAAATTAAGGAGAGATAAGGAGGGATGTTCAAGACTCCTAATGTACTGTATAGTAAATAGTTACCAAGAATCTGAGCCTGTTGTTCTTGTTTATCTAAGGAGGGCCAGTTCGTTAGGAAGTATGCCAGGGTAGGCAAGGAGATTGGTAACTAATATACACAAACTCAAGGCCGAGATACCTTATGGTAGACATTTACGAAACAAATCTACTGTAGTATTAATCATGCGGGGGTTTACGGGAGTGTGTCAGATCTTCATATCTATGTTTCGAGCAGTCGGGCCATTACTTGATGCGAAGACAACTGGCTCATTGATCAACGGCATACTTGAATGTTTAAAACAAATAAGTCTTGGATGTTGTACTTTACGCAGGTAACTAGGGGAATCTGAAAGGTTGTTTTGCACAATATCTGGGACCAGTGGACACACGTCCGATGCATGAAATCGTTCAGTTACTCTATTCTTCATCGATACGAACACCCCTTCGCGTAACTCTCTCTATAAACCATGTTTCGTGTCTTGTTTACTTTTATAGAAAGACATATACCTCCCTGCACTGTGAAAGCCCCCATCAATGGGTCTCTGCCCAACTCCTGAACCAATCTAATGCTTCAGGGTTAGCGACGCTGGCGTTGGTCTTGACCTTCATGCCCGAAAGGATTTGCTTCACAGCAACTTCGATCCTGCGTTAACTATTAGTATCACGTAGCGGTTTAAATAATCTCGCACGGGATGTACTTACTTCTTCCCATTACTTGTCTTGGGCACGCCTGCTCCGCATTCCTCGACCACTCCAGGAACGTGTCGAGGACTCAACTCAGCCTTAATCTTCGACTTGATCCGTAGACGAAGGTTATCGTTGAATTCATGTCCCGGCGCCATTACCAAGAAAAGACACACAGTCTCATCAGAGTCTGTCTCTCGCCGACGTCCGACACACACAGCATCTTCGATCTCGGCAGCAAAGAAACGCGTGAGGATGTTATAGATCTCAGCAGATCCAAAACGTACGCCAGATGGCTTTAGCACGCCATCTGATCGACCAAGCATGACCAGGCTTCCAGTTGAAGGGTCGGGGATCTTGACGAAGTCACCGTGATGCCAAACAGCACCGTTCACTCCGCAAATGTTTTCGAAACGCTCAAAGTATGCCGACTTGTACTTGGCCTCCCCGCTGGGCCCAAAGAATGTGAGAGGCTGGCACAAAAACGGCTTAACACAAACGAGATCTCCAGGCTCGTCGGCCTTGATTGACTCTCCAGTGGCTGAGTCGACAGCACGGATGGCCATACCGAGACCAGCACACTGGATCTCACCAACACGAACAGGAAGAAGTGGACAAGGAGCACCAAATAGTGAGATAATATCTGTACCGCCAGTGATAGAGCCGAGGTTGATGTGTTTGGGGAAGGCTTCGTAAACGAATTTGAAGGTTGATGGAGGAAGAGGGGAGGCGGTCGAGTAAATAGCTTGCAGCCGAGAGAGATCGATTGAGCTGTCACGGATAGGGTAAATGCTGTTGGCTTCCAAAGCAGTCAGATAGGCAGCTGAAGTACCAAAGTGAGTGACCTCAAGGTCAGAGAGGAGACGCGGAAGTGAGAGATGAGCATGAGGCCGGAAGGGCGAACCAGAGTATACAACAACGGTGGATCCCACAGCGAGAGCTCCAATACTCCAGTGCCACATCATCCATGAGGTAGTCGTGTAGTAGAGCATTCGAGATGTCGAGTCGAGCGAACAGTGGAGGAAATGCTCCTTCTTATGCTGAAGCAGCGTACCTAATGCTGTATGGACAATAGCCTTGGGAAGACCAGTAGTTCCACTGGAATAGAGGACATATAGTGGATGGGCTGGAGGGAGCTGCTCGAATTTCAGGGGCTCTTCTGAAGCAGACTCAAGCATTTTGGTGTAATCAACTGCTGTCACGCCATGTTTCTCAAGTTCTTCGAGGCCAAGACCCCCGGAACTGATGCTGTTGATCACAACCACCCTTTCAAGACCATTATCCTTCAGCGCACCTACAATCTCTGTTGTTTTTGACACACTTGACCACTCCTTACCATTGTAGACAGTGCCGTTGTCGGCGAATAGTACTTTGGGTGCGATCTGATTCAGACGGTCTAGTACAGCTGAAACGCCATTATCAGGACTGATACCGGTCCAGATGGCGCCTATCGCTGCTGCGCCAAGCATGGCAACAATGGCTTCAACATGATTAGAGACAAAACCAGCCACAACATCGTTGGGCTTAAGGCCAGCTGCGCGCAAAGCATTGGAGCAGCGGCGAACGGCCTCACGCAGCTCGGCCCACGAAGTAGTAACTGTGGAGTTGGGCAACTCGGTCACGGTTATTACAGCCGGGGCCGTAGCTTCGGGCTGTGGAGAAGTTGCAGGAAAGAGAAGGTTCTCGGCAAAGTTAAGAAGCGAACCGGAGAAGAAGTCAGGCCGAGGATACATGGGAGCTTCTTGAGGGAGGACCTGTTGGTGATTTAGTTGAGTTTCGTAGATTGAAGTCGATCCAGCGTCTACCCATCTCACTTGAGAAGTCCCGCTTACACCTGGAGTTTCGTACCTCATCAAAAGGCTTAGACGCTGTGACACCGGTGAAATGCCAGACTTCCTCCCAGAATGAAGAAACATCGTCGATAGACCACTTGTAGAGAGCTGGGTAGCCGTCAAGATTCAGACCATGCTTCTTGTTGACATGCTCGAGAAACTTCCACATATGAGTGGACTTGGGATCTGGATGCCGCCAAAGGACATTGTCCTCGGAAGGAGGCGCTGCGGCAGAAGGCGCAAGTTTATCGATTGACATGACGGGCATTGAGGTAGTAAAGAAGGGAGTTTAAGACGCCAACCGAACCCTCGGTAAAAATATAATATGTTGAGGGGCAACTGATGATAAGTTGGGGAAGATGTGAGTGCGGAGGAACAGTCAAAAGATTGAAACAGTTTTGATACACCACCTTGAATTGAAGTTATGGAAGAAGGAACTTTTGATATTTGAGAGGTTTTGATATCTTCCAAGTGCAACGGACTTGAGATTCCGTCCTTTTGTAATGAGCTCGGAACCAGAATGCATCTCTAAGTGCCGTGTCTATCTATTGCGAACCGCTGAAAGCCGTCCCCTCCCGATCTCGGTTCCCCGCCATCGAGAGACGGTGCTCCGAAGTGGCTGTGGTGGGGGAGGCTGATAATGTGTGGCTTCACTCTTAAACCGAGGGTCCATAGGTGGCCAGCCAAGATGCTGTCAAGACAAACAGCGATGGATTGCCATTGATGTGCTGAAAGGCGTTTAAGATGTGATATCCAAAAGTACGAGAGGGTCATACAGAGGTCTCGTGTTGTAATCTTTATTGATCGCTATTGATTAAAAGGCCGTATCCAGATTTCTTGTCAGGGGTAAGTACGCGAGTTGCAGACAGCGCGTATATATCTTGGAAACAGACGAATCAATTCGCCATAAAAAGAATGTCGGACGCTACGCATCATGACATGATTGTCCAAGCTCAATCGGAAAGCCGAAGCAAAATCACGTCGTTTGGCACTTTGGCGAAATTAAGTGTTTTGACCTGGCCTGGAGCCCTCACTTTATGTACCACAATAACTAAAGCTCGGCATGCTCGATTTTCCCTAAACTTCCGAGACGAAAGCCATGATTCGGATCCCGAGGCTCCTATGCAAGTGGGTAATGCCTGATCTTTATGGTAGGTAGCATCTCAAGTCGTGGATGATAATTGCGCAGGAACTGAGACAAGCTGGTATCACAACAGGGATTGACACTAGAACCTAGAAATGTCGGGCATAGTGTCGAAAAGGAACAATGATATGATACTCGTGAAGGATACCTCGAAGTTTTAACTATGTAGAACCACCCAAGAGAGTATATACTCCAATGGTAGCTCGTGCGATCATTACTTACTACCCGCGCGCATTAGCTGAGCTGAGAAAGAGCTGGCGGTGAAGCCTATTTCACATTAGACGATCTTGTTCATATTTGATTCCGCGTAGAGAGTAGCGTCTTGATCTGGTCATGGTCATAGATGTCGGTGTGCTGTACAAGCGTATTCATGCAGTCGCCCTTTTGCGCATTGGGACTCGCGCCATTCTCGTACATGGACAGAATACATAGTGCAGCGTGCAATGATGAACAAAAGGTTTGCTGTTTAGGTTTTTGATTGAATTTCATAATCGGCATTTTATCGTCGTTTTATTATGATTCTGGAATGTTATAAGAAGGAGTGATAGATGTCGTGGAGCTGCAGATTAATGAGAACGTCTATGTTCTGGCCTGTTATTGGACCCCTGTCAAATTATTAGTATATAGATAGTACGTTGGTGTTGCTGCAGGCATCCTGTTCCAGATATACAACCCAAGCAGCTAGTCTCAATTGCCTAGTTATTAAAATATCCAAGATTAGGACGATTACAACACGGTTGTTCTGATCGTTGGTCCTTGTGACAGCTATTAAGGTCAGTAAATAAATGTCATCATCGTGGCCGGCTGCGACGGAAAGTTCAGAGCTTGGACACGGCAATGCCCCTGGATGATGACATCTCACTTCCTTTTAGTTTCAACATGACCAACGCTGAAGGTCTGATGGTGGTGAACCGCGGCCCCTTGACAGGTCTGCTATTCGCTACCGAGCTTTGGGGTGGCAGAAAACTTGACTCTGAGGGGGTGAGGAACGAAATAACTCCAGCCACTTGATCACACTTTAAGTTAAAGCTACTGTGTGCTTATTTTTGACGCTCCATAACTTGAGTCTAGCAATTTCTTCAGCAAAGAATTTTTGGTCCGAGCCGAGCTTGAATGGAAAATGTGGCGCTTCCTTTAAAGTCTCCCGTGTGTTCCCATTCGTAGTCCGGACAGCTCGGGATCTAGGGCATTAGACGGCTACTACCTGGTCATCGATTAAGGAGAGAGGGAGCCAACGATGGTATTGATGATTACGGATACAATGGTTTTCATCCGTACTACAGAGTACGAAGGTGGATTACTTTCGTATGTATTCGTTCAGGCACGCACGGGGCCTAAATCATTGACAACACGCGCCTCATCTCGGACTCTCGAGCCTCCCCGGGACTTCCATGAAAGACTGATTAAGGAAGGCAGCGAATCCCTTGTAAAAGGAATTCTCGTGAACAAGGGAGAGGGGATGAGGCAAAAAAAAAAAAAAAAGGCGAAACGAAAAAGACAGTACTGTAGGGCTCCGCTGGCTGGCCCCTTGAATTTATTGTTTCTGTCCTCTTCGGCTTGTTCTGTTGTGTGTGTTTCTCGTACATCGTACATCGCATTTTTTGGTGACACAGTCAGCTGCTCAGTCAGGCACGTAAACAATGCAACTTTAAACTAAGTTGTCTACGACCTTGATTTCCAATGGATCTGTTGAGTAGGTGCATCAAAGTTAATGGAGGTCAGTGTTAGTGTTAGGTACCTGGTCCCCGCTGTTTCCCGTGGAGCGAAAACCTGGACTTTGATTGTTTTTTAATGCACCGAGATCCTCCAATTTTCTGCCGTTGCCTCCGCTGACACTTCACTACGCGTCGGTGTCGAATAACTAATTAAACGATCGTCTTTCTATCATCTTTCTTTTCTTTTATCACCACTCGCTCGGTTACTACTTGTTCGTTGTTCTTCAGCAGACAAGTCTCGGCCGAGTGATTAATAGGTTGACAACCCAGCCATCCGGCCGACCATTGCATCTATTACCAGTACTCTGTACTTCAAGCTCGATTGATTACTCGATCGTCAATCTTGATCAATGCTGGTTATCCTGCATTGTTCAAATACCCGGTCACTCTATTCGACTTGACTCGAATCTTGACGATACTTGCGACACTTACGACGCCATTGCGTTGCGGCCTGATCCATTCGATTCAAGCTTGGATCGATCTTTATCGGTCGCACCTTCAACTCTTGTCTTGGGGCCTGGAATCTGTTTCTCTGTTAAACAGTGACTGACCTCACTGGGTAAGTTAGCAAGCATTTCATTCTCTTTTAGCACCCGAGATCGACTCAGTGTCTCGCTTGGAACTCAATTCCGCTATTCCCCTGGTATTCTTGTAGCAGATCATCTGGTGTTTTAAGCTGTTCCTGGCTGGACCACGGCTGGATCCGCTAAGAGGCCCACAAGCAATTTGCAGTCGGCGGATCTTTACTTTCCCAGTTTGATTCGACGCCACCTCCTGCATCCCCCTGTGCTGCGTCTCCTGGACCACGCACCACTTACCTAACACCTCAAGAGTTTAAACTCGCTTGTTACCTCTTATCAAAAAGAATCTCCTTCATCAACATTTATTGTACCGTGCACAGTTCCAGCTCAACTCAACATTCTTTCTCGCCATTGCTTGTGTTGCAGCTTGTTCTGCCCACGGTGCATACTTGATTTCATCTTGTTCTCTGCACTGCTTGGCATTTCTCTTCACAATTGCATTGGAAGCAACCAACCTTTCATAATCTCCTATTCCGAGAATATGCATTGCGGCCAACTTTGTTGTTGATTCCATCCAAACTCAAACTCAAGCTGACACTCGCTCCTCGCTGTTAGAGTCTCAAGTCATTGTTCTTCAGCAACCAACTCGGTGCCGTACTCTCTGTCGGCCTCCTTGCGATTAAGCCTCCCTTCCGCTTGCGCATCACCAATCGACGCACCTTTACCAGGAGAGATGCCCCGTCGGCTGAATCCATTTTCATCCTCGTCCTCCATGTCTCAACCCGTCAAGTCGGGCGAGAGGCGCCCCTCCACCTCAAAAGGCAACCGTATCACCAACTTCTTCTCCAGTAGCCCCAAGTCTACTGGCGCTCAGCAAGCTCTCGCCGCCGTTCAGCAGAACCAGGCCACCGCTACTGGCTTTTCTCCTTCCCCTGGTCTGCCAACCATTTCTCTCTCTACTGCGAGCCCTGGCGACCCCAACAGCATCGATACTTCGACTACTACTATTTTCCAGCCCCAGACTGCTGAGGAGATTGACCGCCAAAAACGAGCAGATGCCCAGTTCGGTCCCCTCCTTCAGTCAAGCCATCGATACACTAGCCAGTCTCATGGAGAGCCCCTTGAGCCCCCCGTCGAAGATGAGCCTCCTTACTATTTCATCCTGACCACCTACATCAGCTACCTTATTCTGATTGTTCTTGGTCACATTCGAGATTTCTTCGGCAAGCGTTTCGGAAACCCCAAGCACTACCGCGCTCTCAAGGCCAGCAATGGCTACGCAGCTCTCAATAGTGATTTCGACAACTTCTATGTCCGACGTCTCAAGATGCGTCTGGATGACTGCTTCGCTCGCCCTACCACTGGTGTCCCTGGTCGATTTATCACTCTGATGGACCGCAAGTCCGATGACTTCAACCGCACCTATCAATACACTGGCACCCACACCGAGACCCTCAACATGAGTTCCTACAACTACCTTGGTTTTGCTCAGTCTGACGGACCCTGTGCCGATGCTGTGGAGGAGTGTGTTAAGCGATACGGTATCAGCTTCTGCAGCCCTCGCGGTGCTGCCGGTACTTCTGATCTTGCTTTGGAGGTTGAGCGTGAGGTTGCCGACTTTGTTGGAAAGCCCGCTTCAATGGTCTTCTCCATGGGTTACGTTACCAACTCCAGCTCTTTCCCTGCTATTGTCTCCAAGGGTTGTCTTATTATCTCTGATGAGCTCAACCACGCTTCCATCCGTGTCGGTGCTCGTCTTTCTGGCGCTGTCATCCAGTCCTTCAAGCATAACGATATGGTCGACCTCGAGCGTGTTGTGCGTGAGGCTATCTCTCAAGGTCAACCCCGTACTCACCGCCCCTGGAAGAAGATTCTTGTCGTTGTTGAAGGCCTCTACTCAATGGAGGGTACCATGTGTGATCTTCCTGGTATTCTCGTTTTGAAGAACAAGTACAAGTTCTACCTGTTCATCGATGAAGCTCACTCTGTCGGTGCTCTTGGACCCCGTGGTCGTGGTGTCTGTGATTACTTTGGCATCGATCCTGCTGAGATTGATATTCTTATGGGAACCCTGACAAAGTCCTTTGGCGCCAATGGTGGTTACATTGCCGCTGACAAACACATCATCGACAAGCTCAAGAGCACCAACGCTGCCACCCAGTATGGCGAGACACCCGCTCCTTGCGTCCTCATGCAGATTCTGGCTTCTCTGAAACTCATCACTGGCGAGTTGTGCCCTGGCCAAGGTGAAGAGCGTCTGCAGCGTATTGCCTTCAACTCCCGATATCTGCGCCTTGGACTTAAGCGTCTTGGTCTCATCGTTTATGGCCATGACGACTCTCCCATCATTCCTGTTATGCTCTACCACCCCGCCAAGCTTCCCGCCTTCAGTCATGAGATGCTTCGACGCAACATCTCTGTCGTGGTCGTCGGTTATCCTGCCACCCCACTCATCAGCTCCCGAGCCCGTTTCTGTGTTTCAGCTGCCCACAACAAGGACGATTTGGACCGTCTGTTGGCGGCATGTGACGAAGTTGGCGACACTTTGCAGATCAAGTTTTCCACTGGTGTAGCCGGCGGTCTAGACCATCTCCCGGAAGGCGTTTCACCCGAGAACGAGGAAGAATGGAGGAGAGAAAACCGAATTCCTATCAAGGCCCCTCGCTGGCGATTGGAGGATGTCATTCGACACGGTGTTCAGGATTCCAAGCTTCCCCTTCGCTAATAACGTCGCCCTAATCGAATCTTTTTCCCCGGTGTTTGACATGCTTTTAATCTACCTATGTGCTCAGAAATTTTCTGAGAGGAGTTCATGCAATTACATAGATCTGTCCTGTAAAGGAACACGACGCCGCACGACGTTTAATGTCCTTGATTCCCTTCGATGCTCAGCTGTATAGCTACCGCTTCTTTTGCACACGTACTCTTATATGAGAGGTTTTGGAATGGGTTGACGGAGTTGAAGGCGTGTTGAGGTAAAGGCCATTTTTGGAATGGGTATAACGAGGAAGACTCAGCAAATTACCTCGATCAGCAGGTTAAGATTGCAGAGCATGGCATATATAATAATTATTAGACGACGTATATAAGAAGGAACGTATAGTTCTCCTTCGATTAATCAAACAAAATTATGATCAGATATATTCGCTTGTGACCTATCCCTGCCATTGTCGGCGATGATAACTAGTTTCGTTACTATGCACTCACTTGCTACCTTTGCTACAATCTTACAATTCACTAAAGTACGCTGTTTAATGAAGCCAAGTCATCTGTCTGTCATTGGTACGAGTGCATGATGGTTACGGATCGAAATCCCTGAATGTTCAAGCGGGAATGCTAACGGCTCGCTCTCAAACCGATTATGTGTCCGTGGAATACCTCTCATTGTCCTGTCTCTCGATTCAATTACGACGACGAGCCCCAGCCCTCGATATTATAGCCTTCATATCTTATTGCCCTGGTGTCCAACCAATGATGTTTGAAGGAGAGACAAACTGAGGTTAATTGAGCGGACTAGGAGTTCGATACATATCAGCAATCGACTTCAGGATTTAGGATATGTCTTAAACCCGTGGCTGAGACTTTCTCAAACGCATGTTGCTAGTCAACATAGGTTCATGTTTACAAACGGGAATGAACTTGTTCTTTTGTTTATTGAAGAAACAAAGACTATATCCTATCTAATGGCCGATTTGAGAGATGCATAGGACGGTTGGTAAACGGGCTACAGTAGTAGCAGCACCTATAATGATAGCAGGTGAGGGCCTGGCCGGGGCATAGCAGGGGGATGCTGTCAGTGGAGCGGGACGGGAGCCAAGCCGTGTTCTCAGTGGACGATCAGTCGCTCAAAGTCCCTCCTCGGCCGCCCAGCAAGGCCCCGGCATGACCCACTAAGAAAAACGGCCAAGGTGAAGGTAGGTACGCAGTACTTCCGTAAATGGAGCGGATAGCCTTCTAGTCCAAGTACTCTATACCTAAAAACAGAGGTGCTGTTTTCCGCAGGTCGTTGGTAGGTGGTTACTGTGCGTAGAGGCTATCCCAACTTGGGTAGCACCTCCTCTTCTCTTTCCACACCCGAGCGCTTCCACGAGCAGGACCAAAGCAAGACAGGCTTGACCAAGACCAAGACACAAACAACCCCGTCATCATCACCACGAGCAGCCGCTCTCTCTTCTCCTCTGGTTACCTCCCACCAGACTTTTTTCCTTTTGTTCGCTTCGCATTCCTACGATACTTGTTCTCTTTGAGCCCATAGGATCTGGGTCTACTTATTCTCTTGGGATCAGCTCTCGTTTTTCCCACTTCAACTCAACGTTGCTCTCTGCCTTGCCTCAGCCCATTCTATCTTGTGTCCATCCAATTCGATTCGCTCTCTCGCATCCAATCGTCCTACAGACTGCGCCTACTTCCTCGACTTCAACCTCTCCCACCTTTTGGGCATTGCTTTTCTTAATGAACCCCCGATCACGATTTGTATGAAATATTTACGAAGTATTCGGCCGACCGACCAGCAATTTCCAAACCTCGTTCCTCTTTCTCTTCAGCCGACGGTGCCCGATCTAGCGCATCTGTTTGCTGTTTGCGCCATCACCACCGCCTCAGTCGCCTGAATTAGTCTTCGTCTCACCTACCTCCTCAGCTGTTGGCGCCTGCTCTCTCATAACCATCAGGATGATGAGCTTTGATGGTGGCACAGCCTACGCCGAGTCCGACGCCGACGACGAATACGAGCGAAGCATGGGCGACCACTCTCCCATAACCAATTCTGAACACTCTCCCATAGACTCTGAGCTCTCCACGTCCGCGGAGCATACTCCTACTACCTACGGCCACCGCAGCAGCGCCGACCGCCTTCCAGAAACCATCATCACTGAGTGGACCGTTGAGGAATGTGCTGACTTTATTGGCACCATTGGTCTCCCACAATATGGCGATCGCTTCATAGGTACGTGCCTAGCCTAGAGAATGGCGGCGCTTCCGTCTTCAAACAACTTGCAGGTAATTTTCAGAGGGCAACAGCTGACGCTTGATTGCTTGTAGAAAACGAGATTGTGGGTGAGGCTCTTGTTGCGCTCCAACATGATGATCTCAAGAGTATGGGTATCGCCAGTGTGGGACATCGCCTTACCATCCTCAAAAGCGTCTATGATGTCAAAAAGGCTCAAGACGTGCCCATTGAGAGCGACCATTATCTACCCCTATGTACGTTATCTGCGATTTCCCCTCCTTGGCGGACTGGCGTGATTCTAATCCGTAACCCCTGCAGCCGCCGACGCTGAAGCGCAATATGCTACCGCAACTATTAAGGATATCAAACACTTGGTCGAACAGTTCCGCCTCCGCGACGAACGCATGAGCCTACTCGAACAGGATCTGCGACGAATGACGGATGATTTTAGGCGATTACGAGAGGACATGCTGCCAGCCTTGCGACTTGTCAAGGATGCGCAGCAACCTTTGCCCAACCTGTCTGGCAATCAGCAAGCCTATGGATACGAAACTACCATATCGCCCCCCGCACCAACACCACCTCCGGGCTCGGGTCAATCGGTAGGCTCTGTCAAGCGACAATATTCAACTCGCAAGATCTTGATCGGGGCAGCGCCCAAGAATGCATCGCCCACGCAGTCTACGCATGAGAGGTCAATAGCAGAGACGGCATTAGACCCTACTAGCGCGGCAGAACGGGCCGTCCTATCGTCTTCTCATCTTGCAGCCATGAACGGAGGTGGCCAAGGCGCATCGTCGCCATCGTATCCCTCGCCCAACATTCCCTCTCCAACGTCCCCTCAGACCCACATGCCTGCTACCCTCGCCTCTCGATCCTACCGCAGCGAAGCACCGACACCCTCCTCACGAACCACTTTCAACGACGATGGTCACGCCAATGCAGCTTATACTTCTCGCGAAAAGGCGCCACAAGGACCACCCCGCAGACGAGAGACCCCTGTACCTGATACGCCCAGTCAAAGTAACGCCTCTGTCGAGATATTCAAATCGTTCCGCGTTAGTATGGAAGATCCTTGCTACAAAGTCTTGCCTGCTGCGCTCAAAAAGTACCAGATCAACGCCCCTTGGGATCAGTATGCCCTGTATATTGTGTACGGAGACCAGGAGCGTTGTCTGGGTCTCGAGGAGAAGCCATTGATTCTGTTTAAGCAACTGGACAAAGAAGGCAAGAAACCCATGTTTATGCTTCGAAAAACGACAACAGCACCATTAGACGGAGAGCCAGGAAGCGCGGGGCTAGGCAGTACCTCGAGAGGAGCACCGACAGGTTACGACCCACCGGGAGGCATCATTTAAGCTATTCTTGGAGTTGCTGGCCTACTCAAGCAACAAGTTTCGAGCGGCGCCTACCGAAACCCGAATACTGTCGAGAGGCGAGCACAAGACAAGTGCTGTACGTCAGACTTGCAGGGTTGGTACACATTACCCCTACATGGGCTCATGGCGCCACTCTGAGGTCTGTATGCGTTTCTTGGAACTTGGAGGAGGCAAGATTTGGCACTGGTCGGGTTGCTTGCATGACGTTTGGTGATGTTTGTTTCAGCGGGTCAGCGTTTCTGAGCTGAGGTGGTGAACCTGAAACACCAACCATGACCGGGCTATTATGGGGCAGTACGCTAGATACTGCACTGGCCTACTGCAAAGGTTGAGCTGAACTACATTATTGGTATAGTTGAACCACTAAAAGAGGAGGCTTGTTTGAAGACAAGGGTTTTAGAGTGTTGTCGGATTGAGCAACTGAAGCTCCCGACCTGTGGGGGCTTGGAGCGACTTGGCTCTCAGACAGTTTGACTTGAAGTCATCTGCTTTTGTCAAGGTCGCTCGCCGAGGTAGAGTATACCGGAGAGAAGCTATCAAGCCGCGGCAAGCATGTGCAGCATTTTTTCATCAATTCATCATGGGGATATTGCGGGTTATGGCGTTTGAAAAGTCGAACAGGTGTTATTCTGCAACAAAACGGCGGTTATGTCCATCGTCGTTCTATTTTTGGGCTTGCATCTTAATTTCAGCAAAGCACAGCACGGTACAGAACAGGGAGGAAGGGTTGATAATTATGAGCGATAGGGGCAAGTTGGATTGGATCAGATGTATGTAAAGGCCGAAGGGGGTTCGGATTTGTACAAGTCGAATCTTGTGTATTTTGTCCTGCATGGAGGATATGCTGGCTGTTGAGAATTGGACATGATATTGGCGATTGTGAAATCATACTCACGTGTATTACTACGTAGATACATAAATCATTTGAAGTAAAGGACAGTGACAACGTCTCCCTCAAGTCTCTGTTTGCATGCTTGTGAAGGATATAGGATGCGTACACTTGTTGAATCGTGTTGGAGCCGTCTCTCAGGCTGAGTTATACCACCATTGCTTCACTGCACATACCATTGCCACTCCCTCCCGAAAGCATCTCGCCTACTTGTCTCAAACTCTTCAAGAAATGATACCACCGCTTCGAGTGGCACTCCTCTCCTCATACCGGTCTTCTCATCCCAGCTTGAATGCACACCCACCAAACTCCCTGCTACTCGATCAAACAAGCCAGCACCACTGTGTCCCCAGTACGTCCAGCAGGTGTGTCTCAAAGCCCCAATGTCGCTATTGTCTTGCGGATCTTGATCTTCGGCTAGTCCACGAAACGTCCCTTCGCTAAGCACCAATGTGTCGTACCCTGTTTTCGCATCGCTATCTTCTACCTCGAGGTCATCTGAACCAGGATGTCCTATGCACAAGAGCTCAGAGTTGAACTTGGGAGGGGATGATGCGATGCGGATGTGAGGGAAAGGTCTGTGGGGGGACTGGGCTCGATCGATAAGGAGAAGAGCAAGATCTCGCACTGGATCCCATGAGATTACTTTTGTCAACACAACGCTCCCGCTTGAGGATATGAGGACATGCCAAGGCCTGGTGGTAAGCTCAGAGGGCTTGTCTGCAATGCAATGGGCACAGGTGAGGAGGACACCGTCCGGTGAGATGCAGACTGCGGTACCAGCATGAGCCTGAGCAAAGACATAAGTTGCGTCAACAGGATTAAAGTATATCGCAGGGTTGAGATTAATAGATCCAAGGACATCTCGGGGGAGGGAGATGGTGTGAGAAGTGAGCCAGTCACGTTTAGAGACCAGGATATCGCGGTCATCGCCAGGAAGAGGAATCCGAGATATGAAGGAATCTGATGGTATGAGGCCTATCGGAGGCTTCTTGGAGGATGAGTCTGGACTTTGGTCCCTCTTCAAGGGTGGAGCAATCGACGAGAGAGCTTGACGGGTTGAGCTGCGAGTTTGACGTGTTGTGATATTGGGTGATGAACCCGCTAGGTCAATGATTGCAGACATGACTGTGTACGACTGTATTAGATAGCCTAATACAAGAAGTGATGTGTTTGGGAAGAAGTAAAGTCTTGGATAAAAAAGATGCGATTCAAGCATGGAGACTGACAAGTTCATGGTTTATATACGCACGGGTTGTGTAAGTTGATAGCGTCAAGGTGGGTTGGCTGCCTAACAACAATAGGCAGAAAGTAGGGGCAGAGTTTGAACCAACATGTGCCTCAATCCTGTCTCTTCCAGCACAGATCGATTTCAAACTAAAAATCATGTCATTTCATAAGCAAATTTGATGCTGTTCCCAATATCTATGGTATATCCTCCTTGTAGTACATGTAACCCGTTTCCAACACCGCATAATGAATAGAAGCCAAAGAACTCGCCATGCTTGATGACACTTAAAAATGTACACTGCGCTTCTTTTGTACCTTCTTCCGCTTCTCCTCATCCTTCCGACTGCTGAAGAAACCACTGACGCTTGCCGCCGCAGGTCCTGCGTAAGGTCCTTGTAGTAAACTACCTAGACCATGGCGCTTCTTGCCATTCTCACTGGGACCAGGTTGAGGCTGCGAAGGAGGTGGCGCAAAGTTTGGTTGTGGGCGACCATTTGGTGCTGGTCCAACGCTGTTGGGTCGAGCAGGTAATGCACCGGAAGAGAACTGAGGTCGAGGGGGTAACGGTGGTGATGGGTGACCTGCGCCTGTTTGGTTGTCGAAATCTTGGCCGGCCATGCCAAACTCTCGACGTAGGCGCTCCGTCTCCTGATCAACCTCGGCCTCCCGCTTCCGACGTTCTTGTTCCTCAGTCTCCAGCATCCTCTGGATCCTCTTGCGCTCTTCCTCTTCTTCCTTCTCACGCTCCAGTCTCTCACGCTCCTCCTCCGCTACCATGGCTTGTAACCGTTTTGTCTCGGCTTCAACCCCGGCCTGGCGTTGAGCATCGTTGTTTGGGGTTTGCTGCGCGGGCTGGGCGCGAGGAGGTGATGATGGCCGATTGTTGTTCAAGGCTCCAGCCATTGTTGGTCCGGTGGAAGAGTTTGCTGCTGGACGAGAATTCTGGCGACGTCGGCCATTCGATGAGGTAAGGATGTTGAAAGGATCCTGGCTTGGGTTCATATAGAGATCTTTTATGGTTTCTGCACTCATTAGAAGAGTGATTTCAAGACCTCTTCGGTCCTCAATCTCAACCCGGGCCATATTAGGTTCGTAAATGGTCAATATCGAGTCGTGCTTGGCTCGGAAAAAGGCCACGGTGATATCGGGCTCCTTGCTCTTCTTTCCACCCACGTTTCTACCAGTCATGTAGCATGTCATGTCCTTACTTAACCGGCCATCTCGTTTCCATCGGAACACTACCTTGGGAACGAGCTCGGTAATGGGCGGTCGGTCTTCTTGGTCGATCTGACTGGCACTCGGCAGCTTGAAGGACCTCTCTGGGAGTTCAAATTCCCAAATATCACTCTTTCCCCAACTTCCCGGATGTTGTTTGACGGCGATATTCTGGTCAGGGTTGTACAGCGAAACGGCGAAGTTGTCCGGTGTGGCGGGAGTCTTGGGCGGCGGGTTACCGTTTTGCGCGCGGATTTCGGCAGCGGATAGAGTGGGTGCTACCCAGTCGGGTTTGACGTCGACTTCTGCATATATCACCGAAGTGTTGAGGGAATCGAACATGCCAAGCGCATATTGACCATTGGCATCGGAGGGCGAGGGGCGCTTCACGAGGTATTCAGGCGACGGATCTGATCCATTATGCGAAAAGTAGAGGATATTGTTGAGCGGGTTTTCTGAAGATGTTTTGAATCGATAGGTGGGGAGGTTTTCGTCCAACATTTTGCGAGCTGGATTCCTAATCGAGGACCTGAAGCAGTGTTGTGGTGTTTGGTGTCGCAGAGAGTTGATTTGTAGTTGGGATGACGTAGCAATCTATTGACTGTAACACAGGCGCAAAGAGATTTTGTAACGAAAGATATGTCGCAGGCGATATGTATGAGAAGAAGGAGAGAAACAAATGTATAAACCAGTTGTTATTATAATACTCGGCGCTGAACAGGTTGTTGAAAGAAAAAGCCTGACAGCCCAAACAATTGCGCGGCAGGCTGAGACTCGTGAGGGCGGGGCTGATTTGGATTTGAAGCAGGGAAGTACCTTTTCAGTTGCGATGCGATGCAACTTGTGACTGATTAGGAGAGTCACAAGGACTTTTTTGAAAACTTGGCCGACGAAAGAGTGTGAATAACTTGGCAAATGTTTTCGAAAGACTTACTACCTATTCTTTATTGAGAACATTCTTCTAGTTACCTACTTAGGTATTTAAATCACCGTTCCCTCCCTTCAGTACGTACCGAGTTTGACTGACGCCACAGCCGTCTTATCCAAAGAGGCTGTGCAGTTGCTATTCTTGTCACACATCCCCAAGGTTGAGTCGTCGGATTGACAGTGTCCGAATGATCTTCTCCCAATGGCGACTCTACCAATGAGTGGCGTTCAACATATTAAGCATATTTTGTTTCCTTGCTGACGCGCGGCCAATGACAAACGAACTATTTGAACCTTAACACTATGCACCATATCAGTTGAATAACATATCAGAAAAAGATGTGTCTTTGCTTTTCTAAGGACTTGAGACTACCTATTGGCAGTCCGTATATATAAAATCCCCAGGTGCCCGACTAATCTCGACATTGTGAGACTTTGCAACCTGACCCCGGATGTGCACACCATACCGTTAACGCCTTGTATCCAATGCAAATGCCCCCTTGTACCTTCCATTACGCCTCTCATAAGTTTCATATCATAATCTATGCTGCAAGAGATCTTGTTTATGGCCATCTTTGCTCAATCGCGGATGCGCACAAATACGCTTGGCCCTTTGCACTTGACGAGCAACACCTCTGCTGTGAACTAGGCCACAGAAAATCTCGGTGACCCCGTTGTTTGTATGCTGTGTTGTGTGTCCACTCGCTTTGTGCAGAGCTCAAAACCAGACCAATTCCCGCGCATGTTCGTTCGCGCTCGTCATCCACATGTTCATGCGGTATCACAACCCTCCTGCTGGGTCTTTCGGCTAGAGAATATTTTGCAAGAGAAACAGATCGCCATTGGCCCGTCCCATCCATCGTATAAAAGTGAAGGTCCGTACTCTTTCGTCGCACTCGCTCGATCCGCAACATTTTCTTACGCGGGAGGCGCGCGGTTTGTAGCATTTTGTTCTTCGTCTATTGCAGGAGGTCCTCTGCGCGCCCGTTGTCTTTGCCTTCGCCGATTTTGTAGTCGTGGTCGGCAGCATGGGTACCAGCAGCAAACGAAGCATGCGACCACCAAGCCGATGGCCAGACCAATCAGAAAGCCGCGCATGATTTTCTCCCCATTGGAACCTCCTTTGGCGATGCCCATAAACTTCTCGCGAAACAGATCATCTGCGAACGCATTTGAGGGGACGATGTTCCCGGTTGTGCCTGATGTCGAGGAATCGTCACTTTCTGGTGATGACGCATGGTCGCCGCGAGGGACAAGATGCCATGTGGATAATATAGGCATGATGCCGGATGGTGGCTGTCGGACGAGCGCAAAAGGTGAGGGGGGGGGGGGCGAAATTGAGTGAGGATTAAGCTTAAAATCTTTCGGGTTTGCTTTGGCGATCCAAGGAACAGAAGTGAGTTGTGAAACTCGAGAAAGTAATGGAGCAGCAGCAACTGTCGGTCATATGTCCGGACGATCCGAAAGATGGGCCGGAACGGCAGTAACGGAGGTGGAGATGTTGGGATGATCGACAATTGACGTCTCTCAAAGTTTGTGTTTTTGGCTTGTCAGGATAAGGCAGGTGCCGAGTGATGTCTCCAACACTGAATATGTGGCTGTTTTGCGGATTGTATCGTCGGGAGTATTGAGCAGAGGTGGAGGTTGTGTATAACCGACGGTCATGGATGGATCTGTTCCCTTGAGCCGTGAGAGGTAAAGAAACAAAAGCGAAGAGATCGGTGTCAGATCTATCACCGGAAGCATCAAGCTAAAACGAGGCGTTGCGTTGCAAGAAGGAAGAAAAGTGATGGAGACACTGGAGGTTGGGAGAAGAGTGCGCATGAATTGGGATCTTGTAAAAGGCTCAGATAAACCTGACAAGGCTTCCTAGTACCTAATAGTTAAGCATCATTTAACGAAAGAAGTGCAAGCGCAAGTGGAGGAGGCAGGGAGTGGACTAAAGAGCAGGGAGCAGGGGAGATGTCTGTCATCTGAATCTGGGGTGTTCCCTCTGTTTGAACTCCTGTAAGAGTTCTCCATCCCCTCCCTTGAACTACCTACTAAGGTACCTTTCAACGCGTCGGCCTTTATTATCTGGTCCTTATTGACGCTAAAGATCCAGGTCAAGAAGGTGAACAAACGCCAAGACGTTTACGAATCTCCAACGGTTCCATACTTTAATGTCACGGATATACGGTTGTTCTTATCCACCCATCAAGAATGTCTACAATGTTTGCGACAATGAATGCTTGCATGTAAATTAATAAGCGGACAAACCACAAAAGGAACCAAGTGAGTCTGAGAAACAACCATGTTGAATCAAAAGGTTCATGTCTTCCTTTTCAATGTCATCAAGTTTCTATCGGTTCAAGGCCCGAGAAAATTATCCCAGCCTCTACACGTCATGCCCCCATTGGCTGGCCCACAATGTGGATGCTTCCCCCCGCCCCGAACCCGGAAACCGCGGGGTGACTAGACTAGCAGACTAGGAGTGAGATGAAGATAAGAGACGAAATTTGTAGGTCAGCTTATGCCATTCATACTTCTTAGTATTTATATCCTAAGACTTAGGCTGTGGTATCTACTCCCATGAGAACACATGTGCTTGGTAAGTTTTCTGCCTCTGCCTCTGCCTCTGCCTCTGCCTCTGCCTCTGCCTCTGCCTCTGCCTCTGCCTCTGCCTCTGCCTCTACCTCGTCTTTACCATCTGTATCCACTCCCATCACAAGAAATATGCTTGACGAAGTGATGGCAGTGAATATCTCCCCGATCAGCAAGTCCCGGCCTGCGACGTTCATGATTCCTTGGGTCCAGTAGGCATGAGAACAGCGTAGGATTGCAATCACTGCGACAGCTATGACGCCACTTGTAAAAACACTCATCGAGACCATTCCCCACACGTTTGCCTTTGGAAGGAGCTCACATAGTGGTATTGTGACTATGAGATATGTGAAAGCGTTCCCGGCCGTGATGTATATGTCCCGCGTGTAATCGGGTCGGGTGCTGTAATCTAGGTAGAAATCATTAACTCGCGTCACGTGATGTAAACACCCAACCTACATGGCGAGGGCTTTATGAGGCCGCTCGTATGAATCAGATATGCTAGAATTGCAGCAAAGGCCGATATCGCGATAATAGAGACTATTAGAATGCGCCATGGGCTGCAATAGTCTGATGAAGATTTCGTCAGGTGATAAAGACGTGTCAACACGGCTATCTTGGCAGATAAGTAGAGAATGGCATAGACAGTCAGACTGGCAAACCACAGACTAGCATACGACGTTTTGGGCTTATCTTCGCATACTTTTGTGCAAATATCGATAATTGTGTCGAATGGTTGCTCTGAGCCTTCCAGCATATGAAGGATTATCAGTTCGGCTATGTATGCGAGCTGGTGGACGAAGACGTCAGTCAGAAGATTGTCTCGTGTGGGGCCAAATCAAATAACTAGGTACTTACTAAAGCAATGAAAATGAAGAGCATGATCAGAATGTAGCGGAGTTGCTCCTTGTCTTTCTTTGAACTGCGGTGCAAATACTAAAGACACCCAGCGAGTAACAAGACGCCAAGGGTACCCAGTATGCCTGGGATTACCTGGTTGTAGTAGTTGTTCATACTTGGTCCGATAGAATTGTGATGCGAAGATATGATGTCAAGGAATATGAAGTAATCGTATGTAAAACCTGTCGTATTGATATGTTGTCGATAGGGAAGGTATGACTGCCTGGCATGTAGACGAGGGTAAAGACTTGGTTGTGATTCACTGATCTTCTACCCTAAGATCAATGTGAGTAACATAAATTTAGGATATGGAAACCCAACACCCCAAAAGCATCCCTTGAACTGTGAAATCCATTCTACATGCTCTATGAGAGATTGGACTGTCCGCTCTTTTAGCCAGTATCAACCAATCCCTGCTTTCTGCCTATTGCATCCCGCCTATGAATACTGCCGAACCTTCCTGTCTCGGCCATAATCATCAACAATCGGCGGTCTGGGGTGTAACAGAAGGCTTGTGTTGTTTTGTGCGACGTGAGATGAACGGCCGACTGCAACGTATTGCAGGAATTGTTTGGTGCTGAGACGACAGTACATGAAATGTAAGAGGCCTGCGCAACCCGAACTAGGGAGAAACCGTCGCCTTGGTCTTGAGACTTTGTAACCATGTTGTGTTTTTATTCGTCGTCAAGTAGTTTTGCGGAATCGGTAAACGTTCGCAGACTTTCCCCTCAAAGTCTTTGTTCCTATCTGGCGAGTAGCTGTCAACTGGGCTGCGCAGGGGTGACTTCATGCTGCGAAGTGGAATCGATATGACATTTGGACGCCTGTATGGGATGATTGAACGAACGTATGCAAGATCACCGGAGAACATCTTGGCCTGGAGTTGCATTTATGATGCGTTTAGATAGTGCAGAGTTGGAGAAATGTGTGAAAGGTGATTTCATGGCTGAAGAGGGGAAAGGAAATACTGTCGAGTTGAGAGGAGATGGCTTATTGTCAACTGTTTTTGGTTATCATTAAGACACTTGGGCCATCAAACATCTTAACCTCATGAAAGAGTAGAGGTATCAGAAAAGTTGGCCGCTTGAGATATAAGGGACGAAATTAGCAGATCACCTTATACATTTAGGGTACGATCTTAGGCCATTTATTTTTCTACCCTACAGCTAGAGGCCATCTTTTCTGCCACCCACTATCTAGAAGGGATAAGATTAACGTGGCTCCGTTTGCTATCTTGAACAATTGATGATAATGCATCTTTCATCCGAGTAACTCTTAACTCATATCACATGATTCGATGAGAACGAGAAGCTCTATACGCGGGAAAAATATCGAGAAGTTATGCAGTACACTGACGTGGGATGACGAAGTTAGCGACTGTGAGTTGTATCAGTAAAAAGGCTCAAGCTGCTTAACCTTTTCGTCAAAGGACATTACACGCTGGGAGTCACTCACGCACTCAGTAGTGTGTTGGATATGTAAGTGCAATAAGCGAGTGGTAGAAAACTTGAGTTTAGAACACACAAGGTATAGGTGGACATAAAGTATAGAAAACAAATAGCCAAAGGGCAGATCCGAAAGCTATCGACTCTTGGGCATATAGTGCCAAGTTTTCTACGACTTTGAGGCCTACCCATGTGCTCTGTCTTTGTGCTAGAATTGTGGTTCTGGCTTACTGGATCATCAAAGAAAGAACCGCGCGCGTTTAGATCCTCCCGCTACAAGTCCCAATTGGTGAGTCCCCTGTCGATCATTAATCTCAATAGGGAAGTTTTGATTCCCAAGCTTGTCAGGACAAGAGGATTGCATTTCTCCGACATACGATCACCACCAATATTTGAAGGATCGTAAAGTTACATTCGCGTAAAAAGACCATTGCCCATCAATCTAACCCACTGTATGGAGTACACCCGGGATGAATGAACTTGTTAAAGAGGATCGTTTCACCGGATTCTGAAGCAAACGAACTGATCTGCTTGGACATATCCGTCCAAGCGCGCTTCCATTTTTGGTCTCATATTACTTTTTCGTTGAAACATGCCAATCAATCGGAGAAATAGCCTAGCCTAAAATTGTCCATACATGGTTGTTTGGACGATCAATGCTCGTTGAAGAGACATGCGTTTCTTCCCTTTTCTGAGACTTTGATGCGGTGATGTAACCAGGATCAGATGGGCTCGTCCCACATTGCAAAGAGATACAGGTGCGATGGTTCTTTATGCTTTATAAATAGAATGTCAAGTGTGTTTTTCGTTCTTCTCATGTCGCGGGAGAGTCAGATTCTACACCATCCAACCTAAGATGCGCTTCTCATTTGTGCCCGCGGCTGTGTTGAGCCTCATCGGCTCAGTCAATGCTTGGGGTGGTCTTGCTCCTGATAGTCCAAGATTCCGAACATTTGAACGCCATGGCCTTACAGCATTTCAGCATGCTGCTACTAATTCTATCCTTGAGTTTACTAGTAACTCGGGGATTTGCGAGACTACGCCTGGTGTTGATCAACACTCGGGTTACTTGTCCGTTGGTATGTAAGCCCATCCCCGGGGTACCATCATATACTGATTCGAGCCACAGGTAAGAACCATAGCATGTGGTTCTGGTTCTTCGAAGCCCGTAATAACCCAGAGGATGCACCCCTTGCTATCTGGCTGAATGGTGGCCCTGGATGTTCTTCCATGGTCGGTCTTTTCACTGAACATGGACCTTGCCATTTCGTCGGCAACGACACAGAGCCAACTCTGAACCCTTACTCATGGAACGAGTACGCAAATATGCTCTACATCGACCAGCCCATCGGCACTGGCTTCAGCACTGGCACAGAAGATGTCAACTCAACAGCGCAGGCAGCTCCTTATATCTGGAAGTTCATGCAAGCGTTCTTGGACCGTTTCCCCAAGTACAAGTCGCGAGAGTTTGGTCTCTTTACTCAATCATATGGCGGACACTACGGTCCTGAGTTCGCCGACTTCTTCCTCAATCAAAACGAGCAGATCGACGATGGTCACCTCGACGCCCACAAGATCGACATGGTCGCGCTGGGCATCAACAACGGCTGGATCGAACCCAAGAGACAGTACAAGTCATACGCAACGTATGCGAACCGCAACCCCTACAAGAAGATCCTCACAAACAAACAGCTGAGGACTTCTCTCGATTCATACTACAAGTACTGCTTGCCTGCTATGGAAAACTGCACAGAACTAGAAGGCCAGGACGAAGAATGCGCAAAGGCTGATGATGCTTGTAATACACAAATGTTCACCAATCTTGTGATCGCGGGAGGGACCGACTTCAACGTCTACGATGTACGCATCGGCCAAAACGATGTTGACCCGCCAGACACGTTCCTTGAGTACATCACGAGAGCTGAGGTCATGGACGCAATCGGAGCGAACACCCGATTTGCCGAGTGTAGTGACACCGTCTACGCAAACATGGCGAAAACAGGAGACGGTTTGTATTCCTACACGCACAATGACGGACGAGATTGCTAACAGTGGAAACAGGGGCACGTTCATATGTCGGGCCTTTGGCTGATGTTGTGAAGCGTGGTATCAACACCCTAATCTGGGCTGGAGATACTGGTAAGTCCACAGTTACTGTTGCTATCAGAACACATGCTAATTTCACAATAGACTGGATCTGCAACTGGGAGGGCGTACTCTGGGCTTCCTATGCACTGGAGTGGCCAGGCCAGAAAGAATTCGTAGCAGCGCCGTTCGACAACTACACAGTCGATGGCAAAGCTCAAGGTCGATACAAGACTGTAGACAACTTGTCCTTCCTCAAGGTTTGGGAGGCTGGACATTCAGTGCCCTATTATCGTAAGTACCTATCCAGGTCACATCAGATATACATCAACTGATAGTATGACAGAACCCGAAACAGCGTTGCAGGTGTTCAAGCAGGTGATGCAGAAGAAACCCATCAAGTCGACCTAATGGTTCATGTTATATCAAGGCGTTCAGGAAGACAGGACCATAGAGCCTGCTGGGCGACAACTCATATAGTATATCTATCAATTTTTTGTTTTCACGCTGTGTATAACCAGTCTCTAATCGTCAACCGCATCGAGCAGCAACTGCCAAACCCTCGTAGATTCCTGTTTAGATGCAAGCAAGGTATAAAAGAATATCGTACGCCGACGTCGTACATACAAATAGTAACACAAGATAAGTAGTTTCCAAACTCCCCTGGCCATGCGGTTCCTTTGTACTTCTTTTTGATCACTGTGCCTTGACCTTTTCGAGGCGCAAGTCGTTGATGACCATGTATCGGCTGAGGGTGATCCAGCCATAGCGGAACCAGACCATCTGGCTCCTGTGCGCCTGAGTCATGGCACTCCAAGCTGTGCCGTATGCGCCTCGGCCAACAAGCTGGTTCATGAAGACCAGACCTTCAGGACGCTCCTTGTCCTCATTTTTGACTCCCAGATACGAGAGCAATGTAGGGACAAAGTCCATGAAAGCCGAGTACTTGCGCACAATGCCCACTGAGGTTAGAGTGTATAGATCTACAGGGCTCGGCCATTCAGACTCAGTCGAGGTGAGAGCCTGGATAAAGGAACGGGCACCCAAGTACAGGGAGATGTGGTTGGGGTGAGAGGACACGCCATTGCTGTCAAAGGTTATGAGGATATCAATGGCGGCTGTAGGCTTGAGGTTGTTCTTGCGCTCGTGGCCGAATTTGGGGGCAAAGGTGCTTCCTAGTAGGCGAGCAATTAGGTTCTTATCCCACATTCTGGTCATGGAGTCTGGGAAGTCGGTGCTGTAAGTGAAGTATTCCGTTAGCTTCTTAGATAGTCAGTGGCTCGTGGGGCGGTCAACGTACGGGTTGTCCACTACGAAGACATCATCCTCGTTTTGCAGTCCCAGCGCCAAACCGCTCTTGACCAGCTCTTGCTTGCGAACGTCTCCTAGCCCGTCGGCATCTCCTATAGCACACCAAAAAAATCACCATCAGCCAAAACTGCTTTCAACCAATTTTGTGTTGTCGCATCATCATCATCATCATCATGATGCGCTTGTAAAGCACGGGTCGTTGCAGTTGGCTCATACCAGTGCTCAAGCATAGAATCTTAACGTGGTTTCCGTTCTCAGGTCGTGTGAGGGCGAGGACGGTAGGTGAGAAGAACATGGCTTCGTCATCGGGGTGTGCGATCAAGAGACAAACGCGCTTGTTCTTGATTGTCGACTGAGCCTGGTTCGCTGTGAACATGTAAATACCCGGCACCACGACGGCGAGGCCTGCGAAGATGTGAAGAACGTTCATGTCGGCGGCTTCGGAGACAATATTGCGATTCGGCTTCGGTTGCGACGGACGGTATTTCTAGAGGATGGCAAACGAGTCCCTGTGGCAGCGCAAAGCCTAATATAGCTGTAAGCAGAGCTTGAAAGCTGCACCGAGTTCAATTGCACTGTTAAAAGAGGGAGTTCAACCCCTCTGGGAAGCTGGACGTGACCCGAATCGTAAACAAGTTGTGATGGAGGATGGCTGAGACAAAAAGTGGCACGAGACGTGGGAAAGACAAGTGAAACTTGGGTATGGAGGGGCAGGAGTTCACGAGGGCGCAAATGCCAATCGCTAAGGCAACCCCCATGGGACCTTTCAGTACCTACACGCTGTAAAATCGACCAACGGTTCACCGCCTGACAACCTTGGTAGACAGAAAGCACTGGATCTCACAGAACGTAGCTAGACCCAGCTGAAGCCCCCTTGTCCACCTTTCAAGCCATAGAGAAATCGCCTTCCTTCATGCATTGAAGTGCAGGCAGTGCGGCATGGCCCGAGGCTTCCATTGGTGTGGGATACGCTAAGCCTGTTCAAGTAACCTGTTGACGTTGTCTTTCAGGAACAGCTCAGCTAAATTGAACTCCAGCTTAGCTACTTGCATCTCTATTACTCTAGAACGCTTCAACCACGACATAGTACATTCATTTCACACCCAATCATGGCCCGCCAACGCAAAGAAAAGTCCGTCAAGGATATCAAACTTGAACAGCCCGATCGCTCTGGTCCAAACAAGGAGACACTTGTCGATTTCGCAAAGGGTCGCGATCTCTTTGCTGAAGCCGATCGTCGACAGCGCGAGCTTGACGGCGAAGGACCCCTTTTGTCGCCTCGCACAGAACGTATCCTCGAAACTCTACTATGGACCGGCATTATCGCTATGCTTCACTTTACATTCGACGTGCTTGTGCAGCGACAGTACGCTATGGAACTTGATTGGCTTCTTGTAATCCAGCGAACTCTCACAGCTTGGCTCTGTAAGTTTCTACCTATCCCAAGTTGCCATCATTACTAACATGATGGTATTTAGTGTTTATCTCTCTATTTTACGTCCTCCATCCGCATTATTCGCAAAAACAGTTGATTCCTCTTGTCCCCCAACAGTATCAGGAGACTATTCGCCAAGCCATCTTCTTCGTCGCAAGCACACTGGGCGGCTGCTACCTCATCTACATCAGCAACAACTACAGTTATATAGCGGTCATGAAGCAAGCCCCTCCTGTAGGTTGCCTGTGGGTTTGGGCCGTTGTCGAGATGGATATTCTCTGGGCCTTTCCCAGTCTTTGCATTGCTGTCGCATACGCATACAAGAATGGATACGGATTCAGATAGAACAGCATATCATTGTTTGATTGGCCTCCGCAATGGACTTAAGTCTGTCGACTCAGACATTGCAGTAGAGCCGTCATCACCAACCAAACTCTCTGATTCTACACCTTTGAACTCGAGGCCTGTCAACGTCCCTGCCCGCGAAAGACCAGAATGATCACGATGTGACCATTGTCTTACGAGGTCTTCTAACCGATGAATTCGATCCCTTTGGTTCTCGATTAGAGACTCAAGCTTCCTTGAACTCTCATCCATCTTCATTTCTCGCCATTTCGTCCGCGATTCAAGATCCCGCAGCCGAGAGGAGATCATACTCATTTGCATAAACTGCACCCTCGCTGTCAAACCTTCCCGTTGTCTGACCAACTCCAGAGCCTTTGTTCGCACGCGCAGCCAAGCCATGGCTACTGTTGTGCGGCCACTCCAACTCCGCGGCATGAGTGTCCAACTTTCACCCTCATCGCTCATCGTCGACTTGGCCTCTGTCTCAGCGACTATGTCAAGCAGGCGCTGTTCAAGATTAAGCAGATCGTCCATTACGAAGGAATACATCTGGTATTCGGGTTGATGCGAATGGAAACTTTCATGCTGGGCATTGATAGCTGTTACAAGGTCTGCTAGCCATGTGGATTCGGTTTTATACCACGACAGAGACGTTTTGACGCGGAAGAACTCGTCATCACTGTTCCGCAGATATGTGAGGCGGGCGTAGAACGCTGCAGCAATGGCAACGACAAAGGTCAAGATGCCTGCGATATTGGAGGTTATTGAAAGCGGCGAGTCTCTCTGGCCATCGCCAGAGTCCATTGGGTCTCGATATGGAAGGTGGGGGGTTTTGGGGTAGATGTCGAATGTCTTGGCAACGATTTATAAAGAAGATAGCCGTGAAATGTGCAATTTGCTAAACAACAAGCGGGAATGGACGCGGTGTTCCAGCATACCTTAGTAGTAAGCCAAGATCGAATCTGATGCCCTTGAAGAATGGGGATACAGCCATACACGTGATCTGTCACATGTTTTGTCCTTCAATTCCCACTGAGGATTTGTTCGAGATCGAAGTCGAAACAGCAACTGGACAGGGAGATACGACAGCTCTTTCTCGTCTTCTGTGCTTACACTTTCGTCATAAGCCCGAGAGTGAGCCCAGGTTGAGTAAAATATGTATAGGAAAAGTAAATCTATAATTCGAACCATGACTTCATTTTGTATGCTATACACTATGTAGCGCATCACCCATTATCTTGTCCCGTATAATCAATAAAGTCATACTGGAATATTACCATCATATATGCTTGCAAACGAACCCGCTCCTCAATGTAGCCATGCATTATTGCGCACTTCTTCCTCTTCCAGGCCTTGTCGAATCGGCAAATGTAATGCCTCGTCGGTTAGGCGGCACTCTTTCTGTCCCCTCGTCATCACTATCGTCAGCTTGGTTGCCAACGCCTAGCGCAGCCTCTCTTCGTCGCCTCTCAGCTGGCGTTTCGGTAGTCTCTTCCTTGGTCTCCTCCTCCTGGTTCGAGAGCGCTGCTAAACGGCGCTTGCGCTCGACCGCAGTCTCTGCTTCTTGTTCAGATGGTTTGGCTGGGCTCGAGGGAACTGCGGCAGATTTAGATGAGCCAGAAGGCCCCTTTCGGTTCTCAGGAGCGTGGTGTTCAGCGGCCTTAGCGGCCTTCACAGCTGTCTCAGGAGGAAGGTCTTGCTTGGCGACCTTCTTGAGAGCCTGTGATGCATCCGACTGCTCAACAACCTCTTTCCTTGTTCGTGAATCCAGCTTCTGCACTTCGCGAATAAAGTCCTCCTTGGTCATGCGCTGACCAACACCACCAATCGTGAAGCGAATAGCCTTGTCATCAGCAGCTTGAGTCTCTGCAACCGACTTCTTCCTATTTTGCTCATTTGCGTGGTTGCCTCCAAATACACCTCCAAAATTAGCCCAGCCATGTTTACCGGCGGGCTTTTCACCAGATGTGCTGGGACCAGCTTCAGAGTCCCCGCCATTGGCTGCAGGCAGTTCATAGGTCTTAACAACTTCACCATCTGCATCTTCAACAATAATCTGCGATAAGTTAGCCTTGTGTTGCTTCTGTGCATTCAGTATTAACATACCGTGTTTCCAAACTGGTAAGCTCTGGCAGGTTCATGTCGTCGATCCTGGCCCTTGTCTTTACGCTTCTCCATCTCGGTATTGTAGACCTCACCCACTCTCTTCTTAAAACCAGCAACAGTCCACAGCTTGTCATGTTCTGGTTTGACAGCTGTGATGGGCACGTGGTTCTCGTCCTCCCGATGAGAGTCCGGCGCGGGCTCAACGTCAAGCACATCTCCATCCTGGTTCTCGAATACCATTTCGTGACCCTCCTCGTAGATGTTTACAGGCTTAGGAGGAGTCTTCTGACCACTGCTGCCCGCAGGGCTCTCTCCTGCCTGTTCAATTCTATCAGAGTTCCTTTCCTTGGAGCTATCATCGGCAGCCAGGGTTGATTCGGTGTTGTCTTGTGAGGGAAATTCGTCTTGATCGTGCTGTTCGTTGGGGGACATGAGTGTGGACGATTGCCGTTGGGGGAAAATTGCAGACTGAGCAATTGGACCGCCAGGGCCAAGATCGTCATCCCAGTTCTTGTTCTTACGTTTCCGTGAGACAACGGAGGGCGAACGGCTTTCATTTTGATCTCGCTGTCTGCGCAACAAGTGACTGTAAGGACCACTGTTTGGAATCGCAGCATCAGGAGGGAACTGTGGTCCTTTCTCTTCATCGATAGACACTTCGGACATGGACCTCGCCTGAGACCTAGATTGGGATGAAATTCGGGGCAACCGGTTCATCCACGTAGGACCGTCTTCAGGAGCAGCTGTGTATGACATTGTCAGACTCAGTGTGTTGATGCGTTTTCCAAGGGTGAAAACAGCAATGGAGGATCCATGGACGAGAATAGATGTAACAACCAGAAAGCTCACAATAGGCCACACAAGATAAATGAGCTCATAGTGTTCAGTGTTCTCGGGTGGCAACTGAGCTAGAGGTACTGGCTCTTCATGCTCGAGTTCAGCTCTGGCCAAAATGGCAACGAAAATGGCGCCCACACCAATTGGACCGAAATGGCCAGCGAACAAGGCTTCACGCCATGTTTTGACGTCTGGTATAAGGGGTTTCAAAGCCAGCATAATGGGAATTCGGCGGAACAGCAGCACGAAAATGGCAATTACCACCAGTCGCCAAGCGACCAAACCGAAAACACCATTGTTGAATTGCTCCCATGGAATGATGGTTCCAAAGTAAACGAAATAAGTCAAGTTAAGCAAAAGATCGATAACGTTGGAAACGTGTGATTCTTCAGTCTTTTCGCCAAACCAACCATCGTTTGAGAAGCCCACTCCTGCAGCGAAACCGACCAGCAAATCGTCCATGCCCAGAATACTACCCGAGCCGGCGCACCAGAGCGCAACAACGAAGTAAAAGACCAGGAAACTCTCGCGATCAATCAGGTCACGCTTCTCGGCGTATCTGATACCGTGGCGGGCAATATAGCCAATGACGAAGCCATAGATAGCACCAAAGATACACTCGTATAGGAGGACGTATACAACGAAGTGGAAGCTCACGTCTTGAGCATCACGCTTGAACTGGATCAAGTAGAGAGACAGATAGATGAATGGGAACGCCATGCCATCGTTACAGCCAGACTCAGCGGACAACAAATCTCGAAGATGCTTGGGTACTCGCTTAGCAAACTTTCCCTTACCAACAACAGATGATGCTAGAACAGGATCGGTAGCAGTAACGCAGGCAGCTACAACAAGACTGTCAAGCCAATCCAGAGGTGGGATCATCCAGAAAATGACAAGACTGGTAATGAGCCAGCCGAACGTCATGACTGGTATCAGGAGAAAGATGACAGACTTCCAATGGCGCTCCATGTAGAACTTTGGCAATTCGACACCAACGGCGAAACATTGTACAACGAGAACAATTCGCGAGAACTCAACGGTGACGATATCGGTTGAGCCCCATGATTGAGGGTCAATGAGGTTGGCAGCATGAGGACCAAAGATAACTCCACAAAGGGTAGCGACTGTAGCTTCACCAATGTACATGCGTTCCTTAATAACAGAGGAGCATAGCATGAAAAGAGAAGTAAAGCCGCCAAGGATAATGTACACCAAGTGCGGCTTGGTGATGTCGAGATGACTCCAAGCCATGATGGGATAATTGTATACCTAAGTATACGAGAAATTGGTCGATTTGTTTGTCGCTATTGTATCTCGAATTCGGTGGGTGTCGCGACCTCGGAGGTGTCGACAACAAACGTTATCGCGAAGGGCGAAAATCGGCGGCGGCGCCGCGGTCAATTGTAGTCGGCACTCGTCTGGTGTGAGAAGCGCAGCATCGACAAGATGAAATTGGTCGGACAGGAATGCGACAAAAGGGAGACAAGACAAAAGACCGTAGGGATACAGGGGATGGTCTGGTCTGGTCTAGTCCAATGGATGTTGGAAGGAAAAGAAGGAAGAAGAAAAGAAAATCTCAACAAGACAAGGAAAGCAAGAGCGACCGTTTAGACTAATCCCCGTCAAAGCGATCGAGGGACGGACGGGTGGAAAGTAAAAGTAAAAATGGCACAGGCCTTGAACAGTGTCGTCACAGGGCAACAGCACCTATAAAACCGGGATGGTACGCCACGCAGCGCCACAGATATCTTGGCGCGATGGGATATTCAAATGGTGATATCTTTCTATCTGTCACGAGGACAATGGTTAACGATAATGACGAGAGGATTACAAAAGATAGAAATCAAAAGATTCCTTTTTAAGGTTGTTTTTAACCTCGTCGGCTGGAGATTTGTGTCGCCGAAAAAGGCCCTTCTTCTTCTCTAGGTCAAATCAAGGGGATCGTCACCATTCAGGTTCATCTCACCACAACCACGAGGTGAAGGACAGGGAATGTTCAGCAGGGATCCTAGTCTTGGTTCGACTGCCAAGAGCCTCTGTGGGGGCATCGATGATTTTATCCAGACCACCGACAACACCCAAGCCGGACAAACCGGCAGAGTTGAGTTTGTTATTGTTTGCAATACCTATCTCTAGATACGCATTGTTTATGCCCCTGGAAATATTGATCAAAAATATTGGGCCTCAACAATAGCTGGTCTCACGAGAACGGTCCAGATCTGTGTCTTGCTCGTCAGCTAATCACATATTACATGCTTCTCCCTTGTTCAACGCCCAGACTTTATCTCCAAGTGCCAATAACATTAGGTTCCACTCGACGCCTCAAAATCCTTATGCATGTCTTGTATCAATACAGAGATAATAAAACCCAACGACGCCTAATCCACGATATCAAAGAGATGTCAATCACATCATGTCAAGAGACAAAGATGCTGCACTTTCTACCAAGATATAGAACAATCTAAGCAGTCATCATAGCATGCGCCCCTCCTAGAAACGAACCAGTGGATCGGCATCTCTCTGCGGACGAGAACTGTAAACAAGAATTTTGCGGGCGACTATCCATGCTACACAGCCAATACCACTTTTTCTTGGCATCGTCGCAATTTTCTTCATGACGAGTTCACAGCGCTAAGCTCGGTTCTACGAAATTATTCCCTTCTCGAGTTATTTATCCTAATTCTCTTGAGGCTGATCCACGGTGAGATCAACGACAGTACTGTCTGTACCCCCACAATACTTGACTTATGCATCTTTTTCCCTTTTCGTACAGGGCTTGTACAAGAGGTTAGCCAAATCAAAGCTCGGGTTTTTTTTTTCCTACCGCCAACGGCCATAAACCTAAACAACCTTAAATTGTACCGGTCTAGGCCTGTCCTGCGAGGTCAATATTATGCTTAACTTGTTCTTTGTCATGCGAAATGCGGGCACTACCAGTGGTTTGGCAGAGCATCCATTTATTAATCCAGATTTTACGGTATTCACCTGCCCAAGATAGTTTAAGTTTTGAGCCCTGTCGGTTCTTCAGATCTCTCCCCATCACAGTTACTGTATGGTACACATTCTGTCTGTTATCCACAAGCTTAAATATGACTCAGTTGAACCATTTTTCTTGGTTGGACTGACGTCAGTGAAGATATTCAAGCAGCACACTATTCTCATCGCAGCCATGCTCCGGACTCTTTCTGTACATAATTCTGGAGTCTCAATTGTACTCCGTATTCTAGGGAATGTCAGCTCACCGCTTTATCTAAAAGAGCGATCTGCGAATTGTCTGTGCTACGCGATGAAGCTATCACGTTTCACCGACAACATACCGCATGTTATTGAGATGTAGTTTCTTTTTGATACAGACGTTAATTGAGGTTGCATATTCAATGTCTTGGAAATCTCTTGGAGATCTGATAGACCCTGGATTTTTGGTGCAGCCAAGATGCCCAGAGATGCACCCCATGCGCGCCAAGGGCCAAGAGCTCTGACATTGAGCCGCCAAGACGTAAAACCGCACCAGGTGGTGCAAATGGCCAAAACTCAATTTGATGATGGCTTCATTCTTTTACGGTGAAACTGTTGGGCCGTTACTACTTTGTAGTTCGAATCTTGAACGTGCAGGGCGAATAAAGCATTGGGAATCACTCATGTTGAGATGTTGATGAAATCCGAAAAATCCAGGTTTAAATGTATAGTTATTTCGAACATCCTATTTCATTTTACTTTATGATACCTTTACTAACAACACTTAGACGGCTAAGATGAAGTATTCGATCGTCTTATATACCTGGATGCTAGTCATCCACTCTATGTACTACTTATATACTCGGCCCTCCTATGGCAATACCAGACAATATGACTGGTTGAGCTCACCAACCTCAATCATTCAACTCAAAAACGGTTATACACAACATCTGAAATAGCTTCAATGGATTACAACTGAGGTTCGTATTTGACGAGTATTGTTTATATTCGACTTTAATTCTGTTGCTGCCTGTGAGATATCCTCACCACTGGTGCTATCTATCTTGCCATGCTTGCTCAGCATTCTACCTTTTCCACGCTCAAATAAAATACAGTACTCATACATCCTGGGTATCTTAGTGTCGCATCCATTCCAAATTGACTTTTAGTTGACGACCATGTACATGAGTGCGGACACGGCGAAAGATGCACACATAAAGTTGAAGCTGGGAGCGTGGACAGCTCCGCCCGCGGTTGTGGGCGTAGGAGTTGGCTCCTCGTTGGCTGCCTCGGCTGTCTGGCTAGGAGCACTCGATCTGGTCATCGAGGTGACCATCTGGCTAGGAGCTTGGGGAAGAGGCAGAGAGCCCGTGGGCTGTTCAGTGTCGATGGCGAGAACAGTGCTCTTGGTAGCGAGGTCTTCGTCCACGTCGGACAAGGGGTCTCCGTTCAGACTCTCTTTTGTAGACGAGGAAGAAACACTCGTCTCGATAAGTATGTTCTTGTGGACCTTGGTAGCAGACGCAGATCCTGTTGTCGTTGTGGCTGGAGCTTGAGTTTCGGGCTCAGACACAGGTTGAGGCTCAGACTTGGCCTCTGATTGAGCTTCAGACTGGGATTGGGGCTCATCGACATCTCGGCAGAGAACAGCAACGAGGTTGCCCTTCTGGCCGCGGCTAAGAAGAGATTCGGAGTCGGCTGAGACGTCACCACATGAAGCCATGATGAAGCCCTGAGTTTGTTGAACTGAGTCCTTGCAGGCAGCACTGCATGCCTTGCCACCAGTGAAGTCGTTGGGGGTACAGTCTGCGAGTGGCGTATCGTATGCTGCAATACAGTTTGATGGGAAAGACTTGTCGCTTATCGACTCAAAGTCGGATAGCTTGAGGGATCCTGCTGAAGCGGTGCCAGCCATGAGAAGGAAAGATAGCTGAAGCCATCGTCTTGTAGATTGTCCAGTCATTGTGAATGATGTGTTGTGTATGAGAACAAGTGTTAAGAATATTGTTTCCAAAATGAAAGTTTTGATCAAGTTATCGAAAGTGCTCAAGCTCAGTTATATGACGAGCTGATTGTGGCTTGGCTCAGACTTGAAGCATTGATATAGATCTTTGGTTCAATAAAACGGGAACCCAGTTGAAACGCGCTAGGATGCTGACAACCAACAAGCTGAAGGATCGTGGTCTCGATTTGAGAAATGAAGTTTGGATGTTTCTAATGTTTATGCGTTGCGTTTCAGTGAAACAATTTGTAGGTAGTTCGTTTCAGTCCAAAAGGTTGAGACTGAAAGGTGACGAATAGATGGGATGTCCAAGATGTATTAAATAAAACGGGTGAGTTGTTTATGCGATATCGGCGATAATTAAATGATTGTTTCTGTAAACCGAAGGAATTTGATCGGCGTTTCGTGTCCAGAGTGTAACGACTTGAGGACAAGGGAAATGAAAGTGTCGTAGATGATAACGTCGAGTGATGGTCTCGGTGATGGATACACGCCAAGAGAAAGCAATAAAATGTAAGTAATGCCAGGTAAAGAGACAAATAAATATGCGAGTGATGTAGCAAATAAATAAAAGGAGAGTCAAGAGGTATTGATTGACTGATGGTTCTCGAGTGCAAGCAAAGGCGAGGGAGCACAGCTTTCCTCTACAAGGTTGTCGGTTTTACAGCTGAAACGAGTGGTGTCAACCTGTTTACTCTTCTAGACAGGAAGAGAAGGGAAGATGAATAAATAAATAAATAAAGGGGATGCACAAATTCTTAAGGATGGAACGAGGAAGGACGAAGGATAAATAATTATGGGAATACTAGCAAGAGTGGGAATGGGAATATGGGGAAATTCTGGAGAGGCCGAGAGAGAAGCTGAGAAGGAAGAACGGGAAGGGAACGGATGATCAGGGATGCAATATGTACAGAGTACATCTAACTACTACGCAGAAACTATTGGATGGAGCTCCCATCATTGTACAAAAAGGGACATGTAATGCACATCACTAGCTCCTACGCGAGGGTTCTTTTGGGGGTTGAAACCTCGAGATGGCGCATCACAATTCGAGAGAGTAGACTCTGCCGATGGATTGGGTGGAGATACTTCGAGATCATCAGGGGCTAGTCTCGTAGACGATGATGGATTTTTCTCTTTCAGTCTTGGCCTGACGTCACACCAACCGTGAGTCTCTCTCAGATTGCTTCAGATTACAGTCTATTATTGCTTCTTTACCGGGGTTGTTGTTGTGTTTGCTCATGAAACCAACCATGACTTTTGTATTGCACAGAGCACAGCATGGTCTTGTACTCTGCCAACAGCATGTTTGCCTTTGCCCCTCCTCGTATTCCTTTCTCCCAAGCCTCCCGTGATGGTGATATGATGTGCAAGTAAAAAGGAAAAAAGAAAGAAAAAAGTTAGAGAACAGACTTCGTTTCAGACCGTTTGTTTCGGGTTTCGTTCCAACCCACCACACGCACTGACACTCGAGCAAATCAGAGTCTCTAGATGGGTGACGCCAAGTACACCACATACAAAGTCTATGTTGTGGCTCGAGTCAGAATGAGGGGTCTAATGGATTCTAGAATTCTTCACTTGCTCATGTTGGTGTCGAGGATTTTTTATACCTTTTTGACAGTATTTTCTGTGGTTTTACCTCTCGTCAAAAAATGGTGATGCTTCCTTTGATGGTCAGAACCATCTAAAAGACCCCGTATGAACCCTTGTCAAATCCCTCCTGTAGTAAAATTGGTCCCCAGAAAATACCCATCTTTTGGCGGATCGAAAAGTGGAAATGCCGTCTGTCAAAGTCAAAGCAACCAGGGATATGAGCTGAGGGTACAAAAAGTAAGCGGCAAGAACACAGCCTGCATCACACCAAGTCTGAGTAGACATTTTCGTCACTTGTCAAAGTACAAAGAACTTAAATTCCCGTGAGACGCGATAATGGAAGGAATGTGGCTTTGTAAACTTCCGACAGAACGTCAAGCTGGAAAACTCTCATGCCATCCAAGCTGGAACAAAGGGTTTTTGCGCATGCTTCTACCCAAAGTAACGCACATGTTATTGTTTCGGAACGGATTCGGCACTCACAATGATCAGCATCAGCTATCAGCCTTTGTCTAGCCTCTTTGTATACTGATCGTCAGGACTATTCCGCCAAGAGCACGACCCTCTTGTTTGAGGTCGCCCAAATGAGTAATCCATATGACCCATCAAGCAATGTTACTCCTCTGACGGCACTCTAGTCTCCCTTATTGATTGTGACCTCGGCAAGTCAAGGGGGAAATTCGTCCGGTCAGGGCTCGAGTGAACTCTTTGTCAATAATATCCCTCGATACGCATCGTCATAAGAAGATGGGATCGGAAGGGTCTTTTCATCGTTCGAGTGGGTTAGCTCAGCCACGTCGACGCGACATCCAAGGGTGATTATCGAGAATACTGTCAGTTATGAGGTAGCACTAGACTTACTTGACAGCAACGTCAAACCAATAACTAGCCATAAGTAGAATGCCTATCGTCAATTCGGGAGTCTCTAGACCCGGTATCGTTAATCAGTTCACTGTCCATGCTATCACATTACACTAGCATGGTATGTAATAACCGCCCATAGTCACTATTCATGCCTGAAGCCCTCGGTTATAGAATCTTGAGTCTTTTACTTACACCGGCGCAGAATGTCAACACCAGTCGTTCGGGATGATACTACCATACCACTAACTAACCAGCGGGGGCTCAGAATCCGATGTCACGGTTCAACGTCATTGACGCGTTGTGTCGCAGGGTTCTCCTAGCCTTCAATTAAATGGACCGGGGTTGTCTGTCACTGGACTTGCCATCCAGCAACTTGGGACAATATTGAATCTCATTTTACAAGTGAAGATCGTTACTCCAATGATAGTCATAAGACGCAAGTTGTGAGTGGTCTTTGCGTAATATCGTCATGCTTCTTATTGGGATAAGAGAAGGTTTGGGCTGCCTCAGAGTGTTGTCGATCTGCGTCGCTTGTCGGGTTGACCGTTGACTTTTCCATCGTTGTCACGTAAGCGAGGTCACCACTATTCGATGTGATCAGGGTCTCTGTCACAGAAGTTGGCCGCTCAATTGATCAAGCAAATAGCCTTTTACTGTCTTGTGATTGGTTTTAATGATGGCTCACAAGTCTGGGCAGTTACCCATACCCAATAATGGCTGGTGAGAGCGTCAAAGCGGTTTAGTGTAACTATTTGTACCTCCTACCAAGCTGGGACCAGCAAAAGACAACGTTTTGATCACCTTGCCTCAGTTACCAGTTGGATAGAAATGCTCCTGACCAGTTCCGGTAGTGATGCAGCACTTTTCCGCACACGGAAAATAGTAAATGTGTGACTCGTTGAAAGAGACTTGACCATCAGCCACTTAATTGCCACCAATTATAGAGAGGTTGTTATTTCATCACGAGTCAATACAATGACATGACTGCGGCGGGAATCCCGGCAGGACGTTAGTGAACGGACGTTCATGTCAGACTTTTTCACCAGAGATAGCGGTCGCAACTCAAAACCTTCAACTGCACAAACCGTTTCTCTTTTTAAACTTTTCTTATCCTACCTTGTTAATTGTGACAGACAAATATTTCGCTCTCTCGCTATTGGATCTACTCGTCCCCTTGTTACCCTGGACAGAGACGTGTTGACGAGTCGAGAAGATAGCTGATATCTGTGACTACTTAAAGCTAAATGACTGGGTTTTCTTCAACAATCAGACAGGATCGATAGCTCAGTGGTAGAGCGAGGGATTGCAGATCCCTAGGCCGCGTGTTCGAACCACGCTCGGTCCTCTCTTTTGCCGACAATCAACATTTTTCAGTGATATGTCCTTTTTGTGCTTCAACGCCACGTAGCATCTAAGAGATATATGCACAAACAACAACACTACATTCAAAAACAACTCGAGGATCGATAGCTCAGCGGTAGAGCGAGGGATTGCAGATCCCTAGGTCACGTGTTCGATCCACGTTCGGTCCTTACCTTTTGACATTTTGGTATATTTCTCTTTTTATCAACTCGTTTGTATGGTTTGATGTACGTATATTTGACCTGGTTTGACGTGGAAATTATTTTTAATACTATGCCTTGACCTGCTTCTAGATGAAACTGTGCATGTCTTACTTTTAATATGCTCATATCACTACGTAAGCACACCTACATTCTCAACGTGGCCTATAATCGGACATGAAGCGAGGTAGTTTACTGACCAGCTGAAAAGGCTTGCGCCTTAAGAGGATGTGTGGCTGAGGTCGCATGTATGAGTTGTATATTTTCAATATTTGTCTTGCAAAAGCTCGATCACTAAGTTGTCTGATGGCAATGGTTATGGATATAAGAGACATCTATAATAATAGCAAAAACTAAACACAGAAAGAACTATCGTGGACACGGCTAGAACTATCTTTCCAGTATATCACCGCCACCCAATAACCTTACAAGATGTTAACAATATCGCTAGCCACCTGAGCAGTGTTGACTCCAAAATTCGCGGGTGTAGTCTGCCATATCTGTTAGCTCAAACTTCTTCTTTACCAAACGTCTTGAACCAAATACCTGAAGGTAAAGAACACCATCCTCAATAACAACCCCGTTGTAGGATCTCTTCGTTTGTTCTACAATACGGATGTAAACGGTATGCTTATCCATCCCTTCGAGAAGGCCATCTCGAAGCATATCGTCCTCACCAAACTTTTCATATTCGAGCTGCGTGACCAAACCATCGAAATATGCGAGGTGGATATCCCCGAAATTACGCTCCCAACCGCTATCAGCATCAGAGCTGCTTTTCAGTTTCTCAAAATTTGCTTCAAAATTGGGAACAAGAGAAATGTCCTGATTGAGCATCTCTTTGAGCTTTTCTTGTATCTTCCCGATAGAATTGTTATAGCCGTCTTTGATTGAGGTTCTTGCGATGAAGCTCATGGGCCTTGGTGAAGGGGCATCGTTAAGCGCTTTGGTGAGATTGTTGTTGTCGGCAGCATCGGATGTATTAACCCCTAGGTTTTGTTCGTTAAAGATGATGACAAGCTGACCCTCAGAGGATACTTTGACAGCACAGTAGGATATGGTCTTTGTGTTATCACAGTCGATAGTTATAACATGGGCGGCACAGATCTCATTGATCTCATCCCTAGCTTCGTTTCCATTTCGGTCAACAAACTCGCGCAATTGATATAAAATGCCATCAATATATCTGGACAAGAGACAAAGATAAGTAAGCTTCCGACAGATTTCTTGGGTAAACTCCTCTTAATCGATTGTGCACCCTGAAACCTTCAAGATAAGGTTGAACGTCTGAAAACAAACCTGGCAATGAGATCCCCGACAGATGTTTCATAACCGCAATTCTGGGCATAGGGGTAAAAGGCCCACGGATCAACGGCAACAGTCCATGGCCGACCAAGTACTCCAGAGAGCATCTCTTCGTATTCGCCCTTCTTGTTCTCCCAGGAATCTCGAACTGGATACATGTAAGTGAGCTACTCTTTCCAGAAACTTGAACACAAGAGACCAACATACTATCCTTGCGGGCAGCAAGAGACATCTTCCCGGCGCGTGGAAGTCGGGACATAATGTGTTGAAGATCAGAGACAACGAGTTTGAACCTAAACTAGCTAGTGCTCTATAAAAGAAAATTGTTGCTCAGAAGCAGAAGCTCTTCGATATCTTGAAGTTGGTGCGAGTCATATAGCTTTTATGCCTTTTGGGCATTCAAGCATCTAATGGAATATGCAGACTAGTCAGCGGGCACCAACCAGAAGCTGATAGAGCGACGGTATCTGAGACTATCTAACCTTGAACTTCACGGAATTAGTTTACTCAATTCGGTCTACAGCCAATAGCGCGTGCTTGGGACCGATTTAACAGGCATTCCGATGAGTTGTCTAGTCTAGATTATCTACAGCCAGCCACATGAAGCTCGGCTAACCTCTTTGAAAATTCAAGTGGTTGAAAACGCCGAAAAAAAACACACCCAGCTGAAAGCATGGCAGTCCTTAGTCCGTGCCAATTTTTTATCTTCTTTAGGTATACATGATATTCACTTTCCTGATGGATATTCAGTTGTCAACACACATATCAGCAGAACAAATTCTTAGACAGCATAACTCGGAAGTGATTTTATAACTGTGCATCGCCATATCTGTCTTTGCATGTTGACTGACAAAGCATTTGGTTCCTATTGGCTCACAAAGTCCATTATCACCTCTTCTTGTTTGCCTCTGGGAGCAATAGAATTGAAAATGAACTCAGCCACTGCCAGGCTTCTAGAACTTTGACAAACTATTCGAGTTGTCATAATCAAGTCAAACAATACCTCAGTAAGAATACCAGTATCATGTCCTTCTCGGGTTCTCTGAGAGCCTCTTCTAACATAATCACCAGTGGTAAGAACCGAGCCCAACTATGGTATACGTGGTTTGGTAGCCAAGTAAGGTTAATTCGATCTTTTCAGAATATGAATGAAATCTTATGTTGTTGCTTCTATGGTTTTGAACTCGGTTACGGGAGTCTCTGGCCACCAGAGGGTGTAGTTATGCTGGTTCAACTTTGGGGTATTGTCATAGGAATACATTATCTAGAAGGCCGTGAAAATACTCTGAGCTTTAACAAGAAGTTTACTATTCTGTTTCACCGAGAATCTAATGATAAAAATGCAAAAAGAAAAAGAAAAAGAAAAAGAAAAAAACATACAACACCGAGGATTCGCTGGTCGTCACCGACCCAACTACTAATTCAGCACTTATCAGTTTATCGAACGGAGAGCGGACGGGATCCCGAGTTGTCTGATAGCTATGGTCGTATGTGTTTGTCCACTGAATAAACAGAACCTATATAGACGTGGATTGGTAGACTCACAGCAGAAATGGGCAGTGCAAGGATACAACACCAAGCAACTCACCACAGGACATAACAGCAAAACATACCAACCACTTCCTTTTCTTCTTAAATTGCTTATTTGATAGCAGATTTCTGTGTCATGGCCACTCTCCTTGGTGGAATTACAATTCCCTGGGAGCTGAGCAATGTAGGGATAGCCTCAACTCTTTCCAAGACAAGTGCGAATACGAATGCGAAAACCCACAATGCGTATTCGGCACTGTTGCAGCTTCCAGCAAGCTATATGCTCCTAGTATAGCTCAAGACATATGATAACCCTGAAATAACTTACAGTAGAAGCTTACATCTTTGGCAGTATCATTGGCCAGAGACAAGTCGACGAATCCTTCTGCGTATCGACATGTTGATAACCGGCAGCAGCACCAATCAACAATGGCTTTGACCCCGTGTCGAGGCTTGGCTATAATTACGAAGAGGGCAAATCGAGATGTAATACTCCTTAGATTATGGGAGGAACGCCCTGCTTGACTCGTTATCTTCGGGACTTTCAGCTTTTGTCTTTCGTATAAAATCTTCCAGTTCCCTTCGATCTATCTTTTCAACCAGCAGCACGACATCTCTTCTCTCTTCCCATGTTCACTCTACTCATATATCCCTTATGGGCTTTAGCAGCTCTCTTGGCTATCATAATCGCCAACTTCTTGTATCAGCAGCTTCCTCGAAGACGTCATGAACCCCCGCTGGTTTTCCACTGGTTCCCTTTCTTTGGAAACGCAGTCGCTTACGGCCTGGATCCTTGTGGTTTCTTTGAGAAGTGCCGGGAGAAGGTAGACAGACAGTAGTTTATATTCTTTGGCTCACTAGCTAACTCATCTTCTAGCATGGCGATGTCTTTACCTTTATCCTCTTCGGTCGAAAAATCGTTGCTTGCCTCGGCGTCGATGGCAACGATTTCGTTCTCAACAGTCGCCTCCAGGATGCCAACGCAGAAGAAGTCTACGGTCCATTGACGATCCCCGTCTTTGGCAGCGATGTCGTATACGATTGTCCCAACTCGAAGCTCATGGAACAAAAGAAGTTTGTCAAGTTTGGCCTTACTCAAAAAGCCCTCGAATCCCACGTCCAGCTGATTGAGCGAGAGGTTCTCGACTATGTCGAAACTGATCCATCCCTTTCTGGGAAGACTGGTACAATCGATGTCTCCAAAGCAATGGCTGAGATAACTGTCTTTACTGCGTCCCGTTCGTTACAGGGCGAGGAAGTTCGGAGGAAACTCACTGCCGAGTTTGCTGCTCTATATCACGATCTTGACCTAGGATTTAGACCTGTCAACTTTCTATTTCCATGGCTTCCATTACCCCACAATCGAAAAAGAGATGCCGCTCATGCAAAGATGCGAGAAGTTTATATGGATATCATCAACGACCGAAGAAAAGGGAGCAGTGGCTCGGAAGAGGGTACAGATATGATAGCCAACTTGATGGGCTGCACCTACAAGGACGGACAGCCTGTCCCCGACAAGGAAATCGCCCACATGATGATCACTCTACTCATGGCAGGCCAGCACTCCTCATCTTCCGCCAGTTCTTGGATTGTACTCCATCTTGCTTCGTCTCCCGACATCACCGAAGAACTTTATCAGGAACAACTCGTGAACTTGAGTGTTGACGGTGCTCTACCTCCCCTTCAATACTCTGACCTCGACAAACTACCTCTTCTCCAGAATGTTGTCAAGGAGACTCTCCGTGTCCACTCTTCCATCCACTCGATCCTGCGAAAAGTCAAGACACCCATGCAAGTTCCCAATTCTCCTTTCATGATCACCACAGACAAAGTCATCCTCGCTTCACCTACAGTCACCGCAATGAGTGAAGAGCACTTTGAGAACGCCAAAGCTTGGAACCCTCATCGATGGGACCACAGGGCAAAGGAGGAGGTCGACACCGACGATGTTATCGATTACGGATATGGAGCCGTGTCTAAAGGAACGAAGAGCCCTTACTTGCCCTTTGGTGCTGGCAGACATCGCTGTATTGGAGAGAAGTTTGCCTATGTCAACTTGGGTGTCATTGTTGCTACATTGGTGCGCAACTTTAGGCTTTCGACTGTTGATGGTAGGCCTGGAGTCCCAGCAACTGACTATACTTCCCTATTCTCACGACCCGCTCAACCTGCGTTTATTCGGTGGGAGCGTAGGAGGAAGGGTTAGCGGGTTGTTGGTGGAATAAGGGAGTGCCTGAAGAGACTGAACCTCAAGTTATAGTAGTCCCCAACAGTCTGTAATATTATTAGAAAGGGTCTTGCGCGACACCTAACGTCAACCTAGGCGGAACAGGTCACAAAACTTCTGATGTGCCATCTGTTTCACGCAAAATGGAATCAAGAATAATCTTTTGCAGTTCTAGTCAGTAAAAGCTAATATAGAGGAGCGTCTGCCGAGCCTTGTTTTCATGTTCATCAATGAATCGTCACACCCGAGCATCTTCTAACGGTCATGGTATAATAAATCTGCCCATAAATCCACCTCCTTACTGTTGCGAACCACCCTGTCCAGGTTGTCCGTTGGCACCATCAGCACCGCCGAAGGGGTTGCCTCCTCCACCCATCATGGATCGAGCCCTGTGGTTCTGATTAGCTCATGCAATATGCGATACATAGAATGCGTGACTTACATCTCTCCGATCTGAGGGTCGGACATGAGGCTGTTGAGGTCGGGCATGCCACCTCCAGAAGAGTATCGGTCGGCCATGTCGCGAAGACGAGGGTTGCTCATCAAGTTACTCATGAGGTCAGGGTTGCTCATGAGCTTCTGAGCCATGTTGGCGAACATGGGGTTGCTCATGATGCTACCAAGGTCGGGCATACCGCCAGCACCAGCGCCGCCAGCACCACCAGCGCCGCCAGCGCCGCCAAACATGCTGGCAAGGCTGCTCAGATCAGGCATTCCACCGGCGTTGGCATCATTACCAGCGCTGGGGGAAGCGCGGGGAAGAGAGTCCTCCTCGGCCTCCATCTCCTGAACGCGGCGCTTGGCCGTCTCGTAACCCTTCTTCATGGCATCAGAACCACCGTTACCCTCGTGCTGGATGCCACGGTCGTAGGCCTCCATAGCACCGCGAGCATCACCGAGAGCGAATCTGGCAAGGCCAAGGCGGGACCAGGCCTTTGTGTAAGCGGGGTCAATGGTGACGGCGGACTCAGCATCAGAGCGAGCGGAAGCGTGGTCCTTGTTGGCGGAGTGGGCGGCAGCACGGTTGGAAAGGTAGACAGCGTTGCTGGCGTTGATGGCCAAAGCCTGAGTGTAGAAGTTGATGGCAGCACTGTAGTCCTTCTGGGCCATGGCAGCGTTACCCTTTGACTTCAGAGCCTCGGCCTCCTTCTTCTGTTCCTCGGTGAGCACGACGGGTGCGGGAGTAGGAGCGGCGGCGGGCTTATCAGCGCGGGCCTTCTCGAAGACGGAGTAAATTTGAAGGAGGTTCTGCGATCCGATGGCTGCTGAGACGGCAGAGGTATCGGTAGGGTCGACCTTGAAAGACTCGGCGATACAGTTGATGGCAACATCGATGGAGTCCTTGTCGTCGGCGGTAAGGGTACCATCGTTTGTTGAGGCAGAAAGGAAATCGCAGATAGCGAGCGCAAGGCGCTGCTTGGAACTATGAGTAGAGGCCTATAGTAAAGAGTTAGCCACATGTCCATAGCACGAAAGTCATGACAAGTATCCTGCATTTCTTGATACTGCGGGGTGTTTGCGCTTACCATGGCGAATGAAGAAGACCTGTAGAACAGGCTGTGGAGAGGATGGGGAGGAAAGAAGAGAGAGGTTCGAAATACAAACCCAACAGACAAAGTACCAATGAGAGGAGACAAGGGAGGTTACTCGGTGAGGAGGTGAGCAAGGTTAGTCCCAAGATCAAGTGTAAAAAGGCCCCGCGGTTGAGACGTCGTGGAGTTTGGCTGGAAGGTTCCACGTGGGGCTGGTAGCAACCGATCCAGTGATGTGGGGGATGATGCGGGCACCTAGATATAGGCGCCTAAGTAGGCCTAGGGGATAATGAAACATGAATATGTAGAATTTAAATATCCAGTATATCAACTCCTTGCAGGATCATGACTAAAATGTAAGTCCACCAAAATAAAACGTTTATTCATTGTGTTCAGCAAGTGAATAATTTGTAGCTATTGGGTTGCACCATCTACTAGCAAAAGAGGCGATTTATTTATTCCCGATACACCTCCCTCATTATAAGGTCCCGACTCCTAGGACAAAATCCCCAAGTCGCTTTGTAAAACCATAACTCCATCTCAATGCAAGTATTCTTTATCCATCCCTCGCCCTGTCTTTGGAGTAGCAATATCTATCTTAGCTCCTCTCACTTTCGACGCCTGGCTCTGTCGACATTCTTCACCCGTCGGTTTCCAATCGCAGCCACCTTACGGTACTTGGTGTACAGTCTGAGCATGTCTTTGATCACCACGTAAAGACACCCACCCACAAGACTTCGTCCCCATTGCTGTTGGAGTAGACCTGGGCGCATGAAGCCTCCTCGGAAGAGTGATGGCGTGGCAGTCATTTGTTTAGGAAGGGCCATGCGAAGAAGCTCGCCCATGGCATAAGAGATACCCGGAAGTATCAAGGCACTAACGATCGCGTTGGATACCCCGGACAGGATCGTTCCCAGACCAGGACGACGAGCGGGCGGTGCTTGGGGAGCCTCGTGTTGGTTTTGCTGAGCAGCTTGGTTCTCGGCTCCAGGTTCGGGAACAATGACAGGCGCAAGGTCAACAGCTGGTTCTGCGGCCGGGTTTTGAGGTGCTTCGATCGGGGCAGGAGGTAAGTCTTCTTCACCCTCCTCAGCTGGCAGGATCACTGGGTTCTCATCGTTGAGAAGATCTAGTTGGGGCATCTCATTGTCCTCAGCTTGTTGGTCCCATGCACCATTATCCTCATTGTCGACGTCCTCAATGACAAGCTCTATAACAACCCCCCCACCGCCCTGGCCCTCTGCATCCCCAGGCGCTCTTGGTCCCAGGGCATCGACCTCGCCATCGTCGTCGGCCTCATCGCCCTCGAGAGCCTCGATAAGACCGTTGAGGAAGCCCAAGACGCCGCCTTCCCCGCGCTGCTCCGGTTGTCGTTCGTTGGCGGGCGGCTGATCTCGTCGGGGTTCGATTGGGGGAAGGCCCATTATCTGTCGGTTCAGGTTGACTTCGTACGGGAGAACGAATTCGCGCCAGAGGTTCAAATAGACTGATCGAATGTACGGGAACACGGCCATCGCGAGCTGAGGCGAGGGAGGCCAATCGAAGAAGCTGTCATCATGCATGACGTGGTAGACACCATACTGTCTCTTTGTTAGTCTATGCTCGGATTAAAAAAAGTTTACACATACCAGCGAAGCTGTGGACAGGAATACTTTGTTCGCAAACCATGGCATCAATTGTCCGACGAGGAGAGCTGGTCCTACGTTGGTTAGGACCAGTGCCTTTCCCAACCTTTGGCCCCCAGTCGTCAATGCTCTTGAGACTTGTCCATTCGCCCAAGCTTCAGGACCGAGGACATAGTCGACTAAAGCCTGACGGCCTGCAAACGCCCACATGGCAGATACTCCATACATCTGGAGACTGAACTGCGCACCAATTGTAACAGATGAGAGCAACATGAAAGGGCTCGCGCGTGTAAACCTATTTGCAACGGCGTCTGTCACAGAGACTATGGGGTCCCAGGGCCCTTCCATTTGAATACGATCTTTGCATACGGGACACTGGAGGGGTTTGTTGGAACGTTCGCAGTCTGTTACCCATGAAAGCATGCAATCTTGGTGGGCTTCGAGGGTGCATCCGCATGGGTCGACCCATGACCCCGGGGGGTCTGAAGGCTCTTCGTCTGTCAGACAGATGAAGCATCGTCGAGGAGCGTCAGTCGGCTTTTGCGGTGGGATAGCGGCTGCATCGGGCGCATTTTGGATTCCTGACGCCATGGTTGAAGATTGCTACCTCGGATCGCGTGCCGAGCGGGCAAAACGGTGGAATTCGAGAGGTGAGTTATCGATGGTAAAAATCTATGTTATCGCATGTTATTACTGTAACAACGCAAGTAAACAGATTTGGGATCGGAAAACAAAAGGAGTCTTATCTCAGACTTGGATGCTGATGATGATGATGGATGTTTAGATGTGGCACGGAACGCGGCGGCTCGAACTAGCTCAAGTGGGGCCTGACATCACCATAGATCTTGATTGATCTGAGGAAAGGGCCAATCAAAATAATGAGACGCATAATACAACTAACAATATCGACGTACCCAGGCAGCACATGATATAAATATCTGTTTTTGTCTTTGAATGTATGCTCCTCAGGTTATTATTCAAGGATGTTTGATCACCTACGACATCGTGGATCAGCTGGAATGGGGCGCTGCGAGGGTCTTGCTTTCCAGCTGGCATATGAGTCAAAGAACTCTCCCGTTAAGAAGAAGAGACTTGATGACAAAGGAGAATTGTAGTAAAAATGCAACACCGTTTTTGACAGTTTCCAGGTACAGTAGTGTTGTCTACTAGTGCAGCAACACTGTTACTGCAACAGTGATAATTGAGTTCACGAAATAGTATCGTGGCGTATATTGACCCCCAGCCCCATCACAAGGAACTTTTTTGCGACAAAACACTTCCGTGATTCATGAGGTTTCCTTTACTGCCTAGATAGGAATGAGTCTTGAGCCTTCCTCGTGTTCTCACCAGAATAATTTCCTACATGTTGATGCAACTTGTTGGTGCGGTAGTATGAGCAAGTTTCTACCCGGCTGTGGAGTGGGTTGTTTACTACCAGGCCGTAGGTATGGCTCATCCAGTGATTCTCAAGCATAACATAAGATACCATGTTACCTTGAATCCTTTGGAAAGTATACATAAAGGGCCGTTTCCCATGATCTAGGATCTACCAGCGAGGAATTGTGCAGCAACAACTACCAAGCAAGATGCCTTCCTCAACACAGACACCATTCACTTTGATCCTTGCGGAGACGGTGGTATCCATTACTGCCGTGATCCTGTTTTGTATTGAATATCCAGCAGACTTCAGATCGAGACTCTGGGAGAACGGTGGTGAATTAGGATACAATTCGAACCCAAATCAACGCATCTATTTCTATGCCAACCATATCGAGCCCCCAGAGGTACCTTTTATTTGGAGTCAAAGGTAAGATTTGTTGATTGTTATTTAGGAAACAGTATCAGGAACATGCTGACGCTGATCTAACATCTAGTTTGGCCGCCTCGAATCTCGCCATCGCTATGCTTGGCTTGGTCGTCTTTGTCGCCCGCACCATCATGTCACGCCTTCGTTACCTCCCCCACCACATAAACATCATCTACGACATGATACTCTTCAGTCTTTGGGCTATAAGCCTTGCAGGACAAACATCGGGCGACTTCTCTGACCCCAAACACCCAAGTCCCCATCCATGGTACCTCACGAGGGGGTGCTCTGTCAGTTGGGACAGGACCAAAGGATATTGTCATACCGCCCAGGCGGGTTTTGCGATATCTGTAATGGCTGAGATTTTATACGGCGCGAGATTGATAAGGGAAATTGTCTTGGTGGCATACGCCAGAGGACAGCAGCATCGGTCGAATGAGTTTGTCTTGAATCCTGACGATGCAGAATCAACGGAGGGCTTATACACGGACGGTGAGTGGGAATCATCGGAACAAAAGGCGACTAGGAACAGCTTGGTTTTAAGTCCTGTCTTAGCATTCTTCCCATCCAATTCAGAAAGCCGTTGGTAGACGCAAATGTTTGAGAGCTGGCTGGAAGGAAGTATAAAGTTTGACAACAAAATGTAGATTGCCAGTTGTATGGGCTCAAGGTCATAGTTCTAGTGAGAGGAACCAAGTTTAAGCGTTGCACAATGCCAAATGACCTCAAGTCAAGGCCTAACCACATCGTCATAGGCACACATGGCTGTCCTCTCAGAAGCTTTTGCCTAGCTTCATAACAGTCATGGATGGTTCGTCGCCCAAGCAGGTTCGCAGCATAGTCACAACACCAAAAAGGGCTATAAAGCTATGATGAGACTGCAATTTGTGTCTTCATTTAATTCTGACTATACTCAAATAAAGATACGGCCAAGAAGTAACGAGTGGATCCATTGCTGATCAATCTTCCCCGAATCGTCAGACCCTGAAAGACATCCAGCTTCCCCATGTCTCATTTCATCCATCAGGGTTCCCGTCAAAGTCGTTGAAGAAATAGCTTATTTGTGCTTGATTGGTATTCGTTAACTCTCGTTCCTATTGCGACATGCGCCAGCCCAAGGCTAAACAGGGAATACTTACAGGGCAGCCGTCACAGGTGCAGCCAGAGCCGCAGCCGCAAGAGCCAGAAGAAGCGCATCCACAGCCAGACATGATGATGGTTGTTTTTGGAAAGGGTAGTGGTTGTTAAAGGTTGGTTTTGTTTGTGTTGAAGTTGAGAAAGATGTGAAAGAGAGGGGAAGAAAACAGTGGGCAGACGGAGGGGAGCTATCTCTTAAAATACCTCCTAGAGGAGTAAAGACAGGGCCAAGATTCACAGACAGGCGACGACCGGCCGAGTGGCAGCAGCACCCGACTACAGCATAAGGGCGGGTCACAATTCAGTTTCTTTCATGATTAAGACCAGCGTGACTTTCCCTTTAGCGGCCACAAGCGGCTTCTCAATGGTTCAATTCATGAGGCTTGGCCATTCTAATCGGCACCTTTTACCAACAGAGGAGAGATACCCGGTACGCTTTTGTCAGAGGCGAAAGGGGCGCTGAATGACGTGGGGAGTCAGACTTGTTGTAGCTGATGATTGGTGCAGTCTCTGGTTCCTTTGCTTGTCGCCTGTGTCGGAATTGATGGAATAAGATACGCCGAGATCCATCGACTGCGGATCGGGAGGGGAAATACTCTAACTTTATCCGTAGTATTCATGGATGCATATGTATTGCTATGATCTGGTATATCTCATTCTTTTAGTTAGGCATCCGTTGATTTTCTTTCTACTAATCTTATACTTTATACCAATCCAAAGCCCAGAGGCACAGTCAGATCCCTGAAACCCGTGGAGGTCGGCGGGGTAGATTATGGAGGGGTAACTTGTCTGCCTGTCTCAGGTCTCAATGTGACGTCGAATTGTTTGATGTTCGCCTCAGTTACACAATCCAAGATATTACTATATCACTATCCTGCGCATTCTTGCTCATCAAGATTTGATCCTGGTCATCATCAGATTCATGAGAAAAAGACCCGACATCAGATATATGCTCAATTTGGCGCCACCAATTCACAGTACGGTGACAGTTGATCACATCATGATTAAATAGTTCTCTCTTACCAATCAGCAATATCTGCTTACAGATATCAGAGGGGAGTTGAATAAATAAACAATCTATTTTGCGTGGTCAACAGTTAAGACACGTGACAACTAGGATGGTGCCACAAGGCTGTATTGGTAGCATCTTCATCTTCCATTCAAAGCGAGGAATATTCTGAATTGTCTATAAAAGAAATTACATATTCAAATCCTCTTCAGACGCCGTTTTACAGTCTATAGACTAATATACAGAAACGCTAAAGGGCTCGTCTAAATGGCCAAGCCCAAGCGAACGGGGCAGAGATCTGCCAAAATGGCCCAATAAGTGTCATACCGAGTTACGCGACCACATGCTACGGAACACATTCACTCATTCCTTCTTCTCTCGGTCCACTTCTTCTCGTACCTCTCTCAAGACGTTCATGAACTGACTCGCTCCAACAGCCGTCAAGATATGCCACCATCCATGGAGCTCGAGAAGGAAAGCCCAGGGAAGTCCAATCTTCTGGCGATAGGCTCTCAACTGGTGGCAAAACTCAAGATCGATATTCCAGATAAGGTATCCAAAGAGGCAGGTGAATGCTGCAGTCCATACTCGTACAGCCCACCTGCGAACTTCTTCTTCGGAAAAGGCAGGTTTGGCCCAGTAGAACAGGTATCTGACGCGTACGCCGATGAGGATAAGCGAAACCCAGAAGGCAATAACCTGGTAAATGATCTTTGCCGACATGACGTAGAATACTGAGAACGAGATGAAGAACACTGCCAGAATGATTGAGATGTAGCGAACGTTCTTGGGTGGCTGTCGCAAGATGAGAAGAGCTCGAAGCATGGACCAGGACAGCAGCATCATGGACAGCTCATCAACAAACTCGAGCGTCTGGCGAAGTGTCGCGTGGAAAAGAAAAGACCCGATGCCGAGAACCATGAGGGAAAAGGACATAAAGTCCCAGTTTGGAGCAAACAGTCCACGGCTGCGCGAGCCATACATGGATCGCAGGGCCAAGTATACTAAGTTGCAAGCCCAAATGGTCAGCTTTCATGAGACCAAGACATCGGGATCTGTAGCGATGTCACACATGACTTACCGTAGGTAACGTTTGTCAACGCATTGATAAATTCCGCAAGATAGAATGTGATAGCATAGTCTTCTTCGCAAAAACTATTCCGCAAAGTTAGCTTGGCATTGCTTGCACTGATGAGGTGACGTCTCACTTGGCTCTGCTTGTTGGGGGACTCCAAGCGCCACTCAGCGAATGAGGGTCGTCATCAAAACGAAGGTTATGGTGACCCATGTTGTACGCCTGTAAAAAATGATTCCAAAAAATGCGGTTATTTCTTCTCGCGACGTTTTTGATTTCCCAGGGTGAAGTGGAATGCTTCACAGAAACAGGAGGCCAGCGAGGTTGGCTCGGGGATCTAATCACGTGTCAACATACTTTCCTTAGGTGTTTTCCGTCGTAACCTGGCACCTGCAAAACGAGCTCTGATTCTACCAAGGAAGGGATTGAGATGATTTATATTTATTCTCTCCGAGTTTCGTCACAAATGACCCAATTATTCATTGATAGCTATCGTGCTGTTCTTTTCCGCAGTGAAATCCGCTCTCAAGGCTGAGTGCCGAGAAATGAGCCCAAACCATGGGCATAGACCGCCTCGGTTCCTTGCACCTCTCATGATTTTCCGTTTTCCTCATGATTTCCTCCAAAAATTGGTTCATCGTTGCATGTTTCCAGGTCGAGGCTTTGCCTCAACTCCGAACGCATTGTAGGGACTGGCGAAAAAACTGCCTATCCGTTAGTCTAACACCACACAGCTGAGACTCTTGACTTACTTGGGTCGAAACGCCAACGTCTTTGTAGCTTACGAAGCTCTCATCGTCGCCGATTGGTCTTGGACACTCCAACGTCCGACACCTAGATAGGTCGTGGGAGATGTCCACCGAAGGAGTACCAGACTTCGCGATAGGCACTATGCGTCACCCGATAGATCAAGTTGGCGGCATCGAACTGTTCCACTTCTTTGTCGACTATCTGGCGCTCATGAGCCACAAACATTCGTGTTTGGATGTAAATGGTTGTCGCAAATGTGTCATCCCTTCGTGTGTTGGAACCGACGAGAGGCGCCAGCCAGTCGAGAAAACCAGTGATTTTTTCGCCAATGTCGGGAATGCGCATGACTTGAACGAGCCCGACAACATGACGATGGAGACGAGGAGATTGCTTCACGTCAGTTCGGCGGTATGTCCACCGTTTGTACAGTCCAGGTGGTCCTTTCCACATGGCAGGCTCGCAGAATTCATAGGTATACCATGTTCCGTCACCAAGATCGCGATGCCAGTAGATTCCCCAGTCAAAGTCAGCTGCACCGAGAACATATCGTACAGTTCCCTCGGCTTCTTGTTTCTCGCAAATCTCGATAACACCATTCATCTCGTAGTCATACTTGCGAGCCGCGACTTGAGGTGGCTCAGGCGGGTTTTCGGGAACGGAGACCGTGATGTACAGCGTGTAGGGCTGCAGTTTTTGAGTCGGGAAGCCCATCATCGTCGCCATCTTGAGGTTTTGCTGCATTCGCAGATTGAGGCTGTGGGTTGCTAAAACGAGATCGGGATATGCTTCATTTGAGTGGGTGAGAAGTAGGCAAACATATCTCGTGTGAGAGCGCTGAGACTTTAGCTTGCACTAAAGCAATAACCAGGCGGATATCTGTAACAAAGGCTGCGAGCTGCTCATGGCAGTGAATAACATTGCGGAATTACTCATCTAATGTGCCTACCTATTTATTAATACGTCTCGGCTACCTATTGTAGATGCAGTGTGGCATTGACAAGCGCAGGCTGATATACCGCGAACTTAATAGAGCAGAATCAAGCATGCCCTCATTTGTATCATGATTCCTGTGGTCTGATTAACTGACTAACTGACAGCTGTTGGCGCTTGGCTGCTGAAAGAACAAGAGACAAGAGACGAAATTGGCAACCTAGTCAGTTTATGTTATCTTAGGGCGGACTTGGGTTGTTTATCAAGGCAACGGCTTTTCGAATTCACGCAATTAATGTCGCCTACTAATGAGCCAGTTCAGAGACTTTACAGCCGCACCTATCTCTGCACAAATAACAATGGTGAAACCCCACAACAGAACCACCCACTGTTATTAAAAGTCATATGGTGGTTGCTCGAAAGCGCCGAGCATGCGCTACGAGTTCTGGGGAACTTGAAATGCTGTGCGCCGATAGGTGGGGATATATTCGGGGTTGAATGAGGGGTTGAAGAAATCAAGATACTATTTTGCAACAATTTACTCAAATTCCTACCTGTTTCGAAGATACTGTCCCTCTATTATTGAAGTGTGATATAGATATATAAGCTTGATTTCTTTCCTGTCTTTTGCGCTCAAGACTTGAACCATTTTTGTTGTGTACCTACGTCATCCCTGAAGCTATACCGGTTGACGATCCAAGGGTCGATAGCGGGGCATTGAAACCTCCACTACGACGAACGACACTTCTCACGCGATAGTTTGCGACAAATATAAAAGCGCGTGACTCTCACTTCAAAAGACCCAAATTCAAGCGGCAAGTTATACCTCATCCACGATATCAATCTTCAACATGTCTGGCTCTGTCCCTGTTGCCAATGCCTTGAGCGACATCTATCCTCAGGATGCGCTCGCTGAGCAAGGACCACGATGGAACAACCTCCTCAGCAAGTTTGAGTCCATCTACGGACATGCTGCTTCGTTCGTCGCTCGCTCTCCTGGACGAGTGAACATCATTGGAGAGCACATTGATTACTCTCTGTACTCGGTGCTGCCCATGGCCATTACTGCTGACACCCTCCTCGCTGTATATGCTACACCTGCCGCCAGCGACGCCAAGTCATTCCGCATTCGCATCGCCAATGTAGAGGACGACAAGTTCGAGGCCGCAGACTTTGAGGTTCCCTTTGATGGTGAAGTCTCAATCGACGCGACCAAGCTAGAATGGACCAACTACTTCAAGAGTGGTCTGAGAGGTGTGATGGATTTGCTGAGGAAGAAGTATGGCAAGGATTTTAAGCCATGCAATATGGAACTTCTTATGGATGGTACTGTCCCCGTTGGTGGAGGACTGAGCTCTAGCGCTGCTGTCGTCAGCACAAGCTCGCTGGCTATCATGCTGGCCAATGGCGAGAAGACGGTGGACAAGACTGAGCTGACCGAGCTTGCCATTGTAAATGAGCGTGCTGTGGGAGTCAACTCGGGAGGGTACGTTATCTCGTCTTCGCATGTAACCAGAATCTCGCTAACACCTCAACAGCATGGACCAAGCGGCCTCCGTATTTTCTGAGAAGGGCGCGGCTACCTTCGTCTCATTCAACCCGAGCCTCAAAGCCCAACCTGTCCACTTCCCACCCACAAATCCCGAAATCACATTTGTCATTGTGCAATCTTTTGTCACATCAAACAAGCAGGTCACTGGCCCCATCCACTACAACCTGCGCGTAGTCGAGTGTAGCATTGCCGCATCCTACCTTAATGCTGTCCTCAACCCTTCCGGAACACAGCTTCCGGAAGATGCAGGGCCCCTGGGCGTTAGTCTCGGAGGTTTCCACGATACTTTCTTTTACCACCTGAACGGCTCAGATTACTCCGCTGCCAAGACGCTTACCAAGGAGGAGGAACTGGAAAAGCTGATCGAGATTACCGAAAAGACACTTACACAAGAGGAGGGATATACGAGGGAGGAAGTTGCCAAGGTACTGAACGTTACAGTAGAGGATCTTGAGAAGCGCTTTATGTCCAAGCTCCCCGTACGTGCCGAACGCTTCAAGCTCCGCCAGCGCGCCCTGCACGTCTTTAGAGAGGCTCACCGAGTTATTCGTTTCATGAAGCTCCTCGAAAACCCTGTCCACACCGGCGCTTCGGATACAACCAAGTTCAACACAGAACTAGGGTCCCTATTGAACGAGACACAAGCATCATGCCGCGACCTTTATGAGTGCAGCTCCCCTGAATTGGATGAGATTTGTGCCATCTCTCTTCGGGAAGGTTCTTACGGAGCGCGAGTGACTGGTGCGGGATGGGGAGGTTGCAGTGTGCACATGGTGCCAGCGGATAAAGTAGCAGCAGTGACGCGTGCTCTAGAGAAGGAGTATTTTGCCAAAAAGGACCTTACGGAAGATCAGAAGAAGGGGGCTGTGGTGGTGAGTCGACCAGCGACAGGAAGTGCCATCTACTACGTCCAAAATGGTGTGAAGCCTTGAGGGTCGATCACCTGAACACACACGTGCATGGGCATCATGGCAATCAATGGTAGATTACAGCTTCAACAGATCTTAAGCGTCAAAGTTAAAAGTAATGGGGCTTCAGTCGATCATAAGCATGGTCCGGGTTTCAGGGGTAAATTACAAATACGCACTGCATTTGACTGCATCTATCCCACGCAAGGCCCGACCTCATGGTCGGTCCTTGCAGGGAAACATCAACGATGTGACGCGACTCTCAGGCCTTGGATTTCTGCTCAAATTATTGACCAAAAGGAGAACAAGTATCCAACTAGCCGAGATTCTGGTCAAACATGAGGCTCAATTTATCCTTGTCTTATGAGACGTGGAATAAAAGACGATGTCAGGTTGTAAACTGCCGGGCGGGATGCTAACTAGTGAAATGCCGAGATGAGGATAAACCTCCGGGGTGATAATGAAGCAAAACGGTTTCTATGGCCGAAATGTTAGGGTTTCTCCGAAAAGGAAGAGTGTGGACGGAAGAAGATAAGCTGGGTTTCTGTCAGGGGCTGTCATGGGTGGGAGATTGAAGAATGGGATGGTAGTGGCGTAGAGGATTAAGCCTTGAAGTTTTGCCAAATATCAGTAGTAAGCGGAAGAACGCTGCTGTTACATGGGTTACAGGTAGGCCCTTGAGAAAATCATGTCGACAGGGTCATGCCTCGGATTCGCAAAGCCAACACTGATGCCATCATGCTCTTTGGGGTTCATTAGGGCCGATCTTTTTCTGGTTTTTGGGGACAAATTGAGTTTGTTCACAAAGTACACAGACCGCCGGATGCTATGTTAACAAATAGTCACGGAAGCAGACCGAATCAAAGCCCAGACATGCTGCTATCTTGGGATTTGTCAATAATTCAAGTCATGCATAGAAAAGACACTCGGTCTAACCTCTTGGACGGGACGGGGACATCAGCCGAAATGTGCGTGCAGAGTTGATTCCGGGGAAGCGGATGAACCAGGGCTCTGAGCTTGGATTCGAGAAGAGAGGAAGCGTGACGTGGCAAGAGTTTAATACCAGGGACATTATAACCAGGTCCCTGGGGATCATTTCTCATTCTCATACCAGCAATCGGGAAGGGCTTTGGGTGTCGAAGCCTCACGTCATATTTTTACGGCAAAGCAAAACAAAAAAAGGCGTTTTCAAACCTTGTGTGCAAAAGTAGATATGCAGGGGGTAAAGATTGCGCGACCATCAACCATCTAGAATGCATTGTTGCGTTTGTGGCGTTATTTGATAATGGAACTTTGGCAGAAGGCAGGAAGACCAATCTTATCTGAGTTGTCGTGATTAATGGCTGAACGCCATGTCTATTATTGGCAGCATAATTCCAAAATCGCTGTTTCTAGGCGACACTGAGGGTTTTGAGTGTCAGCAGGGTGCAGTACTATGACAGTGATGGCTGAGATAAGATTATAGAGTTCTGTCTGGCACTGAATGCAGACTATTGAATGTTTGACAGTTAACGATTTGGGTTCATCTATAGCCAAACGCAATCTTGGCTTATGGTCCCCGAAAGATGCCCAAAACTGGGGTCGCTGCAAAGAGTTTCACCACGTTTCCCCACGCCCACGGCGATCATATCACGAGATACTTTCACCTAATTGTAAGAGGAACCGTTTGCTGCCGTTACAGTGACACGACCAAGCATCCGGGGCCGCGCGACGCGGATCCGGAGGAGTTCCACAGTGCCCCCCGTCTCCATAATGGGGCATGGACATCAACTTGCGACCTAAAACGTCGGCTCAAGACAATGGTCGGCTCCACGACTGTTGAGACTGAAGCCTGAGCGAACAAAACGTTACTTCGTCCATGGCTGGGGCCCAACCACGTATAGAGTTGGGCTGAGTTTGGTGATGGGATGCCTGTCTTTATAAAATGAAAACGGGGCTGAATAGTGTTCGGGAGTTGGTAGTAAAAGAGTCGACGTGGTTCTTAACGAGACTAGTCGTGTATGGTCGGCTCATTCCGCATGAAGATTTGGAGTCTCGAACTGGCGTCCGTTGCCCTGGCTGTCAATCATAGTCAAGGTGAAGAAAGACAATGCCGTATTCAAGCATCCCTGGAGTGTCGCGCAATAAAGTTCTGATCCAAAGTGACGACGCACAGGCACAGCCCACATACGCTACTCCACAAAAGCGTTGATGTGATACTGAGTGCCGGTATATTGGTTCATTCAAAGTTTGACCATGGGTTGTGCTTCTCTTCGGTGCAATTGCCGGGTCCCTCGGTATGGATCAGGGATTTTGCAATGGGCATCTCAAGGTTGTTGTTGTTA